TAGAGCGGAGACTGAGAGCCAGGCCTTCTCGTCCAACATCAGTGTGCGACCTCACAAATGCGCTTCTGGAAGAATGGTCAAAAATTCCCATAAACACACTCCTAAACCTTGTGGACAGCCTTCCCAGAAGAGTTGAAGCTGTTCTAGCTGCAAAGGGTGGACCGACGTCATATTGAACCCTATGGATTAGGAACGGGATGTCACTTAAGCTCATATGTGAGTCAAGGCAGGTGAGCAAATACTTTTGGCAATATAGTGTATCTTCAGGTAACACAGAGTACATGTCAGACTAAAAAATACTGCTTCAGCGATAGTTTCAAGGTGTTGCTTTATTGTATGTCTCGTACCATGTCTTTCGGTTGTGCTGTTCTTTTTTCATCTCGTTGCAGGTGATGAAGCAGACTGAAAATGTTTTGTCATTATCTCCTATCTCTTCTTTCTTTCATCTTTTCTCTTTTTTTTCTTTTTTCCTTTTTCTTCTTCTTGTTTTTCTGCTCTATTTACATTGCAGTGTCCATATAAACTGTAAAACTCCCTGCATAATTATAATAAAGCAATTTATACACTGGAAAAAATCGACATCTTGATAAGTAATTTTAAGACACTTAAAATAAGAAAACACAATTGCATTTTTCTACTATAAGTGTATATTATCTCATTATTTTAAGAGTAAAAATGCTGTTTCCAATGGAAAACTATCTCATTTAACTACTCAAATTAAGGGTAAATACACTTAAATAAAGACATTTTTACTTATTTCTAGATCGTTTTTCCAGTGTATGCATGAAACAAGTGGAGCAATATGGCAATTACCATACTGCTCCACTTGTAAAGGTAAAATCTGTTGGGCTTTTTTTGGCATCAAGACAATTATTCTCATTGCCAGACAGGTAACTGTAAAAAAAAAAAAAAATTGTCAGGGGTTGTGAACAGGCTCGGACTGGGAACGATTGGGACAGTCAAACGTGGGCGTCTCAAATGTGAAACAAAATTCGAATACAGATTGTGGATTAACCCATCTATCTTCAAGCGTCACAATTCAATTAAATTCAATTCAGTTTATTTCTATAGCGCCAAATTCACAACACATGTCATCTCAAGGCACTTTACAGTTCAACCAGATCATACAGTCAAATTGATACAAAGTTTTCTATCTAAGGAAAACCAGTTGATTGCATTGACTCATTGACTCAAATACAATCCCCCACACTAAGCATGCTTGTAGCGACAGTGGAGAGGAAAAACTCCCTTTTAACAGGAAGAAACCTCCAGCAGAACCAGGCTCAGTGTGAGCGGCCATCTGCTGAGGCCCACTGGGGTTCAAGGAGACAGAAGCAGAGATACAAAAAGCAGCTGTAAAAGGCGGCCCCGTCCAGGAAACACGCAGCCAGGCAGACGAGCTCCAAGGCAGCTCCCATGCCAGAGGACGAAGAGAGCACATCCACTCAGTCACGGTCAGAGAAACAGGACCACACTGGAAAACAGGCCGATCTCCAACATCTATAAACAAGGGTGTTGATGGAAGCAGCACAGCTGATGTTTCTTTCCAGGATGACGTCACAGCCAAACAGGAACAGACGAGGCAAAGCTACTCTGAGGAAAAGCAGAGAGAGCAGAAGGTTAGAGATTGAACTAACAGATTCTGCAGAATAGGAGAATAGAGATAGAATGAAGCAGAATGATGAAAAAGGGGTCCCTATGTCCTCCAGCAGTCTAAGCCTATAGCAGCAGAACTATAGAGATAGCTCAGGATAACCTGAGCCACCCTAACTATAAGCTTTATCAAAAAGGAAAGTTTTAAGCCTAGCCTTAAAAGTAGACAGGGTGTCTGCCTCACGGACTAAAACTGGTAGTTGGTTCCACAGGAGAGGAGCCTGAGAACTAAAAGATCTGCCTCCCATTCTACTTTTAGAAATTCTAGGAACCATTAGTAAACCTGCAGATTGAGAGCGAAGTGCTCTGTTAGGAACATAAGGAACAATCAGATCTCTGATATAAGATGGAGCTTGGCCATTTAAGGCTTTATATGTGAGAAGGAGGATTTTAAATTCTATTCTTGATTTAACAGGAAGCCAATGAAGAGAAGCCAGGATAGGAGAGATATGATCTCTCTTTTTAATTTTCATTAGAACTCTGGCTGCAGCATTTTGGATCAGCTGAAGGCTTTTAACTACAGTTTGTGGACTTCCTGATAGTAAAGAATTACAATAGTCCAGCCTTGAAGTAACAAATGCATGGACTAGTTTCTCAGCATCACCCCTGGACAGGATATTTCTAATTTTTGTAATGTTCCTCAGATGAAAGAAGGAAATTCTAGAAACCTCTTTGATGTGGGATTTAAATGACAGGTCCTGATCAAAAATAACACCAACATTTTTTACTTTATTATCTGAAATCAGTTTAATCCCATCCGAATGAAGTGACTGGCTAATCAGTTTCTTTTTCAGAGACTCTGGTCCAAAGACTATAACTTCTGTTTTGTCTGCATTCAGGAGCAGAAAGTTAAGAGTCATCCAGGTTTTTATGTCTTCAAGACATGCCTTTAATCTATGTAATGGGTTAGCTTCATCTGGATTTATAGACAGATATAGCTGGTTATCATCAGCATAACAGTGGAAATTAATCCCATGCTGTCTAATAATTCTACCAATTGGGAGCATGTATAAAGTAAAGAGAATTGGTCCTAGCACTGATCCCTGTGGTACTCCACAGGTAACCTTTGAGCGTGTTGAAGATCTATCATTAACATGAACAAACTGAATTCGATCAGATAGATAAGATTTAAACCAGTCTAGTGCTGTTCCTTTAATTCCAACAAAATATTCAAGTCTTTCTAAAAGAATATTATGGTCAACTGTATCAAATGCAGCACTAAGATCCAACAGGACGAGCACAGATACAAGTCCATTATCTGAGGCCATGAGAATATCATTAGTGACTTTCACCAGAGCTGTTTCAGTGCTATGATGAGCTCTAAAGCCAGACTGAAACTCTTCCAAAAGTTCATTATGGTGGAAGTGATCGCAAACTTGTTTGGCAACTACTTTCTCAAGAATTTTGGATAAGAAAGGAAGATTGGATATAGGTCTATAATTGACCAAGTCATCTGGGTCAAGAGACGGTTTCTTAAGCAGAGGTTTAATTACAGCAACCTTAAAAGCTTTAGGTACATATCCCTGTAACAGAGATAGATTAATCACATCTAAAATGGAGGAGGAGATCAAAGGGAATACCTCCTTAAATAACCACAACAACAATAAATAGTCACACAACAACCATCACCAAGACTTCTAGAATGCGGTTTTACTGGCTTTGTTTACTAACACGGATGCCACAGTGACCGCTGCTGCGTAACGTCCACACTCACCACATCAGCAGGGTTGCCAGATTTCACTGACTCGCGTTTTCCAGATCCGACTTTCATAAACCGCCTGGATATAAGAAATCTCGCCCAATTTGAACCAAAGTCTTAGGCCATAAACTGCCAGATCGGGAAACATCACAACCTGGCAACAAAGCACGTTAGATGGGAAACGTTAGCCTTTAGATGCAAAACTCCATCATGGACCGCAACATATTTTTGCAAAATAATCAAACATAAATTGGCCAAATATAAGAGGAACATCGTAGTTTGGTTTAAAGTAGGGATGCATGATATTGGGATTTTGGCCGATATCCGATATGCCGATATTTTAAAACTCATGTAGCCGATAACCGATATCGATACCGATGTTAAAGCTGGACAAAAATAAGTAGTCATTGAAAATAGCAGTTTTGTTATCCATTTCTGACACTTTGAAAAATAATATACTCAAATATATTTTCATATGCTGATATTAGGGATGCACGATATAATCGGCCCCCTATCGGTATCAGCCTTAAAACTGAATATCGGACATCGGCCACTAGGGATGGGAATCGAAAACCGGTTCCTGTTCAGAACCGGTTCCGTATTTTCCGATTCCATGGCATCGTTTGGCAGCTCGCTGAACGATTCTTTTTTCGATTCCCACAGCACCAGAGCCTTATGCGCCGGCTCTGGGGAGCACGACTTACGTCAGCTTTTTTTACGCAAGCTACGCATTTTAGATTTTTTAAAACGCGGTATCGATCTATTTTACTTTCAAAATGTCGTGAAATTTCATCCTTCTGTTACAAACTCTCGTGATATTTTGCAAATTCTTGTGAGATTTTGTTAGTAAAATAGATCGATACCGCGTCAATATATCAACATATAAAGATATGGCAAAATTTCGTGAATTTTCGGGGGATTTCGTAGCATAACGATGACATATAGCAATATTTCATTAGTAAAAGAGATTGATATGGTGTTTTTAAATGGCAATATATCAGCATATGAAGATATTGGGATATTTTAATGTATCAATATTTTTTCCCTCGTCTTTTAAGTAAGTTTTTAAGTCTGTAAAAAAGAAGTTTTTGAGGAATAAGAAGAAGTTGTATTTTTTTTTTTTTTAGACCTTAGAAACTCAGAATCTGATCAAATATCGGGTTAAATATCGGTGGGGTGGCCGATGTCCGATATTCAGTTTTAAGGCCGATACCGATAGGGTGCCCATTATATCGTGCATCCCTGGTTTAAAGAAAGCATTTTAGTTTCATTATAATTTAGTTTGTTGCAAGGATTTTACAGTTTGAAGAAACAGAAAATGACACCATATGCCAACCGTCACAAGGAGGAGCTAAATATACTGCATGCATCATTTAGGTAGATAACATTGGATTACTTCTTAAGCTCCTGAGTTATTTAATGTCACAGGTAGGACCTACAGCCTGAGACTGAATGTTGGGGCCTTTATGATTTAAGGAGGGCCGGCCCTCGCATGGTGAAATTAGGACCGGCCCATTGGGCTAATGCCCGGTATCATGATTGCCACTCCCAGCCTGGGTGTGAATACTTTTTTGGAGACCCTGTAGCTGTATTTCCTCGCAGCAGAATAAGCATTATTTACTACTAATGCCTCATCGTGTTATGCCAGATATGAAGCATCCATGCGAGCCCTTCTGGAGGTGACCCTGGCCACGCAGGCTGGTCAGTGGGAGCAGGCGCTGGAGCTTTACACCGCCGCTAAAGGAGCCTGGTGCCAGCTCCGCCTCAACCACGACCTGAGGTCAGGACTCTATAAACCATCCTCAACTTCTGTGGAGTTCAGGCTTCTGATGTTCTTTCCATTTAGTCACCAGGAAGAGCTGCCGGTCTTCCTCCGCAGCTTCACTACAGGATGGGCCTACACCCGCATCTTATCCAGAGGCGTGGAGATTTTACAGAGGCTGCGTCGCTATGAGGTTAACCCGCCCGCCCAGTCAGCGAATGTCGCTGGAGGTGAAAGCATCACTAACGGTGCTCTTTCTGTTTCTACACAACAGGAAGCAGTAGAAGAACTGCAGGCCTTACTGAAGCAGTCGGTTTACTGTCCTGACAGCCGGGGCCGATGGTGGGACAGGCTGGCTCTGAACCTTCACCAGCACCTCAAAAAGTCCGACCAAGTAAAGAGAAATGTTTTAAAATGTTTCTGTTTGTTATTAATTGTTAAATCATGTTATTTATATGAACATCAACATTTAATTTTATACTTTTAAAGGCGTGTACTGCAGTCCTTTCAGTTTAAATTTCCAGCTTACAGTGTTAGATCACCGCTCACTCACAATGACTGTATATCCTATTAGCGCTAAAGGCTACTGTGCCAATGGTGTCGCAGTTTAACACGCTTGCAGATTAGGCCTGCTCCACTGAGTGAGTAAAGCTGTTGTTGGGAGGGAAGGTGATGGTAATCGCTTTGAAAACCACTTCACCTGTTCAGCTGGACGTACCTGCAAGGCAAAAAGCGTTTCTAAAGGTGAAGATTTTGAAAGCAGCCATGGATGAACTGGAAAATGCTGAATGGATTTATCATCACTAAAGAATTACTTTTTTGCAGTAGATCAAGAAAACTTTCATCCAGTGTAACTCTAGGCTTTTTCTGGGGGGTAAAAAATAAATAATAAACATGTCTTACAGTTTCTTTGGGGTATACATATGATATAATGTGATGTTCATTTCTTAGAGATGCTGATTTTCTTTCATCCGACTGGGCAGGATGAGAAGCCATGTTGATTCCAAAAAAGTTAAAAACAATCCGATGGACTTTGTTTCCAAGTTTGAAGACGTTTCTCTTCCATCCAGGAAACTTTTTTAATTCAGAATGTCAGAAATAGCGTGAGTTCCAGGTTTTATACGGTAGCCCAACAAAGCCTTGTGTTGGCTTAGAAAACATGCAAAGTTAAAGTCGTAGGGAAGTCATATTTAAATGTCAAATCATTCTGGCTTAATCATGTATATAAATGTACTCTTTATCAGACCATATTTTCCCAAAAGTTAGAAATTTTAAATCTGAAAAAAAAATCCTGTCTTAAAATCTGTTTTTTTTTCTCGTTATCTTCTGAAGGCCAGTTAGTTCTACGTCAGCCCAAACACCTAAATTCGGCCAATCATATATCAATCAAATTTTTTCGGTCATAGCATCTTGATTCATGTGTCGCAGCTAATATACGCAACGGTTGAAATCAGAATCCCTTCCTTTCCCATTGAGTTGCGTCCCAGTGTTCACGGGGATGGACGTCTGTGTCTTCAGCAGGCGTAGAGCTAACAGAACTGGCAGCGTTGCGAGGCAAGGGCTCAAACATCTACGGCTGGCAGCCTTCTACACCAAACCAAGCTTCTGCCGCCCTGGCGTCCTCTTCCACAACATCTTGCAAAAGTATTGCAAGATCCTGCAAAAGTATTGCGGGATCTTGCAAAAGTATTGCAGGATCTTCCAAAAGTATTTTGAAATCCTGCAAAAGTATTGCATGATCTTGCAAAAGTATTGCAGGATCCTGTAAAAGTATTGCAGGATCCTGTAAAAGTATTGCAGGATCTTTCAAAAGTATTTTGAAATCCTGCAAAAGTATTGTGGGATCTCGCAAAAGTATTGCGGGATCTCGCAAAAGTATTGCGGGATCTTGAAAAAGTATTGCGGGATCTCGCAAAAGTATTGTGGGATCTCGCAAAAGTATTGCAGGATCCTGCAAAAGTATTGCGGGATCTTGCAAAAGTATTGCGGGATCTCGCAAAAGTATTGCGAGATATTGCAAAAGTATTGCGAGATCCTGCAAAAGTATTGCGAGATCTTGCAAAGTTTATTTTTTGTACTTTTGCGAGATCTCGCAAAAAATAAACTTTTGCGAGATCCCGCAATACTTTTGCGAGATCTCGCAAAAGTCCCTTTAGGGGCTCCGTAAAAATTTAAACATCCAAGATTTACCTGGAATCATTTGCTTTGGTCGAGTTAGAATGGGTTTAAAGGAATAGTACACCCAAAACATGATTAGCCTTCATTTTCTACTCACCCCCATGCTGAACAACACTCTGGAGTACTTTTTTGATATCTCAAATGCATCTGGAGATCTGGGAGGCTTCTTGCTGTCTGCTGACATTCAAATAATGGAGGTCTATGGCGCCCGAGGCAGAAAGGTCAATAAAAGTCCACAAAAAATGTGTCAATATTCCTCCATACTGCTCGTCCAATGTATTCCAAGTGTCCTGAGTGGGTAGCGTCCATAATTTACTCAAAACGAAGTCATTTAGAATGTTTTTAGAGCATAAACAGTAGTGTATAGGATTTCCTGAAAGCGCGCACCTGCAAGTTCACGAGTCTACGGAAACCGCGGCAGACCAAACCGGATGAAAGTGCGCATTCAGCTCGGCAAAGAACTCATGCTCTTCCTCAACACTGAAGTCCTCAGACATTTTTCTTTCGTTGTTTCTTTCTTTGCACAGGTAAACAGCACATTTCTTCTTCTACGCTTGCATTATCGGCAGAGCAGACGCTGAATGCGCACTTTCATCTGGTTTGGTCTGCCGGCTTTCAGGAAATCCTTTACACTACTGTTTATGCTCTAAAAACATTCTAAATGACTTCGTTTTGAGTAAATTATGGACGCTACCCACTCAGGACACTTGGAATACATTGGACGAGCAGTATGGAGGAATATTGACACGTTTTTTTGTGGACTTTTATGGACCTTTCTGCCTCGGGTGCCATAGACCTCCATTATTTGAATGTCAGCAGACAGCAAGAAGCCTCCCAGATCTCCAGATGCATTTGAGATATCAAAAAAGTACTCCAGAGTGTTGTTCAGCATGGGGGGGAGTAGAAAATGAAGGCTAATCATGTTTTGGGTGTACTATTCCTTTAAACCCTTCAATTATGGCATGAAACAAGCAGGAAAAGCTCTTCATCTCTACTGTTAAGTATGGTAGAGTAGTTGTAATGCTGTGGGCCTTTTTTTCCTATTAAAACAGAGTTTAACAATGTTTGGAATTTATTAAAAACAGATTTTGTGTGTAAGATTTAGTTGAGCTTTTTTTTGTATACTCTTAAATGTCACTTTTTATATTTTTTTTATTAACCCTTTCATACTCAGGCTATCTGTGCTATAAGAGAGGGGTTGTCGGATCCTCTGGTTCGCACAGGACACAAACTCTCCCTGCATCAGAGAGCGCTCAGGATGAAAGAGGCTCCTAGCTGCAAAAAGTACCGACTCCAACTCCGAGAGCTGCCCACCGTCCAAGTCCAAGATGTTAAACATGTGAGTTGATATTTAGGGCGATTTTATTGGAGAAAAAGGAGGAAAAACTAAGATCTTCATAACTTTCTCTCCAGGTGACCATTCGGGGCCAGCTGTTTCCTCATGAGGGTGGCACGGGGAAATCTAGATTTCTTATTCCAGAGAGTGAAGAAGGGGAAGGGAGCATAATTTGCTCTGTGGAGGAGTTCTGCTTGGACCATTATCGACAGCTCGGCTTTGACCAAGGTTTTCAGCTACGGCTTTTAAGAAGCATAAATAGATAGAAACGCAGAAATGCTCGTACAGAAACAGAATATCCTCTCTTATATCAAAGGTATCCATGGAGAGGGATCAACATTCTCCACCTTGTTTGGTCTTCTGATGTGGGACATCATCTTTATGGAAGGTATTCCTGATGTCTTTAGGAACCCATACCAGGTAAAGCACCGTCTAATCTTACCATCTGAACCCATGACAGGTTCATCTACATTTCATTTCCCCTCTTTTCTACAGACTTGTCCTCTGGACTTTTACACCGACTGTTTCTATGAAAACAGAAAGGAAGCAATAGCCTCTCGTGTTGGGCTGCTTCAGGAGGCCACAGTGGAAACGCTGCGCGACATGCTGCAAGATGTCTGGGAATCCCAGGAGGGCAAAGTGTGTTCGCTTGTCAGCTGGGAGCGATTCTCATCCCTCCAGCAGGCTCAGGTACTCTGCATAGATTCCATTCACATTTTATTTTTATTTTTTTAAGCATTGCATTAGAAGAGCTTGATAGAAACAGCAGAATTTGGATCAACGTACTAAATGTCGCTAAAATTTTTACACTCTGGAGGCGGTTTTAGAACTGTTTTGTAAATGTGCTAAAGAGGAGATGGAAACACCTTAGAATCCTACAAACTAGGTCTTTTGACGCCTCCGGATGGCGTTAACCGTGGTTAATACTAACTGACACGATGAAGTGTGACTAAAACACATTCATTACAACCACTGCACTGGAAAAAAATCGAAATCTAGATAAGTTGTTTTTTCTTAAAATAAGTGTATTTTTTCTTGGATTCAGTAGGTAAAAGAGAGATTTTGCCAATGGAACAAGACAATGTACACTTACAATAAGAAAACGCAATTGCATTGTCTTATTTCAGGTGCATTTAATCTAATTTTCTTATTTTAAGAGCAAAAATATTCATTCCATTGGCAAACTATCTCATTTACCTACTCAAATTCAGCGTAAATACACTTAATTTAAGACATTTCTACTTATTTTTAGTTCCTTTTTCCAGTGATCCATTACAACCACTGCACTTGAAAAAAATCGAAATCTAGATAAATCATTTTTTTCTTAAAATAAGTGCATTTGTTCTTGGATTGAGGAGGTAAAAGAGACGTTTTGCCAATGGACCAAGACAATTTACACTTAAAATAAGAAAAAACAATTGCATTATCTTATTTCAAGTGCATTTTATCTAAATATCTTATTTTAAGAGTAAAAACACTCATTTCATTGGAAAACTATATCATTTACCTACTCAAATTAAGGGTAAATACACTTAATTTAAGAAATTTTTACACACTTCTAGATCGTTTTTTCAGAGTGTCCGTCACCAGCATGCCGGCTCTACTTACTGTTTACTACAGTAAGTAGAGCCTCTCTCGGTGTGACATCATCTGAGCTGTCGCTTTTTAGGCATCTGATTTGCGGTCGCATTTCACTGCTTAGAGATGTAGCTGCGTGGTTGGAGGAGAGAGACAGCAGCATTAAACAGGAGCTACTTTGATATATGCTTAAGTAAAAGCTGGGAGACGGGTTGGTTAAAAAAATTAGAGATGCCACAAAAAAATGCCAGACATACGGAGCTTTTTCTGCTTAAAATGGCAACAGATTGTAAGTTTATACAAGTTAATATTATAATGCAAGAAGATTGAGAAACTTTACTAGTTAAAAACGCTTGGATTCTCCATGACTCCCAGTTATAAGTTAAAATGTTTTCTTATTGTCCAGACAGCTTCTGCATGTCTTGAAATTTTGTTTCTGGCCATAGGCGGATCTACTGGGGTGGCATAGGGTGCCAAATGCCACCCTAAATGACAGCCTTGCCACACCAGCTGCCACCCCAGTTGGCGGTAGGGGTGGCGAGGCTTATAAATTATGAATCATTTGAGAATTACCGACCGCTAATTTCTAATGTCGGACTGCAGTGAATGCAGCACGAGATGACGCGAGAGCGACTGAGACTGATTGTTTTGAAAACCGATTGGGGCAAAGCGAGGGAGCCAGGGGTCATGGGGAGAGGAGACACGGGATGAAACAGGTAAAAACTGATTAACTATCTATAGAGAAATGAAATCATAATGAAAGCACAATGTTGCTAGCATAGCTGCAATGCTGATTTACAAATGATAAAAATCAGGTTGCAGCATGGGCGTAGGTTTACATAGGGACCATAGGGACATGTCCCTACCAAAGTTTTGAACCGACCTAATTGTCCCTACCAATAATTGGATGTGAGCAACATGTTTATAATTTACAGCAGTAGTTATAGCAGCAGAGGCTTCTTTTCCTCTTGCAGCTCCTCTGCCTGGTCTCTCCTGTCCCTTTCACGTAGCAGCGCATGGAACTGTGCTGCGCTGTTTAACTCTACTCTCATTGGTTGTTCTGCCTTAGGTTCCGCCTTCTCTCTCTCTGATTGGCTGTTTTCTAGTCCGCCTGTGCTTGGAGCACAAAATTGAAAATGTATTCACACTAGAATGCAGCGGTTACTACAATAAATATTAGCCTACAAAACTAGTCCCAATAAAAAAAAAAAAGAAAGAAATTAATATCATGTTCACTAAAAAACAAAAAACTTTTTTTTTTCTTTTATAAAACGAAATATTCTGAGTCAGCCAGGAGTTCTGAAGACTGCTGGAAAAATGGGCAAATAAAGGCTGTAAGCCATCAACATTTCTGATTCTTAGCCACAGCCACCTAAAAAAGAAAATGCGAGGGTTTCCTTTTTATCGATATTTAGTTGCTATTACTGTTTTCATTTTTTGATGACTCTTTTAGGAAGTTCAGGCATAATTATTAGCAGGTGTTATTTTTCTTATAAAGTATAACAACAAGAAATGGCATCTAAACATCTGTTATTTTTCGTTTAAAAAGCATAATTAGGGTTCCACATAATAATAGTAATTTAATTGACTATTTATACTTCTAGAAATAGGATAAGGCAAGAACAAACAGAGGAAGAATATAAACATTGATTTTATCTTACATAGATTTCCACACAGTCTATAAGTAAATTACTATAAACATTAATGTCTGGTAAAAATGCTGGAATCTGGCTGTTTATTTTGGATAATGTTAAATTACAGATAAGATAGTGTTATATTGTCTTTTATAATTGTTAAAAGTGATTTTATATTTCAATACACTTAGGCTCATTCTCAGTGTTGTGTTTGTAGATGATGTCACAGAAAAAAATAAATAGATATAAGGAGCTATTTAAACAGTCAGACAGTAGCAATATAGGATGATGATGAAAGGTTGTGTTACATTTAATCCTTTACTATTAAAAAACGCACTTATACATTATATGATTATAGGAAACACAGATATCCAGTAATAATGATCCAGGGCAGCTTGTAGGTGAAGCAGCTGCCCTTCAGTGCTTCAGGTGATCTCTAAATAAACCAGGTGAAAATAAAATATTTCCACTTGAGGAGTTCTGGGTGGAGAATATTGACAGACAAAAACATTTTTTAATCTTATATATATTATATATATATATTGTTTTTTTACAATTTTGGTATAATTACTGATCTAAGTGGGTTGCTCTGTCGGGGAAAGGCACATTTTACATTTATATTACTGTATGTTTTAGAGTCTCTATTCTCCAGTTAATTAGATAAATTACATACTAAATTTGTTGACGATTATTGAAATAATCAATTAATACAATTCATTTTTTCAGCCCCAGATATAATACATGAATTGGGCGACACAGAGTAACTACAGCCCAGATGTTTAACTTTTATAGTGAAGTTAATATCTTAATGAATGTATTATTTTACTTGATACAGAGAGAGCATAGTAGGTAAAATATAAGAGTGGGGTTTAACTCTGCACAATTCTACATCTTCAAAAGAAAATACTGTATTTACCTTCTCTCTTAGTGGTTCAAATGAAACCATTTTCAAAGTGGAAAAAAGTCCTAATCCCACATTGATCAGAGCCGGTGATACTTTAAACATTGATAAACAGCATCTAATGAGTGTAGTGCTTAATTTTTTTTTATTTATGTAGCATAATTATGCTTTTCTCTTTTAACAATAAATTCCACTTATCAGTACAGATGCTCACTTCGAGCATAAAAAAGGGCATGCAAATTGCATAGCACCAATGACACCCGACCAATAGTGTCCCTACCAAAGTTCAAATCAAACCTACGCCCTTGGGTTGCAGAACGTTATTTCTCTATCTATGATGTTAGTTAGGCCTGACGTCTCAGCCTCATAAAGACATATTTGCAGTCAACTATGACAGAAAAGAGACGATCAAGTTTGGTTGTACTCAAATCAAAACGCACAAAGGGATTGGATCTAAATAAAGTTGTTAAGCGTTTTGCTGAGCAACATGGAAATCACTGCATTCAGCTGTTATAGTCATGTTAACTTTATGGTATGCTCTCTGGTGAACCTTTACAGAGCTGTTACATTTTGCTTTGGCACCTGAGAAAATCTGATATTTCCTTTAATAAAACCAACAGTGTTAAAATGTAAAAATGTGATACTGGTGTGAATCCTGCTTGATATGAAGCAGTGTTGTTGTTTCTTTTTTGTATATATAATATGAAACTATCCAGAAATGACCCGTATGAACCTACTCACAAGCAAAATGTATTTTTTATGTTGCTTCTTTTCAGATTTGTGGAGATTTTGATGTAACATACAGAACCCGCCTTTTTGTTGATTTGTTGATACAGCAGTATGGAGGACCAACTCTGCCATATTTAAAAATAAATACAGAAATAAATAAATGCTTAATAAATAAATAAGCATACAATTAATTGCCACCAAAAATACAAACAACAAATAAATGTAAGTAGAAATTAAATTATACAGCTAGTCATAAAGGTATATAACTCTTTTAATTGGCTTCTTTATTTCTTTGCCTTTTTAATATTTACCTTATTTATATTTTTGTCATTTATTATCTTCAACTTCATTTTTTAATTACTTATATTTTTAAGTATTTATTTATGTGCATGTTATCATATTTTTGTCTGTTTTATTCTTCCTTTGTATTTTTTTACCCTAGTTATTTCTTCGCCGCTATTTCTTTCTGCCTGCCCTTTTAACATTTCTGCCTGCCATTATAATATAATTTCTAATTACATTTATTTGTTGATTGTATTTTTGGTGGCAATGAATTGTATGCTTATCTTTTTATTGAGCATTTATTTATTTCTGTATTTATTTTTAAATATGGCAGAGTTGGTCCTCCATATACAGCTCTATCTACAGCATATTTACATGCATGAAATGTCCCTTTCATGTTGCATTAACTGCTGTATGTGAAGTTACTGAGGAACAAATGGGGTAAATGTGTGTTCAGAGTAAACATTACATAGATGTCCAGTACCTTGTTCGGGTGCCTTGACCCATTTATTTCTACTGTGTAGTTATGCTCACTTTAGTACAGCTCTGTCCATAGATCTCTGATAGGTAACTTTTTCTTTCTATCGTTTCTTCTTGTGTAAATGCTGCAAAGCTGCCTCTCTGACAGTCAATCTCACACATCTGCGACTCAGAACCTGTGTCTTACCTTAAAGGTACACTATGCAACCGGTGTTGATTTTCCAGCGAGGCTCCCCCCAGAGGGCGAAAGTAAAAGTGCACTGTCGTAAATATGCTCAGCTGTTCTCCTGGTTTCTCCGTCAAGCCAGGCGCGGTTGTTTTGAGCTTAGCAGACAGGCGAACGCAACGAATGACTAAGCATCTGTCGCGCGTGACGCGCCGCAAACGCACTGCTGCTCGAGATGGAAAAATTGAATTTTTGCTGCTCGATGCGCCACGTCAACCAATCAGAGAAGCTGATCTGGGAGCTGGCAGGGAGAGAGACACAGCGCTGATGATCAGAGGCTATGGTCACTCCTCTTATACAGTTTGACGCCTAAATTAACTTAAAATGCAGAAATCTGCTGGCAGAATATGTTCGCTTTTATTATCCTGCTGCCTGCAGTTTGGATTATTTAGATGAAAAACACCTACCAGCTGCCGCGGTGAACCGCGAGGAGGCGACCCGGCCAGAGGCTGCTGATGAAGGGATTCCTACTGTTGGCCCACCGCTGGTATGTGGGGGTCTGAGCGTCTCCGACAGAAAAAATATTGTAAGGCAGGATGATAATCTGAATGAACTGTCTGCACTGATTACGTTTTCAGGTGTATTTTCTCACTTAAAAACATATTAAAACTACTTTATTCCCACTGATCACAGCAAATATAGCTGCAAGGCAGAGAAAGGATAGTGAAGCTCCGCCCAACGCGCGTCAGACACACTTTTGCACTGCGCAGCCAGAGCAGCAAAGCTGCTTCTATCTCCTATTAAGTGAGATCTCATTGTACGATGTATTATTAATATGAACTGTTTCACATGAAACACTAGTACTGTACATACTATTCTCACCAAACTGTGATAACTGTGATTAAATTCAGTGTAAACAAAAGCCATATGTTGCCACCCCTAAAAAATTCCTGCCCCCCTCTTGCCACCCCATAAATATTTTTCTAGATCCGCCCCTGTTTCTGGCATATATATATATTGGTAGACAGGTTCATAAATCTGTTTTTAAGCAAAGCAGAGACACAAGTAGGGAGAGCTGCAGATTTAAAGGGGAAACAGATTTACTGGGATATGCAACTTGCAATAAAATATATCTCCAAATTTACCAGAAAGTTTATAAGAAAAGATATGCTATGCTATATTTAAAATGTAGCACATTTTTTCTGGATGGAAGGAATTGAAATTGTACTTCTAGGGATGCATGATTTATCGATTTTGCATCGGAATCGTCTGTTAATTTGTTAGATTATTTATACATGAATGTTTTTGGGCCATATATACATTAGGGGTGGAACGGTTCACAAAATCCACGGTTCGGTTCGATTCACGGTTTCGTGGTCACGGTTTTCGGTTCAGTTCGATTCGGTATATGTTGATTGTTACGCCGAAATCCCATAAAAATTTATGAAATTAATGAAAAAATCCCCCAAAAAATAATGGATTGTAATTATTTTAAATGATCTGCAGAAACCCTGGATCATTTCCGTATGTTTTGCTGCTTTGAATTTAATCATCTGGCGCATGCTCTCTACCATCTCCAAGGAACTCAGAGCGGAGCGGACAAAGCCACAGTGGAGGCTGTAGGCCTATCTTTGTGCAGCCGGTCAAAGCAGGGCGGAGTGGGGGTTGCTGACGGAGTATGAGGGATTTCGGGGTTAGCATGACATGTTGCTGCACTGCAAAAAATGGAAATCTAAATAAGTCATTTTTACTCAAATTAAGTGCATTTTTTCATGAATTGAGGAGGTAAGTGAGACACTTTGCCAATGGAACAAGACAATTTACATTTAAAATAAGAAAAAACTATTGTTTTTTTCTTATTTAAAGTGTATATTATCTAATTATCTTATTTTAGGAGTAAAAATACATTGGCAGATCATCTTATTTGGCTGCTCAAATTAAGGGTAAATAAACTTAATTTAAGACATCTTTTACTTAATTTTAGATGTTTTTTGCAGTGTGTTAGCATAAACAAAACGTGTTGCACAATGCTTGCACTTTTATCCACAGCTTTCTTTCCGCCGTCATCGTAGGTCACTCTAAATGCAAAGTGGTCCCATACAGCAAACCTATAAAGTGCTGCTGGCGCGTCTTCCAACTCCTGTTCTTTCCCACTCGCTATACCCACACAATTCTCCACAACAACTGATTTTTTTCCCTGCTACACCCGGCTACACTGCTTCGCTTCTTCTTCTTCTTGTTTACTGCTGGTGGTTGGCTTTAGTCGCAGTTCCGCCACCTTCTGCTCCGGAGTGTAAACGCTTCACCTATGAGAAAAAGGAGCAGCGCATGAACCGAACCGAGACAGTCGAACCGAACGGTTCGGACAGTTTTCATAAATCGTCCCATCCCTTATATATATATATATATATATATATATATATATATATATATATATATATATATATATATATATATATATATATATATATATATATATATATATATATATATATATATATATATATATATCCATCAATCCATTTTCTGACACGCTTAATCCCAAGTGGGTTGGCCAGGGGTGGTGGTGTCTATCTCCAGCTGTCTACGGGTGAGAGGCGGGGTCCACCCTGGACAGGTCTTCAGTCCTTCACAGGGCAACACAGAGACAAACAGGACAAACAACCTTTCATGCACACACTCGCACCTAAGGAGAATTCATAGAAGCCAATTAACCTAACAGTCATGTTTTTGGACTGAGGGAGAAAGCCGGAGTACCTGGACAGAACCAACGCATGCTCAGGGAGAACTATATATATATATATATATATATATACATACATACACTATGTATAGTGTATATTTGTTGGTCCGCACCAATAAAGCTACACCCTTGCATCACATAATAAAAATTATTTAACTATATTGATGTTACGTTGGAGAAATATATCTCTGCAATTAACCCATTCCCTTTGGGAGCAGTGGGCTGCCATTGTTTGCCATTGTTATTTCACCTTTTCGATTCCTTATCCTCCACGGATGGGTTAAAAAATTCAGTGTTTAAAAAATTTTTAGTATTTAAAATACGGTGTGAAAAAAATTCAGTATTTAAAATTTAGTGTTTAAAATTCAGTGTTTACAGTGTTAAATGCAGCATCTAAAATACGGTGTTAAGAAAAAATTTGGTGTTTAAAATCCTGAATAAAAAAGATGGCAGATTCCAATGAGATTGTTTTTCTTCCATAACGAAAGAGGCGTCTATGTTTTCATGTCTACGGTTGAGACGCTAAGACGGCTCTAACAGAATCCCATTCTTCCTGCGATGCTTCCAGTCTCTGGTCGCATGTCTTGGCGGAGCGTTCCTTGGTGGAGTGATCGACCGAATGGCTAAAGACTACAGGCACTGCAGAGGAGGTTTGCCTGATCTGGTGGTGTGGAATACCTCAAACAACACTTATAAGGTAAGACCATCCAAACCTTTATAAACCTTTAATATTTCATGTAAAACTAGCTCCTGCTGTCATGTGAATATTTCCTCATGTTGCAGCTGGTGGAGGTGAAGGGCCCCAACGACCGTTTGTCTCAGAAGCAGCAGATCTGGTTGGATGAATTGCAGAAACTCGGGGCTGACGTCGAGGTGTGTCATGTGACGGCCACCGGAGCCAGAGGAGCCCGTCTGGAGGAAACAAACATACAGGCGTCTAATTAGGGGAATTAATCTACCAAAAAGGGAAGAATCAGGGGGGAAAAACAGGCTCCTAGGAGGAAGAAGAAACATCGTGTAATTCCTCTCCCTCTGATTATTGCTGAGGAATATTTGGCTGAATCTTCAGCAGAAAACTTATAGATTGTTCTTTAAATGTTTCCTTATGTGGTTTATTTTTGGTGCCTTCCCTCATTATTATTACCTACAAAGTAATGGGGTTTACATACTGGGCATGAATGCTGTATGTTTTCAGATTTTTATTGTAAATCTTATGCTATTGATCTAATTCTGGGTGAATTATTGATCCCAATGATCAAAAGTAGATCAATACTGAGTGGCTTGGTTTTCTGACAGGTACTTATATTTTAAAGCATGGTCCACAGTTTCTCCATGGCTTTGGTCCGTGTCTTTTCAGAACTCTGTCAGCCTGCTGTAACCATTCAACACTAGTGAAATGAATTGTGTCCTGCATTTCAACATCTTATTGTTTATTTGAGAGGAAGCTCAAGGACTAGGAAGCATTTATGGAACTTTATTATTCAGGTTAACTTGTCTAACACTCCAATACCTTAAGCAGCAATGGGCCATCATTATGATGTCACCACCAGAAAGCAGAGTTTTTTGGGGGTTTGCATCCAAATTTTCTGCCTCACCTGGCTTAAGCCCTGCACACATGTCAGTGTTTTTCCCACCGCTTTCAGTTCATATGTCTGATTCCAGGTAGGTCCTGGATTCTTCTGGATTGCTCCAACCAATTTCCATCCATCTAATTGTCAAGATTTTGATTAAATGGTTGAAACTGGGAAACATTTGTATGTTTCAAAAGGAAAATGATCATAAAAATACATCAAACTGGTTTGAGAATTTACACATTTTGCCAATATTTACCTTCTTGATTGACATCAGCCTGAATTATTTTGAAGATTTTACGGACTGCGTTTAAACGCCAGATCTGCATAAGGAGATTTTCAAACCCTTCAATCAGCCATTATTATTCCAACAACCTTGCTGATGTGCACTCTGTGTTGGACTTTGTAGAATTGTTGTTAAATTTTTATTGTAAGCACATTGATATATTTGACCCTGGTTGCGTATTTTTTATGTTTGGGTACTCAAATGTATGTTTTATAAATAATTAAAGTTCCTTGAAGGAAAAAACCAGTCCATTCTAAAAAAAAAACAACCCAGAATGTTTGGGGCTACCCTAATCCTACCTTACCCTAACTCTAACCTTACCTTACCCTAACCCTACCATACCCTAAACTTACCTTACCCTAAACCTACCTCGCTCTAACCCTACCTGAATCTAACCCCACCTAAGCCTTACCCTGACCCTACTTTAACCCTACCTTACCCTAACCTTACTTTACCCTAATCCAATTTACCCTAACCCTACACCTAACCTTGCCCTAACCCTACCTCACCCTTACCTTACCCTAACCATACCCTAACCTATTCCTGTACCTTACCTTACCCTAACCCTACCTTATTCTAACCCTACATTACCCTAACTTTACCTTACCCTAACCATTCCTTACCCTAACCCTACCTTACTCTAACTCTACCTTACTCTAACCCAACTTACCCTAACCCTACCTTACCCTAACCCTTCCTTATTCTAACACTACATTACTCTAACCCTACCTTACTCTAACCTTACCTTACCCTAACCTTACCCTAGCCCTACCTTACTCCAACCCTACCACGATGACCATCGTGGCAGAGACAGGATATAATCAGAAGCCTGGGTTTTTGCTAAAAAAAAATTTTAGTTATTAAGAATTTGCTTTGTTTTATTAAAATAGAAACCAGTTTTATCAGTATGTTGGGTTACCAAGCAACAAAAACAGGAAATCACATTTACTTGGAAGCTTAAACTAAATTAACTCTGTGAGTTTCTCATACAAATAATTACTGTGTTAATTGTCTCTAATTACACTGATTTTATACTAATGTATTAAAATATCAGCTGGAACCAAGGACGGAAGTCTGGTGGGTGTTTTTATAACATCCATAAATACAGTTTGTAATAATGTGCAAATCAATCTTATGATTACCTAACAAATACGCATTTTTATTTTTTCTGCCTACAATTCCTGTAAACTGATTGACACCAGCTTCTAGCAGGACTTACCTTTACAGCCCTCCGTCTGCTGTGGGTGGCAGGAAGGCGGAAGATAAAAATCAGATACTAAAAACAGAGAAATTAGCTCAGATTTACAGAATAAACAAAAAAAGACTAGATGTTGGAGATTGGCCTGTTTTTCAGTGTAGTCCTGTTTCTCTGACTGTGACTAACTGGATGTGCTCTCTTCATCCTCTGACATGGGAGCTGGCTTGGAGCTCGTCTGCCTGGCTGTGTGTTTCCTGGACGGGTTCACCTTTTACAGTTGCCTTTTGTATCTATGCTTCTTTTTCTATGTCTGCTTCTGTCTCCTTGAACCCCAGTGGGCCTCAGCAGATGGCCGCTCACACTGAGCCTGGTTCTGCTGGAAGTTTCTTCCTGTTCAAAGGGGGTTTTTCCTCTCCACTGTTGCTACAAGCATGCTTAGTGTGAGGGATTGCTGAAGAGTCAATGAGTCGATGCAATCAGCTGGTTTTCCTTAGATAGAAAACTTTGAATCAATCTGACTGGATGATCTGGTGAACTGTGAAGCGCCTTGAGATGACATGATGTGAATTGGAGCTATAGAAATAAAATGAACTGAACTGAGCTTCCTTTGTGTTATAGTTGTGGTTTCCAGGACGATCCATTTTTAAAAGAATTTTTTAATGAATTTGTTGATATTTTGGGTTTGTTGTACAGTACTCTATTTAAACTGTATTTTAATAAGCTTTTTGTAGGATCAAACGATAGAAAATAGTGTTTTTTGATTTAAATGTCATGTGTGTAATGATGGATGTTATCTGGTGAAGGTTGTCGTTAATACCCCCCATCCCCCCCATGCTCAGAGCTGAAACCCATCTCCGATAATAAGCGGGAGGGAGGGGGGGGAGATCCCAGCCACCCTGCGTGTGACGTCACGACGCTGGAGCAGGAGAGAGCAGGCGATGAGAGGAAGCTGCAATAAACACACAGGGCGTCTGCGCCTTCCTGGAGAGGACAATTAAGTGAAAACGGCATCAATGCTCTAACAATGGATGTGTCACCTTTGCTACCCCTTAAAGTTTTCCTCTTCGTTTACTTGCTAAGCTACACCCAAGGTGAGTGGGGGACATTTTAGGCGGGGAGGGGGAGAATCTGGGAGGAACGGGTGAAGCAGCAGCAGTAGCGGCTGGGAGCCCGTTAGCTAACGGGAGGGAGGATGAGCAGCGGGGCCTGCTTGTTGTAAGCAGGACTGCACCCTTTTCTACCGTCTCGCTTCAAGCTAACAAAAGATACGTTGCGTCAAAGCCGAGCGGGATTCCCGCAGTTTGTGGCTGTAAACCGACGCCGATATGTTGTTCCTCGCGTGTTGTCACCGGTTTTTATTTATTCTATTTTTATTTTATTCCTTCGGCCTGGTTCTGTTGTTATGGTGCGAACACAGGCGACAGCCATTGTTGTTAGAAGATGGAGATACCGACTGGGCTAACGGACCGCTAGCTCCATGCTAACACATAGGCTAGCAGCTAACGGTAGCATATTTTAAAGATTTCTTTTTTTCAAAATCCGACCTTTTTCAAAGCAGATAATCCATTTATCATCTAGCTGTTTAAAATATTTTTATTTTTTACTGTTGTTCTTGAATTTGGTTTAATAAAAACAGCATATATGTGTTGTTTCCAATAATAGCTCTGTGATAATACAGCTTTTTATAACACAAAGTGCTGGGAAATGGGATTCTCTGCCATTAAACATTTCTTAAATTCGCTTTATTTCCTGTCAGGCTTGTTAAACTCCTTTGACCATCTGACCAAGATAGTCAGATTCACCATAGAGTCAAATCAGATGATTGGGATTTTATTTTCTTAATCCTGCATAAACTGTTTGTCTGCTTAAACCCAGTTTTTGGAAAACTAAGTTCTACTTTAGTAGCCACAGTCAGGGATAAATACTATCTAAAGCTGTGGAAGAACCTGTCTGACGACATGAAGTAGGCTTATAAAGCCATACCTTTTTAACAGAACAGAGTCATTTCAGTAGGGCTTTGATAGTGGCCATCATTCATTTAAGAGTGAAAACTTTGCACAGTGGTGAACCTTTCCAGGATTTCTTCTCGAACTTTAAATTTTGGGCGATCCTCCAGGAATCCGCCAACATCGTTTACGCTATATGATACACTAATCAATCATCAAAGCAATTTACATTTTTCCGTTATGTATGTCTATTTAAAGATTAATGGCTTTCTAGAAAAAAATAAATCGATGCATTCAAACATTGCGGTGATGGTGTGAGGATCTGGGGTTATTGGCTTTAGAGCCTTGAAAATTTACTGTGATTGCTGAAACAATGTAATCTACTTCCTGCCTCTAAATCACGAAACAAAGTGTTCGACCATCAGTTTGACACCTTTAGCCCATGTGCACATCATGCAGAACAAATCCTGAATCAAAGCAATCCAGTAAGTCCACCTTCAAATGGTTAAAAAAAAAACAAAAAAAACGGCCTAGTCAAAGTCGAAACCTGTATGAGAATAACTGAAATCTGCGACTCAAAAAAAGTATAAAAAAATAAAATAAAAAAACAATCCACTGGACTTAGTTTCCAAGTTTGAATACATTTTGCTTCCCATCCAGGAAGCTTTTTTAGTTCAAAAATGTTTTTTTTTTTCTAAACAAAGAATTAATTTTTGATTGAAAAAGCTTCCTGGATGTGAAGCGAAATGTATTCAAACTTGGAAAAAAAGTCCAGTGGATTGTTTTTTTAAAAAACTTTTTTTGGAATGACTATGTTTATGGGTGTAAATCACACCCATCACAGCGATTCAATTCTGTATCAATTTCCTGACCCAACGATTGGATTATTTTCAATACTCAAGAATACACCATGATACGATTCGATTGTTTTTTTGTTTGTTTTTTTACACCTTACAGGCTAAAAAAAATTTCAAATGTGCAATAAATCAATGAAGCTTGTAATATCGTTATGCGTTTAATTTGAGAAACAACAGCAAATAACAGAATTGAAAAGTTGTTCTCCACCTAGGCTTATGAAAACTAGCCTGACGTAGTCCGACTCAATTCTAGTCAGAATGAGTCTGATGCTGCTCCATAGAGCTGTGATTATGGGGCGTGTTTCGAACGAACCAGGAAAAAAAAATGCCTCTGCACTCAATTGGATAGACCTACAACCAATAAGAGCAACGGAGTGCGTGACGTGTGTTAAGCGAGGCACAGTTGTTGTCCACAAAAATCAAAGCGTGCAGTTGCACCCTCTTTTAAAATTAATTTGCTGTCGATATCTTCTAGAACAGACCTAATAGCAGAATCTACTCACCTAAACTCTCCAGCGGCAGCCATTGTTGTTGTCACCCAAGCGCACATTGGTCACGTGGTTGATTACGTGACTGTTGGTCATCTGTCAATCATCGTATAAAGCCCGCCCTGACAATTTGATTGGATCGCCTGACAGTGGGCGATAATACTCGTGCTACTATGGAGCAGAGCCAGACCGAACTTCCCCGACCTCAAACTTTGTGGGCGGGACTAAGTTCGGAATGGCACCCAGGCTATATGAAAACCTCCTTCAATGAAAAACAATAATGCCTCTATATTATAGATTCTGAAAGGACTTTCATCAAAAAATACTGCAAGTGGAAATAGGGTAGTGGCTAAAGGAAGCAAGGTAGGAGCGCAAAGTAGGTTTAGCGCCTCCGCAGTGTGGGAGTCAGAATTACATCCAGGAGCAAATGGATAAAAAAAATAGACCGGCTGGGAAAAAAGCATGAATTGATACTCTTGTGGACGTGTCGATGCATCGGATTGTCGGCAGTTGGATTGATGCATCGATACAAAACGATTATTGTTTACACCCCTAAATATGACTTTTCACCAACAAATCTGCAACAAAACAAAGTGTTAAAATTTCTCTACCGCAATTTAAAAGGCTTGTTTCTAGTAAGCAGAGACTTGATAGAAACACTGATGAATATTTTTGTCATACTCACTTAGATTGGTTTGAAAAAGTGTTTTTCCCTTTAATAAGTAAAATCAACACTTTATAAGTTATTTTTAATTCTTTTAGTTTTGACAATACAATTAGTGTTGAAGATAAACAGAAAAAATCTGAGGGATAATAATGTTTAACATTATTAAAAGACATTAACGTATAAATGAAAGTTAACACCAATAGGAGGTTAATTAAAGCAGTAGTACAATAATTCACTGCTTCGTTTGATGTTTTTCTAAGATGTGAGGAATCACTGGAATTTTTTAAATCCTATTTTCCTAAAAAGGGTCCTATCAAGCTGAGTCCTGGTTATGACAGTAATTTGTTTTCAATAGAAAATGATTTGATCTGTGCTGATTTCAAAAGAGAAAAATGGACAAACAGGCCTCTCACGTTTTTGTTTTCACTCTTTGTTTCATTGGCTCTTTGGTGCATTAGTGAAAGACTTGACCGATTAGGTAATTCCAGACATTCTTCTCTTCTCACAGTTACCTCAATGAAAAATTCAATGTTACCGCCTAAATATTTGATGCTGCTTATGAAGAGTGAAGGGGCTGAAATCTGGAGCATTTATCCGTGTTTGTTGCTCAGCCTTTATTTACGGTATCCAGTAAATGACGACTTTGTAGTCAGACTAATTACCTGCCAGGCGGCTCTAATTGTATATTGTCTGTTTTGTGGGAAAGCTGCTGGATTTTTATGTAATCCTCCGGTTTGCTACTTTGACATTATAAACAGAAAGTAATCTTGGCAGTTTATTTTACTCAAACACATTGATCTTCTTGTTTTGGTTTCCTTTTTTTTTTCTGGTTCACTTTTAAAAATGAAATGGGCGGATATGCATGAGAAACCTTTGCCTTCATATCCTCCTCCCACTCCTCTGGTGCTGAAGCAGCTCCAAAGCAGGCATCTGTTGTTGTTTTTTTTTTTTTATTCAATCGATAGAAATCCAAAATACCTCTTTTTGAGCCTTAACACGCAGATTTCTATCTTTTTAATTCTATTTTCCAAGTGTCTGTCGTTGGATCAACCCAGACACATTTGGCAGTTTGGTTGAATCAAAATGATATGGACACTTATTTACATTTGGTATATCCCTCTTTTATAGGAAGACCAGTAAATACGTCCTCTCAATTGATGAATTCTTTGGAGGATTTTTGCTTTTTGGTGTTGTACTTTTTGTTTTTAAACTAATATCTTCCTGGTGGTTTTCATGCTCCTCTTTGCTGCCCTGAAAGACGATTAGTTTTGTCTTCAAAAACGTCCTAAACAGATGGACATATGATCACAGCTGTTTGGAACTGCAGCTAACACTCATTTCATTAATCCAGCATTCTGATGATTATTCTAAAAATTGATTGCATAAAAATGGCTGTATTCTGAATATATTTAAATTGCTTATTTGATATCTAATAGAAATATATATAAAGAAAATAGAAAATAAGCAAATAGTTGAATTCCTCTTTTTTAAATCAGCATTTCATTTACATAACATGACATCTTATTCTTGAATAATATCTTTAGTATAAACTTTGAACTTCGTAGTAAAGGATTCATCTGCAGTAGGAAGTGATCGATTTTAGATCAGCCGATACTTTGATTTGAAACCGATCTTTTCCTCTGCAATGGTCTGATATAAAAATACTCTGTCGGTGCTTTAAACTTTGATTTATATTTGAGAGCAGTTTAACGGTTCTGATCAATGTTTTTCAGTAAAATAAGATTAAAATGTTAAAGTTGTTTTGTGATCTTATGATAACTCACAGTATTGGTTATATATTAAAAAAGAATTTCTGTATTTGGCAAATTCACATGTCAGGAAGCAGGGATCAGCCCGGGGTCGGTGCAACTTTAAGCCGCAGATTAAAATTAAAAATAAAGATGTTCTAACAAAGCCCAGCCTTTACTGGTTGATTCACCATCAACTCCAGAATCAGCTGCCTCTTTACTGGCCTCCAAAATGTCACTTTCTCATTGCATGCTGGATTTGAAGAGATTTTATTAATTTCATTCTCAGCTAATGGCATGTTTCAGCGTCTGTATGCTGCAGGTAACAATTGAAGACTAAAATAGTTTCTGATTATTTCACCAATTAATGTATCGTGTTTAATCTGATGAATCTTGCAGTCCTACATCAGGTGAAGATTCTCCGTTATCCAGGTCATAGTCATTCCAAAACAGTTAGAAAACGTTTCGTTTCCCATCCAGGAAGCTTTTTCCAATTCAGATCAAGTTGCTTCCTTCCCACCATCATAGCACCCCCGACCGCTTTACAGGGGAACAGAAGACCTAGCCTATTCAGCCAGGCCAACAATTACCTTTAACAACCCCCCTTTCAGAGACATAGACAGGTATGGGGCATTGCAGGCTAACAAAGAAGCGAAACGACCCACATTCCAAAGGGGGGGGGACCCGTTCATCCGTTTCTATTTGCATGTTTTCTAAACTAAAACCTGGAACTAAACGCTATTTCTGACATTTTGAAATGAAAAATCTTCCTGGATGGAAGAGAAACGTCTTCAAACTTGGAAACAAAGTCCAGTAGAATGATTTTTTTATTTTTTTTTGGAACGACTATGACCTGGTTGCAGGGTTCCCGCGGGTCCTTAAAAAGTCTTAAAAGGCATTGAATTCTTCAAAATAAAACTAAGGCCTTAATTGGTATAAAAATGTCTTAAATTGGTCTTTCGTAGGTCTTAATTTTTAAAACATCATAACAGGATTATTTTTATTACGATTTATTTTTGTGATCTAAATAAAACGTTAGAATTGACAATTATTATTATTTTTTTATTTAAAAAAATGGCTCTCCATTATTGGTTCCGTCCCGATAGCGGAACCAATAAAGCGTTGTTGCGGCCGGGACAATTGGGAGATGCGCCATTTACTTTTTGTCTGGAAAATATGAGCAAGTGTAAATGGAACCAAAATTGTCTCCAGCCAAGAGTTTCCTCCATGGCTAAAACCAGGGAACATACATGAGGCTCAGTGGATTTAGTGCAAGAAGTCATTCAAGCTCAGAACGATGGGAATTAAGTCAGTGGAGTCGCACATGCGAAGCACGAAACACAAAGCGTCAAAATGGAGTTAGAGAGAAACAGCCGGTATTTCTCAGTTTAGTTCCACCCTTGTCTCTGCAACGCCTCCACTTATCACCAAATCAAACATACTAAGAAAACCATACAAAGAAAAATAGCTGCTAAAAAGACTTAGCACTGGTTATGTTGGGGCTTTAAAGCTGATTTGTTTTGTTCCCTGCTAAAACAAAGTTTGTGAATTCAGTTAAATAATTGTTGAAATATATCTGTCATTTGTGTGTTTTTAGCTTTCTTCCTGTATGGGAAGCTTTTCAAAATTTGAAACATTAGTGCAGTGGTTTATGTTAAAATAAACATTTGGGTTAAGTTGTAGCAAGCAGGTTTTTCTTGTGAATTTGGTCTTAAATTTTATTTCAAGTGGCATTAAAAAGTCTTACAAAGTCTTGAATTTAACTTGCCTTATGCTGTAGGAACCCTGTGGGTGACTGAGAATCTTCACCATCATGTATTTAGAAATCACATTTTATTAAACTGGGCCTGAAAGGTTTTTAAGGTGGAGTTTAACTCATAGCTGGTACAAAATGTTCAGTTACAGATAGGATCTGTCTAACAGAAGTCTGGAGAAAAAAAGTAAGTCGAAAATGTTGACCAAGCAAAAATAAAAACCCTGCTGCCTGTTGGCCAACAGTGTTGATCTAAGATCAAATGCTGAGTGTCCACTTTATTGAGACGTTGGTTTCTGCAGGATTATGTTTGGGTGACGTTAAAATCAGTCTCCCAGCTAAAGGTTTGGATTGCTGAGATATTCGTAACTAAACATATGCCAGCATTAACCGATTTATCAAAAGTTAGTGTTTGAAATGTCTGTTAGATTATTTAGTCAGACTGAAAAGGACTGATTCGGATAAGAAAACATGCTGGAGCAGGCGTGTTGTTACCTCTCTGCAGTTACTGACATAAAGCGGAGACTTTTTCCCGACACTGGGGCAAATTATTGCGGCTATTCATCCTAACTGGTGTCTGTAAGTGCTGCTTTTTTATCTTCCCCACAGGACACTACAGGAATCCTCTGAACAAGTATATCCGCCATTATGAAGGCCTGTCCTACGACACAGAGCTCGTTCACAGCAAACATCAAAGGGTGAAGCGGGCCCTCTCCCATGAAGACAGGTTCCTTCATCTAGACTTTCATGCCCATGGAAGGTTTGTTCACCTCTTTTCTTGTGACCTACGCTGATTTTTGTAGCCAGTTTGAGGGATTTATACTAAAACTAAACCAGATTTCATTTTCTTTCTTCGCCTGTGTTTTTGTTTTTCTTTTACTGTACGTCTTGGGTTTTCTTGTGCAGTTTCTTTGACTTTAGTTGGAGCCAGATGATTCACCACTTGGTTAAAAGCCGGATAATAACAAGCTTTTTTAAACTTTAACCTTTTGTTTTTTTCCTCATATGCTGCTTTTTATTTCTTTCCACATGACAATTAAAATACTAAAAGCTCAATGCACCCCTGGAGGTGATTGTGGAGGCATTTACGTTAAGATCTAATAAAGATATAAAAATCAACAAATAGGAAAATGTTGTCCCTATTTTTGAGGAAGCGGACATGGTGTTTAGTTGGATAGAAACTAAGAGTCTAAACTCTATCACAAAGTCGCCTCCATCTGCCTTGAATCTTGGCAGGGACTGTTTATCATCCTGGCTGCAGCAGAACTCGCTGTTCCTAAACCCTGATGCTGCTTAATGAGGAACAACAGAGCAAGATAAAAAGCTGTGCAAAAACACTGACATAAAAGACACTTTTATTTTTGTTTGGAAAGTGTTTTTTTTTTTGTACATATTTTTTCTTCTACTTTTCAGTTTCCCTACAGATTGACGCCTTTATCTTTCAGCCAAACAATCATAGTTTCCATTCCAGATTGGAGAGCTTCCTGAGTAGCGCTTGCAGGATGTAAGACAGGGTGCAAATGTTTATTACGGAAATTAGGGGGTTTGTTTACAGAATATCCAGGATAGCGTGTTGCCTCACTTAAGGCTCGACATTATAAAGAAAATTTAATAGCACGATACATTACCTTCAAAAACAATAGAGTGCATTAAATTGTGTTATTTTCATTCAAACTTTTGGTTTTAACTTGAAAACGTTTTATTTAACAATCTCAAAGCTTTTCTGCCACATGATGTCTTTGGGTGTCAGCATTAACAAGATTCCAGCAACCAAACAGGAAACAAAGCAAAAACACACAATACTAAATAAAATGCTAATTTTAAAAAGGGCTCTTTTTTGCATAATAAAAAAAAATGCAGAATAAAATAAGAAATTGAATCAAATTACAAAAACGAAAGTGGAAATACTGTCCAAAAATAAGAGCTTTATCTCCAATCTATTAGCATGGAGCTTTACCTGCTGGGAGTTTTAAAGTTGTAAAGTTGAGAACATTTCCAAGTTTAGAGAACACCTGTAAAAACTCTGAACATCACATCATAGAGCATCTAAAAAACATTGAAATAAAGTAATAAATAACTTCTGTGATTTCCTTCCATCTCGTCCCATTTCTCTCATATGGGATTGCTTTTTCAAACGACGAGGCCAAAATCATCGTCCTCACAGCTGATTAATTGAACCTTCTAATTGGTGTGCGGGGAGACGCTGACATGAAGATTCTTCATTTTGCAGCGGATGACTTTTTAGATGGTGGAATAAATTAGTCCTGCTGTCTTTTGCTGCGATGGGTTTTTGTGGCATGTCTTACAAATTAGCGCCTTTTGATCAAAGTCCTCGGTGTGAAATTCCAACCTCTGGCGTATATCGCTCAGCTGAAACACCTGCTGGCTCCATATTTGTTTATCAGGTGCTGTAGTGTGCGAAAAAATAATCCCGTTTGCAGCAGGGTTTTTTGATGCATTCAAAGTCTGTGTGGAAAATGAGTTGCTGATTGCCCCTCATTACCCCCTGTACACTACACGGCGCACGATTGGGCTAAAAGTCGGTCAGATTGTAAAATTCTCGCACGATTAGAGAATCGGCCCGAAAAGGGCAAAAAATCGTACAGTGTACGCCTGGCTTAACAGATTTGATTGATTTGTTATTTACTAACAGCCTTTAAATGGTAGAAAAACTAAAAGGCAAGATATTCACTAAAACGAACAAACATTTTCAGTACCGTATTTTCACGACCATAAGGCGCACCGGACTGTAGGGTGCGGGGCGGCGATGTGTTTGCTGCAGTAGGAGTGGAAGCTTACCAGCTTTTCATTATAATCTGCCGGACGTTGCTGAGCTGCTGTAGTCCTGGTCCGGATGGAAAAATTGCACTCATAGGCGTGTCTCTTTGCCATTTTCAGGGTTATGGCAACAATGTTCTGCATAAAGCACATGCCTGTTCTTTTATACACAATCCACTAGGGCTGAACGATTTTGGAAAATAATCTAATTGCAATTTCCCCCCCCCAGTTTAATTGATCATGTCTTTTTTTAAACATATACAAACAACAAATCAATCTGTTTCATCGCTTTGCAGATTAGGTGCTAAAAGACACGCTGTGTCCTAATTAATGATCGCGTTCTGCCTACGATATATTTCAACCAAAATTGCAATTTAATTTAGACTTTTCTCTACATAACCACAAGCAACAAAAATGGCCTCTAAATAAAGACAATTGTAAACAATGACTATTTAAATCAAGAACTTTTAATTTTTTTATTAATCAGAATATTATTCAAGAGAACAGCTTTTAACTGATTTGAACATGAAGTCCAAAGTGCAACCAACAAACCAGTCTATGTATTAAACTGATTAACTGGTACTTAGTGCTATGTATGAATATATAAACTCTAAAACAAGTAATAAAATTAGATTATCTCACTGCTGCAACCGTCTTCCCTTCCATGTGGAGGCAAATCCACTTTAAACATTTTACTGACACCTAAAGAACGTTTCTGATTCACTAATTGTTACTTAGCCAAAAATTGCAGACGTCCGAGATTTGGAAATTGCATTTTTTTTCAATCGCGATTATATTGAAAATGCGATTAGTTGTTCAGCCCTACAATCCAAGCCCACACTTCCCCCTTTAACGTTCTCATGGCGGTCTCAACAACATCCGCAGTAACAACACACATAAGGCGCACCGCACATTTTGAGGGGGGAAAAAAAGATGTTTATATGCGCCTTATAGTCATGAAAATACGGTAAATTTGACCTTGCATGCTCCAGAAGAAAACATGAAAAAATCCTGTGGGGGGAAAAAAAAATAAAATAAACACCAGCCGGAAGAAACGTCCAACCCTGGACAGGCAGGAGATTAAATAAAAAAATCATACATGTTAGACACTATAGCGCCGTTTTAAACGTCTTAAAATTACCAGCAAAAACAGAGAAGAGACTTAAGTTAACGTTCTCATTTAAAGCTTTAGGTGTTAAAGTGTCAAAGTATAAATAATAAAAATCAACAACATCTAAACAGAGCCATAAAGGACTGGATTTGATTGTAATTTGATTGTGTTTACATTATCCTCTGAAATCCAGAACTGGTCTGATTCTTAATCGGTGGAAGGCTTTCAGACTGGATGTGTGACTGAAGAATCGATTCTCTCCTCGTCTCATTCCAGGCATTTCAATTTACGAATGAAAAGGGACACCACCTTATTTTCTCCAGATCTGAAAGTGGAGGTTTCAGGAGAGGAGATACCTTACGACACCTCTCACATCTACACAGGAGAAATCTACGGTAAGGCCGTGTTTGTTCCACACGCCGTTTAATGTCTCGGCCCCGTGGTATTTCTTACAACGCTTGTTTTTTCTTGATGCTGTGATAATTACACCTCCGATCTTGCGAGAGTCTGAAAATAAACTGCGATAATTTGACTCCCCAGGTGAGAAAGGTACCTTGACTCATGGCTCCGTTGTGGATGGTAAGTTTGAAGGCTTTATACAGAGCTACCACGGGACTTACTACGTGGAACCAGCCGAGCGATACCTGGAGGATAAAGACGTGCCGTTTCACTCTGTCATCTACCACGAAGACGACATCCGTAAGTCTGTCCTCTAAACCTGCTCATTGCTCAGTCAGAAGTGTGTTTGCTTGTATCAGATGTGAGTCATTTGTTACCTGCTAATGTGTATCAGGGAAGGTGTAAGTTTAGCACTGATGAAGGTTGACTGGTGTGATTGCCTCCCTCGGGAGCAGGGATACCCGGTGTGCTCATTAGCTGAATAACAATCCTTCTCTCAGGCTGCTGGCTTATTTATGCTCTCCACATTTATGATGCTAATAGTGAGCACTGAGCACACTTTGCTACAGCCGCAGCCTTCAATTTCAAATCATCTGTGAACACATAGCAAGAGGCTTTGGGGCAAATTAAAGAGGATTGCGAAAAGAATGGCTAATGAGAGAGACGAGGAAGGCAGCGGCTCACACACCGCAGCGAGCCGCATCAAGCGATGTCTAAGTACATCCATTAGCCGATCATGAATAGCACCGGCAATAGAATGACTCAGGGGGTTAAGTAGCTAACATTGTCTTTGTAATCCAAACAGTGTTTGTATCTGCCTCTGTCACTCAGACTACCCGCACAAGTACGGCCCAGAGGGAGGCTGCGCCGATAGCTCCGTGTTCGAGAGGATGAGGAAGTATCAGGCCTCCGCCGTAGAGAAGCCAGCCAAGGTGAATCCCTGCGCATAAAGAAAGCTTCAGAGAAAACATCCTCCTTTCATTTGGAACAAGCCGGTTTTGTTCCTGATTTTGAAGTGTTGGAATATTGATTTAACATATATGGCAAAATAGCATCTTTTTAGCGTTGCTACATGACATGTTTTATTAAATCTGAATGCTGTGTTATTAATCCTATATGTGCATGATATTGGGAAAGTGTTAATAGTGAATGCTGGAGTGAATTTACTTCAGTTCATTTCTGTTTATTTCTGTAGTCAGAGTTCCCACGGGCCCTTGAAAAGTCTTAAAAGGCATTAAATTCTTCAAAATAAAACTAAGGCCTTAATTGGTATTAAAATGTCTTAAATTAGTATTTCGTAGGTCTTAATTTTTAAAACATCGTATATAGGATTATTTTTATTACGATTTATTTATTTTTGTAATCTAAATCGTTAAAATTTACAATAAAAAAAAATAAAAAATAATGGCTCTCCATTATAGGTTCCGTCCCGATAGCGGAACCAATAAAGCGTTGTTGCAGCCGGGACATTTGGGAGATACACCATTAACTTTTTGTCTGGAAAATATGAGCAAGTGTAAATATAACCAAAATTGTCTCCAGCCAAGAGTTTTCTCCATGGTTTAAACCAGGGAACATACATGAGGCTCAGTGGATTTAGTGCAAGAAGTCATTCAAGCTCGGAACGATGGGAATTAAGGCAGTGGAGTCGCACATGCGAAGCACGAAACACAAAGCGTCAAAATGGAGTTAGAGAGAAACAGCCGGTATTTCACAGTTTAGTTCCACCCTTGTCTCTGCAACGCTTCCACTTATCACCAAATCAAACATACTAAGAAAACCATACAAAGAAAAATAGCTGCTAAAAAGACTTAGCACTGGTTATGTTGGGGCTTTAAAACTGATTCGTTTTGTTCCCCGCTAAAACAAAGTTTGTAAATTCAGTTAAATAATTGTTCAAATATATCTGTCATTTGTGTGTTTTTAGCTTTCTTCCTGTATGGGAAGCTTTTCAACATTTGAAACATTAGTGCAGTGGTTTATGTTAAAATAAACCTTTGGGTTAAGTTGTCGCAAGCAGGTTTTTCTTGTGAATTTGGTCTTAAATTTTAATTTCAAGTGGCATTAAAAAGTCTTAAAAAGTCTTGAATTTAACTCGCCTTATGCTGTAGGAACCCTGTGGGTGCCAGTTCACAAAACATATAATTTCAAGTCACTTTACAATTCAACCAGATCATCCAGTCAAAGTTTTCCATCTAAGGAAAACCAGCTGATTGCATCGACTCATTGACTCTTCAGCAATCCCTCACACTAAGCATGCTTTTAGCGACAGTGGAGAGGAAAAACTCCCTTTGAACAGGAAGAAACCTCCAGCAGAACCAGGCTCAGTGTGAGCGGCCATCTGCTGAGGCCGATACTGCACAGCCAGGTATCGGGGCCAAAAAATGGCAGCGGCGGTACACTAATATATATTCTGAATTTAACTTCCTGAATTTCATTGCTGAAACAAATTATCTTTACATTAATATTCTACTTTATTGAGATGCAAGTGTAAATTCTGGATCCCAAATAGGTGTTTTATATATTTGATCTTATCTGAGTTTTCTCGCAAACATAATTCCCCAACATAATCTGATATCTGCTTTGCTATTCTGGGTTAATAACAGAATCCAGCCTTGGAGAAAAAAATCTAAAAATACTCTCTATCATTTATTTACTCGCCGTTAGGCTGAAAATGCTGTTTATATGTTTTATTTAACTCTGTAAGACTCACATGTGCTCCTTGCATCAGGAGCTCCACGCTGAGGCTGAGGCTGAAGGGCCCGTGCTGCTGAGACGAAAGAGGATGGCCCAGGCGGAGAAAAACACCTGCCAGCTTTTCATTCAGACCGACCACCTGTTCTATAGATACTACAAGAGCAACGAAGCTGTCATAGCTCAGGTGAGGCACCGCCTGCTCTAAGGTACTAACCTTTTATCTAATGCAAAGTCAATTAAGGTCCTTTAGAGTCTGTACATTAGATTTTTAAGAATAGGTGTGTCTCTTGGATTTAAGGGAAAGTTTTGTACAAATTCGGTAAAAGGGGAAAAAGAGTAACAGTGCTTAAACAAACTTAAGTTTATCTTAAGGATACATTCACTAGGAAAAAATACAAAATAAACTCTTTTTTTCTAAATGCTGTTGATGCAGAATGCAAGCTTATATACAGAACTGAATAAGCTCCTAATTAAAAGCTGAACTCTCTGATGCTACTTTCCGACCGCGGGAAGCAGGAGCAACAAAAACACGCTTGCTCCTTCATTTTTGATGCTTTTACAAGTTTAGTTCTGCATGCGGCTAAAGCATCTTTGCCGCTCTAGCTGCGCAGTGGAAAAGCATTTTTAATGTAATACAAACTGCAGGAACCAGAATAATAAAATAAAACATATTTAGTTGGCAGGTTTCTACATTTGAAGTTAATTTAGGCGTTAATAAACTGTTTCAGAGGAGTGATCATAGCGCTCTGCATCAGCAGTGCTGCGTCTGACTCCCTGCTAGCTCCCAGATCAGCTTCTCTGATTGGTTGATGTGGCGCATCCAGCAGCTAAAGTAAAATTTTTCCAAATCCAGCAGCTGCTGGTTCTGAAGCGCGTCGCATGCGTCAGAAGCTCATGACGCACTGCTCCTGCTCAAAACGTGCTGCAGGACCTTTTGCTGCACCTTGATATGTGTCAATCATTGACTTTGCATGTAAACCTGCTGCTTCCGGTGTTAACCTAGCATTAGAGCAGTGTTTTGCAACCGTGGGTACGCGTACCCCTAGTGGTCCACCGGTGCATTGCAAAGGGTATGTGAAAATATTTTATTTCTTAGGTATAAAATAAAATAGGGCTGGGATCTGTTTAGCTTTTTGAAGACCTAACTGAACAATTAAATGAGCTTTTATTAACCAAAAATTTAGTTTTCTCATACAGGGTTTCCACGGGTCATTAAAAATCATCAAAAGTCATTAAATTTTATTTTTAAATTAAGGCCTTAATTGGCATTAAAATTAATTAAATGTGTTTATTGTGGCATTTAAAATTTTATAAAAACTATTTCATCAGACATATCAGGATATATTTGTGTGGAATTGTGTGGAAAAGCTAGATAATGGGGAAGAATGTCAATTTCAACAAAAGTGGTTGGAAACGAGGAATTCGGGTCGTGGCTGTAGCCTGTCGACGGCTACCTGTTGGTGGCATTAAAATGATTTCTAAGAGCATTAAAAAGCATTAAATTAGAGTTATTTATTCCTGTATAAACCCTGGCATAAGTTCAAGTTCAACTTCAGCTACACTGAAAAAAAAATAGAGGTTGACAGAACTTAAATTTTCTAGGCAACGTGATGCATTTGGTTTTTTGAGTTTTCCTTACTTAAATTCACTGTGGTTGAGTTTACAAAGATTTTTGAGTTCTGCCAACTTAGGTTTTTGGAGTGTTACATAGAAATTTTGAGTTCTACCAACTTAGGTTTTTGAGTTTCACCTTTAAGTTCTGAGTTCTATCAACTTTGTTTTATGAGTTTGACATATAGATTTTGAGTTCTACAAACTCAGATTTTGTAGTGTTATCTGCAAGTTGAGTTCTATCTACTCAGTTTTTTTAGTCCTACCAATCGTCTTCACTACCAATCATTCAACACACAAAAAATTATGTTAATACAACATTTTTATTGCTTCAAGCCAAACATTGCATCAATAGATACAGTATAAAACCATGTTCAACAACATAATCTTAACTGCACAGATCAAAGTAACCTGACACTGGACCAGAATGTTCTAGATTCGTAAGAGTGATGATGAGGGAAAAAACAGTAAGACACCATTTTAGTAAGAGGAAAACACACAGGTAATTTTTTGTGAAGTAAGTGTATTAACATATATGAAAAAATAACAGTTTTACAAATTTGGACGGCCTTCAGTTTGTTTTTTTCAATTGTAGTCTCTTTAAATTGGATGCACCCTTTAAAAAAAAAAAAGAAATAAAATGTCTTGTTTCCCAACGGAAAAAGAAAAAGGTTTTCCCTTTTTATCTCTGAGTTTTTCTTTTTAGTCCTACCACTCCGACAGGACGATGAATGCAAAAAAAGAAAGTCCTCTTCAGTCCAAATCCTTCTCTTCAGTCCAAATCCAGATGTTCACACGGTTGGCTCACCATCTCCATTTAAGGAGAGAATCCAGAATCCAGGGTATCCAAAAAACCCTGCCTGCATAGCACAACAGGGCTTAGTTAAATCCATTCACTTCTTGTTCTTAACTGTACAGTTTATATCTCTCCAAGTATGATAAATTTCAGTGTGTAATGTAACTTTTCTAACTCATTACGAATTAACTGCTGCATTACAGGGTTAACATATAAACTGTTAATGTCACTGTTTTTCTTGTAAAGCAAATAAAATCATGAAAGCAAAAAATCCACATGTAAATAATGTAAATAACAGTAAATACCCACATCGGATTAAGAAAGTAAAATAATGTAGTCTTGTAATATTCTGTGCCTGAGTGCAACAACACTGCACTACATAAAACAATTTAGAAATTTCATAAGTTATTACACTCAACTTAATGTCTCTTTTCATTTGTACAATGAAAATAACAGGCACACTCTTTTCTCTATGCATAAACACTCACCCGCACATGCGCGGCACAAACACGCATGCGCACATGCGCATTATAAACGCGCACGTGCGTGGCTTTTCCTTTCATCAGAACGTGAAAAACATGTGAACTCATGCTTCAACTCGGTGGCAATACACCACAAGGGAATGCTAACTCACGGAGCTAACCGCTAACTGTCTGTACTTTGCAGCACTCACCGGGGAAAGAAAAGATTCAGAAAACTGGTGAGGTCCCAGGGTTGTTCCTCCATGGTTCTCCAGATGCATAAAATCACAATGTCCGCCAATCTTCTCAAACACGAGGGAAAAAGGCTGTGCCCTTGAAGAAAGGGATAGGAAACCCCGTACCGTAGTGGGTGTGTCCATGAACATAAGCAGTGCGCATGCCCATGAGTTTACAGTTGAGGGAACTCAAAAAATCTTGTATAGGCGATTTAAAACTCCTTGTTAAACCAACTTCTGAGAATTTGAGTTGGGCAAACGTGTATTTATTTGTTAGATGTCAAATTTATATTTCTGAGTCGGATTACAATACAATTGTGTGTTAGAACAACAATTGCCATTTACTTTTTTAACAGTGTAAAATCCAAACCAAGCAGAGGAACAGACGGGATGTAGAGTACAGCCTGGGATCAGCGGGTTTTCACCCTAAGCTATCGGAGCTCAGGTGTCTGGATGAAAACAAAGTAAAAATAATTAAGTCAGTCTGACTTTAAATTTTGTTCAGTATTTTGTTCCTAATCAAAATACCTAAGAATTAAATGCTCAAATTACAAATACAATAGTTTTTATTTTATAATCGGTGACTGTGCGTTTCACCTTTGAACAATCATTAACACTTATTGTGGAACTCATGATAAGAAAAAAATGCTCTAAGGGAAACAAAAGTCAAAGCAGGTTGGGAAATACTGCCTAAGTGGGACACCACCAGGTGGCGCTTTAACTTCATTATCTGGGGAAATATAGCATCTCTGGTGGCTTATGTAACCAGGTTATTAGACTCTGTGAAGCAAGAGACGATGCTCTTAAAATAAGAAAATTAAATAAAATGCACCTGAAATAAGCGAATGCAATTGTGTTTTCTTATTGTAAGTGTAAATTGTCTTGTTCCATTGGCAAAATCTCTCTTTTACCTACTAAATCCAAGAACAAATACACTTATTTTAAGAAAAAACAACTTATCCAGATTTCGATTTTTTTCCAGTGTAACAACATATACCGAACTGAAAACCGTGGATTTTGTGAACCGTTCCACCCCTAATACATATAAAAAGGTTTTGAGCTGCTGCTCAGGCTGGAAAAGAGGAAGGAATTCTGGTTACGGATACATTGATGTCCGACATAAGGAGACCTGGTTTTCATTGTTTTTTGCTCCTTCAGATCTCCAGCCATGTCAAAGCCATTGATGCCATCTATCAGGGCACAGACTTCATGGGGATTCGTAACATCAGCTTCATGGTGAAACGGATCAGGGTGAGTTACTCTGCCAGTCTCCCTACATTCATCTTTACTGCACTGCTGTGGTATTTGCTCTCCGTTTAAACCCGCTCATCTCCTCCTGACCAGATAAACAACACCGACGTCGACAAAGACAGATCCAACCCGTTCCGCTTCTCCAACATTGGCGTGGAGAAGTTTCTGGAGCTAAACTCTGAGCAGAATCACGACGATTACTGCTTGGCTTACGTTTTCACAGACCGAGATTTTGATGATGGAGTGTTGGGGCTGGCCTGGGTGGGCGCACCCTCAGGTACTGAAGTTTTCCTTACAGATTAGTTATTGTGTTTATTGCTGTTATCACATCACTTTAGCCTGCTAGATTTTTTTTTATTTTGGTGGATGGGGTAAAAAGAGGCCTTTAGATCTGTTTTCAGCTGCTGTCATTCAATTTCAATTCAGTTTATTTCTATAGCTCCAATTCACATCATGTCATCTCAGGTCACTTTCCAGTTCACCAGATCATCCAGTCAGATTGATTCAAAGTTTTCTATCTAAGGAAAACCAGCTGATTGCATCGACTCATTGACTCTTCAGCAATCCCTCACACTAAGCATGCTTGTAGCGACAGTGGAGAGGAAAAACTCCCTTTGAACAGGAAGAAACCTCCAGCAGAACCAGGCTCAGTGTGAGCGGCCATCTGCTGAGGCCCACTGGGGTTCAAGGAGACAGAAGCAGAGATAGAAAAAGAAGCATAGATACAATGCAATTAAAATGCAATTATGTTTTACTGATAAAATAGGCTATTTGATTTCTCAGCATAATAAACTAAGAAAGTTCATTAGCGTTCGTTCATTACACCCCAATAAACTGAAAAACACTAACAATGTCGGCTCGGGAGCCAACATTGATTGGAAAATTGGAAAATTGGAAAATTAAAATGTTGGCCTGGGAGCTGATGTTCTCATACTTTTTGTCCACTGCAGTGGGTGCAGTACAGCCACACGGTCAGAAGAGGGAGATCTTTCTTTAAAATTATAATTGAACTTTATTTAATTCAATTCAGTTTATTTCTATAGCTCCAATTCACATCATGTCATCTCAGGTCACTTTACAGTTCACCAGATCATCCAGTCAGATTGATTCAAAGTTTTCTATCTAAGGAAAACCAGTTGATCTCATCGACTCATTGAATTGAAGGCAATCCCTCGCACTAAGCATGCTTGTAGCGACAGTGGAGAGAAAAAGCAGAGAGAGCAGAACGTTAGAGATTGAACTAACAGATTCTGCAGAGTGGGAGAATAGAGATAGAATGAAGCAGAATGATGAAAAAGGGGTCCCTATGTCCTCCAGCAGTTTCAGCCTATAGCAGCACAAAAGCAACAAAATAGCTCAGGATAATATAAGTATTTTGGATGAGGTATAAGAAACATAGATCCACAGTGTGGCCAAGTAGAGGGCTGCTCTCTGTTTTGACTGCAGTCTCAAAAATGAACACTTGCACATGTTAAAATTCCCAAACATTCACCTTATGAGTTGGACTTCTACGCTTATTTGAATTTTATTTCAAAAACTTTATTTATTTACTGCAACCGTTAAAATTTAAATGAATCATGATGACTATATTAACAAGTTTTTTGTAGTTTTTTGTTCTTTTCTAAGAAGCTGTTTTATAGACTGGATGTTATAGTCGTCCAACTTCTAGAATGACCCATTCTGGACCTTTTTAATGTGAACACTTCCTTTTGAAGCCCTCCCTGTGTGTTCTGCTCTGTTCCAGGCAGCTCAGGGGGGATCTGTGAAAAAAGCAAGCTGTACTCTGATGGGAAGAGGAAGTCTCTCAACACCGGTATAATCACTGTTCAGAACTACGCGTCCCACGTACCTCCAAAAGTCTCTCATATCACCTTCGCACATGAAGTGGGACACAACTTTGGCTCCCCTGTAAGCAACTGAGATGTGGCGAATATGATGGGGGTGTACACCTTTATCTCATCCTCTTCTAACCTCCGTTTTCTACTAATTCTTAGCATGACTCTGGATCCGAGTGCACCCCGGGGGAATCCAAAAGCCAAGACAAGAAGGAGAAGGGCAATTATATCATGTATGCGAGGGCCACGTCGGGAGACAAGTACAACAATAATAAGTTCTCCATCTGCAGCATTCGCAACATCAGCCAGGTTCTGGAGAAGAAGAGAGGGAACTGTTTTGTTGGTGGGTAGCGCAGCTTTTTAGCCACTTTTCTTGTTTAAGGAATATTACATTAAATGAGGAAATCCCTCTTTTTGACCTTCGTTCCTGCAGTGGAGAGTTGAGTCAACCAGGAGTCCGAATCAGTGAATAACATGCTGCCACTTCCTTATTTAGGCTTTGAAATACTGTTTTTATCTGACAACATTTGGCAGGCTGAACTACTGCTTTAATTATTTTCCTTTTAATTTGTGTACTGATAGCACATTTAGCATAGCCTTAAAATTCTTACCTACTCAAAAGAAGTAAAAAATGATGCCTTTATTTTCAACATATTGAGGCATTAAGCCTGGAAAAGTTGTAGGTGACTGCAGACTAGGGTTGTCACGATACTAAACTTTTAAACTCGATACCGATACTATGGAAAATATTCGATACTCAATACCATTTTCGATACCACAAGGATAAAAACAAAGACTCCAAAATTCTACAGAAATATTTTCATTAATAAATAAAATACAATAAATAAATACAATAAAGGTTGTATGCTGTGCACAATATTAAGCAAGCTTGATAAAAAAAAAACGTATAAAATTAAAATGAAGTGTTCCTTCCTTGGCTATGCTTTGCACACATAACAATGACGCTAGCCAAATCGGTTAAGAAACAAAAATAATTCTCAGGAGCTGTTACAGAAAAAAGTCTGAAACCGAAAAGTGCACAGAATTGTCCTCTATTCTGCACTTTAGATGAATGACTGCTTAGGTGCCACTGGTGGTAGAACTGTATCGATACTTTTAAAAACGAGTATTGTATCCCGATACAACGTTCCAGTATCGATACTTTTTTGAGTATCGATACTTTTGACAACCCTAATGCAGACATCGCCGCAGAGGAGGAAGGAGAGACAGGAGGCCTCTGATTGGTCAATTCTACATCCGCGCTACACTATGCATATGGTACATGCATGTGGTACCTAATGGCTAGCCTCGTGAGACCATCGTGATCTCGCGAGCTTTCAAGGTTTCACTCGCAGATCAGTCTGGAGACTCTCCGTTAAAGAAAATTTGGAGCCGTTCACCAAACGAACGTCCAATCAGCGTTGGCTTTGAGGCGGGTTGAGGTGCGACGCAACGAGAAGCGCGACAGTTCAGTCTAAAGAACATGGCGGCTTCAGCCGATGAAACTAGCGTTAGCGTGGCTATCGAGCAAGTTTTATCGGAATTACAGAGTATTTCTTCACTGAAAGAAGAGCAAAACACTGCTCTGGAGGCTTTTCTCAGAGGAAAAGATGTTTTTGCTCTTCTCCCGACTGGTTTCAGCAAGAGTTTGATCTATCAATTGGCTCCTCTTCGTCGTCGCTCTGTTAGCACGTCATATGGTTCGTTGATCTGATTGGTTTATTTGGCCCGTCTATCACCAACATAGGCCAATCAGCTAACCAGTATTTTCGTCCCTTCCAGATGGATATGCGGAGCAAATCCATCTGGCGGAGTCAGGTTACCTAATGGCAGGAACTCTGGCTGTAATGCCGTCCACAACGCCTGGCCCACCTCAGACATTATCCCAGACATCATGCAGGAGGCTAGCTTAAAGTATAATATTCTCGCACAAAAATTACCTTAAAACGTACTTTTATTGAACGGCAACAGAAAAAACAACTTTTAACTTAAAACTCTGAGCTCTTTGAGCGCTAACCTGGAAGCTGCTGCTGCCGCAGTGCATGCTGCAAGTCTGCTCTGATGCATGCTGGGTAAAGAGGGAGGGGCCAGAACAACATCTTTGTCCATTCGCTGTCTGCTTGCATTACTAGGGCTGAAGCTGAAGACGTTTCACGAGAACGCACCAGTACACCGATTGAGAAACAGCCTCAGTATGATTCTGTCACCACCGTGCTTAAATGTCAAAGCTAACGTAAAACCTGCTCTACTGTGGCCAATTGGCTCTGGAAGTTGATTAGGTTTCCAGCTCATAGGAGGCTACAGTCTGGCTGGTTGCTGCTCTTTTAATAAACATCTAGACTAAACTTAAAACCTGGATTTTTGAACATTGAACCAAAACACAAGGCAAGTTTTGGGAACTCTAGCAGCAAAGCCTTGACCTTAACCCTGTCTGAGTCTGAGTTCAGTTATTCGGTCCAGTTTGAACCAGAAGCTTGTTGGTCGACATGCTTCCTCCCTTTACTTCCTTGTGCTTTATTTTTATTCTTAGAATCGGGTCAGCCCATCTGTGGTAATGGCCTGGTAGAACCTGGAGAGGAGTGTGATTGTGGCTACAGTGACCAGTGCAGAGACCAGTGCTGCTACGATGCAAACCAGCCCGACAAAGACAAGTGTAAATTAAAGCCCAACAAAGTCTGCAGGTAGATGTCGCTGCTGGGTTGGTTATTTATTCCTTTTCTTTCATAGCTCACACTTTTTTGACTCGTGGTTCGTTTCTCCCCAGCCCGAGTCAGGGTCCATGCTGCACGCGGGAGTGCACCTACAAAGGTCGCAACGAGAAGTGCAGGGAGGAGTCGGAGTGTGCCCACCAGGGCATGTGCAGCGGCACAGGCGCTCAGTGCCCCACCTCAGAGCCAAAGGCCAACTTCACTGCCTGCCATGGAGAAACTCAAGTCTGCCTCAATGGGGTGAGCAGCTGATGGTTTCACACCGGGCTGTCGTTATAGCAACGCTAACGCCGCCTGTCCTCGTGCTCCTCCTACGCAGGGCTGCTCCGGCTCCATCTGTGAGAAGTACGGGCTCGAGGCGTGCACCTGTGCCAGCCAAGAAGGGAAGGATGAGACGGAGCTTTGCCACGTGTGCTGCATGGAGAAGAGTAAGTCCATCCACCTGTTCGCCAACATTCATCTGATTCATCGCTTCTTTATTTATTTTACAGGATTTCTGTGGGTCATTAAAAATTATTAAGTCATTAAAGTATTATTTTTTTAATTGAGGCCTTAATTGGCATTAAAATTCATTAAATGGGATTATAGTGGCATTTAAAATGCTTTATTAGGAAAAAAATGTTTACAAAAACAATTTGGTTAGATATATCAGATAGAACTGTTTGCACAGAACTCCTTACAGTTGATCTTAAAGCCGTATGTTTGGAAAACCGGGAGTCTCCCTGATGTCGATAGTTGTTCACGGATCCTGCAATTCGGATAAATTATCTCGGATTTCAGACTATGTGAGGTGGTATGGGAGAATTATCCTGCAAAGGATAAAGGCAATTTATTGTCTGTAAGGTTTATCACAGGCACACTCAGTAGAGTTAGACAAGCGCACCCTTTCCGAGGCTGTCGTTCTATTGGCTGGAAAGGTTGCTAGGCGACGATCCGATCCAATCTGAGAGAGAGCAAAAAAAAGGCCTACGGGTTTGCGAGCGTATCTGAGACTCGAACAGAGCGCGGTTTGTGCGCGAAGAGAAAGAGGCAAGCGAGAGGAGAAAATATCTGTGCAAGAAGCATTAAATCTGAGAGAAGAAACAAAAATTTGAGAGAGAAGAGAAAATATTTGAGAGAGAGCGCATGTTTTGAGTGTGAGCATTATAAGTTTTGAGTGCAAGAAGATGAAATTCTTTTCTCAAATTGAAATTATGTGCTCTTGCATTATGGCAGGATAATTCTCCAATAAGGTGGTGTTTTTTTAATGCGAGCTCCGGCGTACAGGCAATAAATAATACGTGCACCATGTGCGGATTAGAACTACTACGATTGCAAAGGCACAATAAGCGAGAGGGGGGTGGGGGAGGACGTTGCTTATGAAACCCGTGCAGAGTATCCGTCCACAGCGATGCCCTTATCCGTCCAAAGCATTCCAGGCGACTGGTTGTCAGAGAGCGCGATGATTGGTTCAGTCTAAAGAATAAGCCAATAATTTTTGGTTTCCTCTCTGACAGTCAGGAGTCCAAAACAAACTTAGGAACTTAGGATGTCTGGTTTTGGAAAATGCAAATTTAAACAAAAGTGGCTGGAAAATGAGGAATTTGGGACATGGCTGCAGCCTGTCGACGGTGAAGATGTTAAAGGATTTTGCCGAGTTTTTATTTCTGTATATATGAGAGTCATGCGTTCTTGTTGATGGCATTTAATTTATTTCTAAGAGCATTAAAAAGCATTAAATTAGAGTTACTCATTCCTGTATAAACCCTGGTCAGCATCAGCTGAATGTTCTCCATTAACAAACCATAGAGAGAGAGAGAGAGATATCTCTAGATATAGAGAGATAGATATCTCTAGATATAGAGAGATAGATATCTCTAGATATAGAGAGATAGATATCTCTAGATATAGAGAGATAGATATCTCTAGATATAGAGAGAGAGATATCTCTAGATATAGAGAGATAGATATCTCTAGATAGAGAGATAGATATCTCTAGATATAGAGAGATAGATATCTCTAGATAGAGAGATAGATATCTCTAGATATAGAGAGATAGATATCTCTAGATATAGAGAGATAGATATCTCTAGATATAGAGAGATAGATATCTCTAGATATAGAGAGAGAGATATCTCTAGATATAGAGAGAGAGATATCTCTAGATATAGAGAGAGAGATATCTCTAGATACAGAGAGATAGATATCTCTAGATACAGAGAGATAGATATCTCTAGATATAGAGAGATAGATATCTCTAGATATAGAGAGAGAGATATCTCTAGATATAGAGAGAGAGATATCTCTAGATATAGAGAGAGAGATATCTCTAGATATAGAGAGAGAGATATCTCTAGATATAGAGAGAGAGATATCTCTAGATATAGAGAGATAGATATCTCTAGATATAGAGAGAGAGATATCTCTAGATACAGAGAGATATCTCTAGATAGAGAGATAGATATCTCTAGATATAGAGAGATAGATATCTCTAGATATAGAGAGAGAGATATCTCTAGATATAGAGAGAGAGATATCTCTAGATATAGAGAGAGAGATATCTCTAGATATAGAGAGATAGATATCTCTAGATATAGAGAGATAGATATCTCTAGATATAGAGAGAGAGATATCTCTAGATATAGAGAGAGAGATATCTCTAGATATAGAGAGAGAGATATCTCTAGATACAGAGAGAGATATCTCTAGATATAGAGAGATAGATATCTCTAGATATAGAGAGAGAGATATCTCTAGATATAGAGAGAGAGATATCTCTAGATATAGAGAGATAGAGATATCTCTAGATATACAGGTGCTGGTCATAAAATTAGAATATCATGAAAAAGTAGATTGATTTCAGTAATTCCATTTAAAAAGTGAAACTTGTATATTATATTCATACATTACATACAAACTCATATATTTCAGATGTTTATTTTGTTTAATTTTGATGATTACAAATGACAACAAATGAAAATCTCAAATTCATCATATCAGAAAATTAGAATATTGTGAAAAGGTTCAAAATTGATGGCCCCTGGTGCCACACTCTAATCAGCTAATTAACTCAAACCACCTGCAAAAGCCTTTAAATGGTCTTTCAGTCTAGTTCTATAGGCTACACAATCATGGGGAAGACTGCTGACTTGACAGTTGTCCAAAAGACGACCATCGACACCTTGCACAAGGAGGGCAAGACACAAAAGGTCATCGCTAAAGAGGCTGGCTGTTCACAGAGCTCAGTGTCCAAGCACATTAATAGAGAGGCGAAGGGAAGGAAAAGATGTGGTCGAAAAAAGTGTACAAGCAAGAGAGATAACCGCACCCTGGAGAGGATTGTGAAACAAAACCCCTTCAAAAATGTGGGGGAGATTCACAAAGAGTGGACTGCAGCTGGAGTGAGTGCTTCAAGAACCACCACACACAGACGTATGAAAGACATGGGTTTCTGCTGTCGCATTCCTTGTGTCAAGCCACTCTTGAACCACAGACAGCGTCAGAAGCATCTTGCCTGGGCTAAAGAGAAACAGGACTGGACTGCTGGTGAGTGGTCCAAAGTCATGTTCTCTGATGAAAGTAAATTTTGCATTTCCTTTGGAAATCAAGGTCCCAGAGTCTGGAGGAAAAGAAGAGAGGCACTTCATCCACGTTGCTTGAAGTCCAGTGTAAAGTTTCCACAGTCAGTGATGGTTTGGGGTGCCATGTCATCTGCTGGTGTTGGTCCATTGTGTTTTCTGAGGTCCAGGGTCAACGCAGCCACATACCAGGAAGTTTTAGAGCACTTCATGCTTCCTGCAGCTGACCAACTTTTTGGAGATGCAGATTTCATTTTCCAACAGGACTTGGCACCTGCACACAGTGCCAAAGCTACCAGTACCTGGTTGAAGGACCATGGTATCCCTGTTCTTAATTGGCCAGCAAACTCTCCTGACCTTAACCCCATAGAAAATCTATGGGGTATTGTGAAGAAGAAGATGCAATACACCAGACCCAACAATTCAGAAGAGCTAAAAGCCACTATTAGAGCAACCTGGGCTATCATAACACCTGAGCAGTGCCACAGACTGATCGACTCCATGCCACGCCGCATTGCTGCAGTAATACAGGCCAAAGGAGGCCCAACTAAATACTGAGTGCTGTACATGCTCATACTTTTCATGTTCATACTTTTCAGTTGGCCAACATTTCTATAAATCCTTTGTTTTTATTGGTCTTCAGTAATATTCTAATTTTCTGATATGATGAATTTGAGATTTTCATTTGTTGTCATTTGTAATCATCAAAATTAAACAAAATAAACATCTGAAATATATGAGTTTGTATGTAATGTATGAATATAATATACAAGTTTCACTTTTTAAATGGAATTACTGAAATCAATCTACTTTTTCATGATATTCTAATTTTATGACCAGCACCTGTAGAGAGATAGAGAGATCTCTAGATATAGAGAGATAGATATGATAGGTGAGTGTGTGTAATTATTTTGATTTGAATGTTCTTCTTTACTAACATAAAATGCAATCTTTAAATATCTGTAGTCTAGCAAACATTACTTCTGTATTTATGAACAAGTTTTGAAGAATTATAGCTGTTTTTATCTCTTTTTATATTTATATTTTTTACTGTAAAATTCTTACTGTTGTGTTTTTAGGTAAATTCTATCATTTCAGTTTATTTATATAGCGCCAATTCACAACACAATTTTAACAATTTTAAGATCTGTCCAGGGACAACAGAGGAAAAACAGCCTTTTGGCTAATTCTGGTGCATTTGCAGGAATGCTTATTAAAGTAAAACAAATAAAAAATGTAAACTCTGGGAAAATGACCATCCTGTTTCCACAGTGAACCCAAACACGTGCAGCAGCACCGGATCCGAACGGCTGGCTCGCTTCTTCAACAAGAAGGTGACCACTCTGCCCGCAGGCTCGCCTTGCAACGACTTCCGGGGTTACTGCGACGTGTTCATGAAGTGCCGGCTGGTGGACGCAGACGGGCCGCTCGCCCGACTAAAGAAGGCCATCTTTAACCCAGAACTCTACGAGAACATCGCAGAGTGGATTGTGGTACGTTTAAAATCTCTGCTATATAGCTGGAAAGTTGGTCTTAGTGAGTTTCTGAGGATTAAAAGTCTTTGTTTGTGGATTCCTGCTCTAGGCTCACTGGTGGGCTGTGCTGTTGATGGGCATCGCCCTCATCATGCTCATGGCTGGTTTCATTAAGATCTGCAGTGTTCACACACCCAGCAGTAACCCCAAGCTGCCTCCCCCCAAACCGCTGCCAGGTGGGTGCAGGAACACGCAGGCCAACAGGATGTGTTGCTCATGTTTCTGTTTGCTTTAGGCAGGAGTGCAGATTAAGTAAATAGAGCCGCTACAAACCTTTACCTCATAAAATATGAATCCATCTTTTATCATATCTACACACTTCTTTATTTTTATCTGTAAATTTTCCTTCCTAATTACTAGGGATGCACGATATTGGGATTTTGGCCGATATGCCGATATTTTAAAACTCATGTAGCCGATAACCGATATCGATACCGATGTTAAAGCTGGACAAAAATAAGTAGTCATTGAAAATAGCAGTTTTGTTATCCATTTCTGACACTTTGAAAAATAATATACTCAAATATATTTTCATATGCTGATATCAAATAGATTTTTAAAAACGCGGTATCGATCTATTTTACTTTCAAAATCTCGTGAAATTTCATCGTTCTGTTACAAACTCTCGTGATATTTTGCAAATTCTTGTGAGATTTTGTTAGTAAAATAGATCGATACCGCGTCAATATATCAACATATAAAAATATGGCAACATTTGGTGAATTTTCGGGGGATTTCGTAGCATAACGATGACATATAGCAATATTTCATTAGTAAAAGAGATTGATATGGTGTTTTTAAATGGCAATATATCAGCATATGAAGATATTGTGATATTTTAATGTATCAATATTTTTTTCCTCGTCTTTAGAAGTTTTTAAGTCTGTAAAAAAGAAGTTTTTGAGGAAGAAGAAGAAGTAGTATTTTTTTTTTAGACTTTAGAAACTCAGAAGCTGATCAAATATCGGGTTAAATATCGGTGGGGTGGCCGATGTCCGATTTTCAGTTTTAATAGGGGGGCCGATTATATCGTGCATCCCTAATAATTACGAGTCAGGCTGTTTTGTTTTATTATATAAAGCTCTCTACATACACAGAAATATATAATGTGACAAAATGTAAAAAAGAAGGTATGAAACTTTTTAAACCAGTTATTTCAAAGACAAATTTCTTCTTCTAATGGGATTAAAAGGAGTTAATCTGAAATTGCGTCTCATCCCAGGCACTCTGAAACGGCGACGGGCGCAGCAGCACGCCAGCTCTCAGGTGCAGCACCAGTCCCAGCACCCTCACGCCCATGGCGGCCAGCGGCAAGCCCGCGGACAGCCGCAGCGGCAGCCGCAGCCCCAGAGGCACCACCGCCAGCCCAGAGAGAACTATCAGATGGGCCAGATGAGACGCTGAGAACCCCTCGGCCCCCCCCACCTCTCTTCTGCTAACCCCCCCAATGCCTTGGCTCCTCCTCGTGCCTACAGTGGGAAACAAAAGCGTCACTCCATCCAAAGAAAAAGCCTGACATGGTTGTTTATCGTCGTCATTTCCTCCAACCTGCAGACAAGCCGCTGACGCGGAACGAGAGTAAACATTGTCTAATAACTCAAGCGGCTGTTTGTGGCGTGGACTGGACCTTCAGCCGCCTCCAGCGCAGTGCGATTAAGCATCACTCCTCCATCTTGCTTTTTCCTCCTTTCTTTTTTTTCTCCCTTTTTCTTCGGCGTGCCGAGGAGTTAAACCCGCGTGGCGTCAGTGCATCCTGTGATGTGTTTTTTCGTTCGGTTGCAACGTCTTCTTGGATTGACTAGCCGTGGCTGCTGGTGAATCCTTCTCCGCTTCTTCTTCTTCTTTTGTTTCTCTCCTCACCATCCTAGCCGGAAATGAGACGCCCAGATGTGTTTTTTTTCTTCTGATTTTTACACGCGTCGATCAGCAAGAGAGGCTCCGGTCTCCTCATGCAGACATCTTTCTGCATGTGACTGTAAATAATTAGTGTATCATAAGTGAAAACAAACTATTTCTTCTACTGTAAATGTGTAATTCTTCACTTTTTTTTTCTCTCTTTTTCTTTTCGGTTAGTGCTCTCAGGATTATTAACACATAAATGAAGGAACATTAAGGATTTGACGCTCTTGTGTCGCCGTCTGTCGGATCACATTCACTTTTACTTGATTCTAAGATTATGAACACTAAGGGCATCATCTCCCTGTTTTTTTTTTTTTCTGTATTTCGGTCTTGCTAACATTTCGCTGCGTGAGGAGATGTAGCGTCCCGGGAACAGAAAGGAAGGATCACGTTAGTATTTTTGTTCTCGAAGAATGAAGCTGATCATGTTCAATAAGGAAGGCTAGGAGTCTAGAAATGAGTCGTGTTACAGAGTTAGTTTACATGAGTGTGGAAATAAATCTTAAAAATTACAAAAAAAAAAAAAAATGTAAGATGAAATCATCCTATTATTCTTCAGATAGTGAATCTTAAGATCTGTTCAATGTGGGCATGCAGACACTTTCATTACGTGTGACGTTGGATTGACGAAGGTCTGTAATATCTGTATTTCACTCGACGGCTGCTGTTGTTTTTCTTCAGTGCGTTTTTTATTAACCTGCAGGAAAAGTCCTGCAGCTATTTCCTGTTCTCGTTCCGAGGATCAGATCCCGTAAAGAGCCAAGTTGTTCCTGATGTTTACATCAACGCCGTCGTCGAGAGCCGCTAAAGGAATCTATCTGGATCTGGACGGTTTGCTGCAGGAAAGAAATCTGATTGGTTTCTGTTTTCAGCTGTTTGCAAAGGAAACATTTTAGGAATTTTATTTATTAGAAAGCAAGAACTACCTGATGATGTAAACTCGTATGGCTAGAGAGAAGGCGTAAGTATTTTTTAGTTTTTTAAATTGAGGAAAAATTCAGTTTTTTCACTAACAGATGTTATCTTCGGCTCCCACACAGAAACGTGCTTCTGCAGTTGGATTTATTACGTCTGCAAATATCTTCCACTCCTGTTAGGATCCGCTGGATTATAACCGATCTGCACTTGTTTCGTTTCTCTACACTAATTTCATTGGTGGCATTTTATTGTCAGCCAGGGCTACAGAAAGAAAATCAAATGTGCAACCAGAGAAACGCCTAAAACTGCAGCTTTCATCACTTTAAAGGAGGTGAAAGAGAAGCAGGAATTCAACCAGCAGCAGAAGATATTTGCAGGAGGGTGAAGGTTTGCAAGCGAGTTTCTTCTTTTCGAGGCTGAAATCAGAGTTTTGAGCAAAAGCGGTGGAATATTAGAGAGTAAAATAAGCAATCCTTCTCTACATGCATGCACTTATTTTCTTTCTAGAGGCAAAATGTCCCCTATAATGACACTAAACGTTACGCTTCTGCAAGGAAGACGCAAAGGTGGAGCACAAGCAGCACAGGTTTTAGATGACACGTCCCACATGTGCTTTGACTTTAAGTTTGAAATGCATGCAACACTAATGAGGACTGATGCAACGCTGGTTATCCTAATCACACAGCTCTGCAGGGGAAGGCTCGATGTAAGGACACGCCTCCTGCAACCAGGCAGAGAAATCCGATAGTTTGAAAGTTGCTCCCACTCCTCATCTCTGTACAAAAATTTAGCTTTTTTTTTTTCTTCTCCTCAATCTCATCTCTAGCGCCAACATCTCACCCGTCAGGCCTGCAGAATTTACCTGTAAACTTGTACAGTACCTGGAAAATAAATTTGCATTTAATTTGAGAAATGAAAACTACATTTTTGATACATGTATTTTTTTTTTTTTTCATAATTCAGAGTAACTAGTTAAAAATGTTCATATGTGACAAAGTTTCCTCTCCTAAGTTATTTATGTTCTTCTTTGTGCTAAAGTAGAACTCGAATTTGCTTATACTTTAACGACTCATGTTGATTCTCATTCTTATTTTTTATTTTTTCTCTTTTCCTGTGGCATGGTTTGGGTAGACGAGCAGAAGTCTAAAAAAAAATGCCTGTAAATTTTATTTTCCTTTTTAATTTCGTAGTCTTGGTTTAAAAAAAAAAAAAAACAGTTTTTAGATAAACGTGCACTGAAAAAAATGTCCCAATTGAGTTGAAATGTTGTAGGTGACGTAGGCCGTAAGAACACACGATTAAAGCGTAAAAACCGTCTGATTTTAATGTTCACTGTGTTTTATACAGTATTCGAAATTTTTGTTCACTTTGAACATTTTTACTAAAAAAAAAATAAATAAAATTTGAAATTGTATTGTGCAAAGAGATGTAATTTTTTGGAGTACTTGAAATGCATTAATTAAAAGATTCATTCAAAATAAAAAATAGACCTGTGTTTACTGTCTGCAATGTGTCTGCACTCACTAAGGTCAATACTAAGTTTATATACATTTTATTCATTTATTCACCTTTTATTTTTATTTTTTTTATTTAGAAGATAATGGTTTTAATTTGAGGAAAGGTTGCCCAACTTACCTCCTTTCAAAGTCAATTCTGTGTTCTTTGATTTAAAGGATGTGCTTTTTTTCTGTTAATGGAAAAATCTGTTTCCACCTTGAAATTTTCTCTCTCCGGTTCTTTTTCCTCACTTGGAACAAACTCTTTAAATAAAACTTCATAACTTCTATGTATTGAATAACCAACTGATTTTGATACAAATTGTAATCTTACTCAGATCAGAGAAGTTGCTTTGAGTTACAGAAGGCAGCTACTTACCAACTGGGCTCACTTCACAGGAAGTGACCCTGATTCTCCGCTATAGAGGCATTTTATACATCTCCAGTCTGTCGCATCATTACATCATCACACGTTAGCAGATGAGGAGACATCCATGGCTACAGACTTATCAAAATATTACACTTTGTTCTTATCTGATGGACGCCGCTCTCATTCCGTTCCTAAATCTTTGCCACGTAAAGAATGACGATTAAAACTGTCCTAATTAGATAAACTACTGAGAAAAACAACTTCTGACACGCAAGATGCAGATAATGAGAGTGTAATGAACTCAAACATTGGCTTGTTTGCATGTTCTCCCTGTGCATGCGTGGGTTCTCTCCGGGTACTCCTGCTTCCTCCCACAGTCCTAAAAAATTCCTGTTAGGTTAATTGGCTTCAGTAAATCCTCCTTGGTTGTCAGTGTGTGTGTGATTGGTTGCGTGTCTCTGTGTTGCCCTGCGATGGACTGGAGACCTGTCCAGGGTGGACCCCGCCTCTCACCTGGAGATAGACACCAGCCCCCCCCAGCACAGATAAGCATGACAGAAAATGGATGGATGGATGATCTCGCACGTAATCAATGATGATTATCCTAACAGTATGAAGGCAAACATGTTTTGGAGATAAAGCCTTTTTAGGGGCGGCTTCTTTGGTTGGTCATTCCAGGTATTTTACCTGTTAGTTTAAATTATCCCCAACTTAGAGAGCATTTTTCCAATCATGGTAATATCTGGTCAAATTCCTACACCCTCTCTCTAAATCCTCTCCCAGACCTCTTATTTAGCCTTTTAACAAAATATGTAAAAAGAAAAAACACAAATACATTTTTGATAATTTATTACTATGCGATAAGTCATGATTATTTTCTGTGTAGTCTTCCGCCCTCTGTTATCAGGTATATCTGATTGTGTACAATAGGATTTTGAGCAAATTTTTTTACTAATAAATTATGCAAAAGGTGTCAGATGCAAAACATTTCAGAAACCGTATGTATCAGATATGATACATTTGGCATTATAGGGTTAAAATGGCTGCCGTCCTTTTTCCAACGGCTCTTTGAATCTTGCCACGAGGCTCACACTGTGAAAATCTGATTTGTCAAACTATTAATTTTCAGTCTGTGCAGATTAATGCCTGACAGCTTTAAATGTGTCATCTGGAAGCAACACAGTTAATACATCATAGTATTTCCTAAAAACTTAAATGCATGTCCATTTCATCTCCTTGGATGGGAAACATCTTCAAACTTGGAAACAAAGTCCAGTGAATTGTTTTGTTTGTTTTTTTTCACTTTTTTTGGATTGCCTATGACTTGGAGGACTGAGAATCTTCACCAGTATACATCATAGTAGGAAAGGTTTTAAATTAGTTCCTTAATAATCGCTCATGGCTTTTCACAATATCTATTAGTTTCTTTTGGTGCTAAAAAGCAAAAGAGTATAACTGTAAACCCAGAAACTCTCAGCACCATCACCCCCCCCCCCCCCTTCTTATACTTTCCTTACAGATTAGTTATTGTGTTTATTGCTGTTATCACATCACTTTAGCCTGCTAGATTTTTTTTTATTTTGGTGGATGGGGTAAAAAGAGGCCTTTAGATCTGTTTTCAGCTGCTGTCATTCAATTTCAATTCAGTTTATTTCTATAGCTCCAATTCACATCATGTCATCTCAGGTCACTTTCCAGTTCACCAGATCATCCAGTCAGATTGATTCAAAGTTTTCTATCTAAGGAAAACCAGCTGATTGCATCGACTCATTGACTCTTCAGCAATCCCTCACACTAAGCATGCTTGTAGCGACAGTGGAGAGGAAAAACTCCCTTTTAACAGGAAGAAACCTCTAGCAGAAATCTGTTAGATTTTATTAACCCTATAATGCCAAATGTATCATATTTGATACATACGGTTTCTGAAATGTTTTGCGTCTGACACCTTTTGCATAATTTAATGGTAAAAACCTTGCTACAAATCCTGTTGTACACAATCAGATATACCTGATAACAGAGGGCAGAAGGATACACAAAAAAATTATCTTGACTTAACGCATAGTGATAAATTATTAATATAAAAAATGTATTTCTGTTTTTTCTTTTTACATATTTTGTTAAAAGGCCAAATAAGGAATTCAAACCAAAAAATGTAATTTTCTGTTTTGTTTTATTCTTGGATCGGACTTTAAAGGGTTAAATCTAGCAGATGTTGATCTTTGCAGTTTCCATTCATGTAATCAATTTTATAAAGAAATATTTAAACTGTTTTTTTTTTTGTATTTAGCTGTTTATTTACATATTATCAATGATTAGTGAGTTACATTTCTTTCTCTTTTTTAAATAATCAATGTATTTATCCATCTTCACTCAGTTTAGTTCAACATCCTGTTTTCAAGGAGAAACAGGTCTGTAAAAATGTAAACGCTAAAAGGTTTTAAAATAACAGCAATAATATATAGTGGATACAAATAGTTTACTAACTCCTTATAGAATATTAATACTTTTGCACACTTCACTTCGCAGCTTTTTATTTTATGAAAATGTCTTAAATCGTTTACAATTTGCTTTCTACTTCACATCTATGTACCACTTTGTGTTGGTCTCACACAGTATACTCCAATAGAAATAGATCTATATTTTTTCTTGAAATGTGACAAAATATGTATAAATTATATTGATATTTGTTTGTTTGTTTTTTTTATCTTATACAGCCTATATATAACTTTCACAGTAATTTCTAAGCATTAAAATAACATCCAGACCTATAGAATCTAGAATATATCCTAAATTTAAATATATATTTAAAGGCTAATCTAGAAACATTTCTTTTTGTCTTTTTTAATTATTTATTTATTTATCCATCTTCAGTCAGTTTAGATCAACATCCTGTTGTCAAGGAGACGCTGGGTGTGTAAAAATGTACACGCTAAAAGGTTTTAAAATAACATCAATATAAAATAGAGCAGATACAAATAGTTTACGAACTCCTTATAGTTACCCGATTATTTATAGAAACTTTAAGATCTCCAAGAGGGGAAAAAAAAATCTAACATTAATTAATTAAAACTTCTGAAAGTTCTTTAAATATGAAATGATTCCATCCTGTTCAATAAATGATCAGTGTTTTTAATTCAGAGTAATTTTCATGTGAATGTGCTTTATTGGAGGCATCCATGTTTGTCAAACAATACTACTGCCACCTACTGGTTAGTGACATTGTCACGGTGTGGTATCGGCTGTTGATCAAGTCCCAGTGCTGTATCTGGTGTTTGTCACAACGCGCTATTATCCAAGTCATCTTGAAAACATTCTTCTTCCAAATGTTGGCTACATATTACGGGTTTTTTCTCTGGCCAGAAGTTCGATGTTAAATCCTCCCTCTTCAAGTTGGCGATCCAACGACCAACCCGTCCGTGGAGGATCAGGAATCAGAAAGGTGGAATAACTCTTTTTTTTCACTTTTACCCGATGTATTCCAGCATCCAGCTGCCATGCACGTGGGCATTGTCAGTTTCACTATAGCTCTGGTGAATTTCAATGGTGAAGTCCTCTGGAAATCTTCAATAATTGTTGTTGATTGCAGATGTGTCTAGTAGTTCCCATTGATTTAGCTTGGAAAGCGGGGAGAATGGCGCTAGGCTTACCGCACCGTGACGTCACTGCTGGAAGATTGCAGGAGGGAGGGGCTACTAGATTTGGGCAAAAATGGCCGCTCCCAGACTCAGTGATCGCAACGAAAATGATTATTTTTTTACTGATTAACACTAAATTCATTAAATCACTGCGAGCGTATTAGTTTTACATATAATGATCCATTGATTATTCCTTGCTCATCAGACTTTTCCTTTAAATCTTTACGAAAGGCTTAGTATGCAGATCACACTGAAGGAAAGGTTAATCATCAGCTGATGACCCTGTTTTTTTTTTTTATGATATGATATATTTTATGATATTCCTTAACTTATGACAAAAGTTAGACCATCTTAAAGGTATACTTTGCAACGGGTGTTGATTTTCCAGCGAGGCTCCCCCCAGAGGGCGAAAGTAAAAGTGCACTGTCGTAAATATGCTCAGCTGTTCTCCTGGTTTCTCCGTCAAGCCAGGCGCGGTTGTTTTGAGCTTAGCAGCGAATGACTAATGCTGCGTTCACACCGCAGCTGGCGCGACAGAAGCAGCGAGTTTACATGCAAAGTCAATGGTTGACGCGCATCAAGGCGCAGCAAAAGGTCCCGCGGCACGTTTTGAGCAGCAGGCGCAGCACGTCTGAGCAGCTGAAGCAGCGCGTCGGGCGTCGGGCTTAGCATCTGACGCAGGGAGAGAGACACAGCGCTGATGATCACTCCTCTTAAACAGTTTATTGACGCTTAAATTAACTTAAAATGCAGAAATCTGCCGGCAGAATGTGCAGTTTGGATTATTTAGATGAAAAACACCTACCAGCTGCCGTGGTGAACCGCGAGGAGGCGACCCGGCCAGAGGCTGCTGATGAAGGGATTCCTTCTGTCGGCGCACCGCTGGTATGTGGGGGTCTGAGCGGCTCCGACAGAAAAAATATTGAAGGCAGGATAATAATCTGAATGAACTGACGGCACTGATTACGTTTTCAGGTGTATTTTCTCACTTAAACACATATTAAAACTACTTTATTCCAAATGATCACAGCAAATATAGCTGCAAGGCAGAGAAAGGATAGTGAAGCTCCGCCCAACGCGCGTCAGACACACTTTTGCACCGCACAGCCAGAGCGTCAGAACTAACTGGTTCAAGCAGCAAAAATGAAGCAGCAGACACGATTTTGCTGCTTTTGCTGCGTGAACGTAGCATAACTGCACAAAGATCGCCACTGTGCTAGCAACGAGAATGCTTTTAACTGGGGGCGTGTAGCAGTTCTCGCCGTAAAGCAAGACCGACTCTCACGAGACTTCTGAGCCTGTGGGTGCGGGTCGGTGCTCCTGCAGTTGCGAGTGCGGTATTTCCCCCACAGACCACCAGGGCGGCCGAGAATACCTTTGTTCAACCTGAAATGACTCATTTAATCATCCAAAACGTTATGGAACACATTAATTAACTGAAAAATGTTGCATAGTGTGCCTTTAATAAAGGGCAGTGTCGTCGACATAAAGGCAGGATTGTGGTTGCAGATGAGTGTTATTACTGTTTTTTATATTGATGATGATGTGCTGCCAGAAAAAAAACCAAACCAAAAAAATCAACACAGGTTTCGATGAATTCTTTCCTGCATAGGATCAAATCCATCAATGCTTTTCTCTTCTAGGAAATATTGGACTGAAACTGTAGTTTTGTTTGCCGATTCCCAGCGATGTTGCAGGCGGTGACAGAAGATCAGCATTGATGATCAATAATCGACCGCTCTGTGCTGCACGTGCAAACGCATTCCTGCAGAATCTGACCTGCTATAGTTCAGCTGCTGGTACATAAGCAAAGACTCCCAGGAGGGAAAGGCATTGATGTTTCAACCTATAGAACAAATGATCTAAAAATAAAACACATAACCAGTCATGGAGCTAAAAAGAAAGACACATTTCTGTACATAAACAAAAAAACTAAACATAACTAAATATTCTTTAGTGAATCTGAAACTTTACTCGACTCGGAGGAGTGGCGGCCAAGTGGTTAGGGCATAGAGTTTGTGCCCCAATCACACAGACTGGCTCTCTGAGCAAGACCCTTTTCTCCCCGGATGCCCCATGTTGGCAGCCCACTGCTCCCCAAGGGGATGGGTTAAATCCATTGTGAGATAAATAAGAAGCAGAATGATGAAAAAGGGGATCTCTATTTCATCATTCTGCTTCATTCTATCTCTATTCTCCCACTCTGCAGAATCTGTTAGTTCAATCTCTAACGTTCTGCTCTCTCTGCTTTTTCTCATAGTAGCTTCATCTGGTCTGTTCCTGTTTGGCTGTGACTCCATCCTGGAGAGAAATATCAGCTGTGCTGCTGCCATCAACACCTTTGTTTCTAGATGTTGGAGCTTGGCCTGTTTTCCAGTGTAGTCCTGTTTCTCTGACTGTGACTAACTGGATGTGCTCTCTTCATCCTCTGACATGGGAGCTGGCTCGGAGCTCGTCTGCCTGGCTGTGTGTTTCCTGGACGGGGCCGCCTGTGGAGCTGGTTGACAGTTGCCTTTTGTATCTATGCTTCTTTTTCTATGTCTGCTTCTGTCTCCTTGAACCCCAGTGGGCCTCAGCAGATGGCCGCTCACACTGAGCCTGGTTCTGCTGGAGGTTTCTTCCTGTTCAAAGGGAGTTTTTCCTCTCCACTGTCGCTACAAGCATGCTTAGTGTGAGGGATTGCTGAAGAGTCAATGAGTCGATGCAATCAGCTGGTTTTCCTTAGATAGAAAACTTTGAATCAATCTGACTGGATGATCTGGTGAACTGGAAAGTGACCTCACTGCAAAAACAATCCAGAAATAAGTAAAAAAATGGCTTAAATTAAGTATATTTAGCCCTAATTTGAGCAGGTAAATAAGATGATCTGCCAATGGAATGAGTATTTTCACTCTTAAAATAAGATAGTTAGATAATATTTACTTGAAATAAGACGATAAAATAGTTTTTTCTTATTTTAAAAGGAAATTGTCTTGTTCCATTGGCAAAGTGTCTTACTTACCTCCTCAAATCAAGGAAAAACGCACTTATTTTAAGAAAAAATAACTTATTGAGATTTCTATTTTTTGCAGTGCTGAGATGACATGATGTGAATTGGAGCTATAGAAATAAACTGAACTGAAATGAAATTGAATCAAAAATCTCTCAGGAGAACTTGTTATTTGTGTAAACTTTAATTCAGACTTATAATGCTCAGTAGTAAAATAAATGCAAAAAAATTAAAATCCAGGAGAGGATGCAAAAAAAGTTTGTCATAATATAGAAGAAAAATTCAAATATAAACAAATTATTAAATAATTGATGGTTATGGGATCAAAACTAAAGGGAAGGTCAGTAAAAGACTACCTTATTTTATTAATGGATAAAATTAAACATACATGATGGTCATTTACAAAAAGACAGGATTTATAAGGAGTCTGTGTGTCTTTCTGATTCAAACCAGCTTCAGCTTTATTTCACTTGTGGAGCTTCACGTCGGGTCAGAGTTGACCTTGAATAAATTCTCTGCACCGCATGAACGTCAAATAAGGAGAAGACACTGACTGTAGAAACGTCTTCACAGGTGGAAAACGGTGCACTAATGATCACGTTTCTAACTCATGGTGATCATCTCATATTTGTCCTTTAGACTGCTGTCCTCGTCCTCTTCGTCGTCCTCCTCCTCCTCTTCCTCCACCTCAAGAGCCGCCTCCCCCTCTTCATGGGGGTGGTGAAGCTCGATGAGCAGGAAGTAGAGGACGGCGGCCACCACTCCTCCCACCATGGGCCCTGCCACTGGGATCCACCACCAGTAGCCTCCAGTACTGGCAGCCATAAAAGCAGAAAAGAGGCAGAAGAGTCGATGGCTTGAAATCTCTTCAGACGGGTGAGTTCATGTGACATTATATAACGAAATAAACCACATTCATGGAAATCTGAATGAAGAAACTGGCTTTTACACTGCAAAAAATTGAAACCTAAGTAAGTTTATTTTTCTTTAAAAAAAGGGCATTTCTTTCTTGAATTGAGCAGTTAAGTGATACACTTTGCCAATGGAATAAGGCAATTTACATCTAAAATAAGAAAAAACAATTGTGTTGTCTTATTCCAAGTGGATATTATCTAATTATCTTATTTTAAGAGTAAAAATACTCATTCCATTGGCAAATCTTATTATTTAGTTGCTTGAATTATGCTAAATACTAGGGATGCATGATATTGGGATTTTGGCCGATATCCGATATTTTAAAACTCATGTAGCCGATAACCGATATCGATACCGATGTTAAAGCTGGACAAAAATAAGTAGTCATTGAAAATAGCAGTTTTGTTATCCATTTCTGACACTTTGAAAAATAATATACTCAAATATATTTTCATATGCTGATATCAAATAGATTTTTAAAAACGCGGTATCGATCTATTTTACTTTCAAAATCTCGTGAAATTTCATCGTTCTGTTACAAACTCTCGTGATATTTTGCAAATTCTTGTGAGATTTTGTTAGTAAAATAGATCGATACCGCGTCAATAAATCAACATATAAAAATATGGCAACATTTGGTGAATTTTCGGGGGATTTCGTAGCATAACGATGACATATAGCAATATTTCATTAGTAAAAGAGATTGATATGGTGTTTTTAAATGGCAATATATCAGCATATGAAGATATTGGGATATTTCAATGGATCAATATTTTTTCCCTCGTCTTTAGAAGTTTTTAAGTCTGTAAAAAAGAAGTTTTTGAGGAAGAACTTTTTGTTTTGTTTTTAGACTTTAGAAACTCAGAAGCTGATCAAATATCGGGTTAAATATCGGTGGGGTGGCCGATGTCCGATATTCAGTTTTAAGGCCGATACCGATAGGGGGCCGATTATATCGTGCATCCCTACTAAATACACAAATTTTAAGAAATTTTTACTCGTTTCCAGATCGTTTTTGCAGTGTAAAGGGTGAGGAACACTGGAAAAACGAACTAGAAATAAGTAAAAATTTCTTAAATTAAGTGTATTTACTAGTGTCGCACCGATACCAGTATCGGACGGGCCCCCCGATCCAGCACTAAAACGGTGGTATCGGTATCGGCGAGTACCAACCAATAGGACCTGAGTGAAGTTGGCCCCCCCACCTTCTTCAAATCAGACAAAATTGGTGTCAAACGTTTGTGCAAGAAAAATTTTCATTTGTGCCGCTTTCATTTTTTTACAGTTTAAAATTATATAATCATAGGTTAGCAACTTATAATTTATATGAAATTCATAGTTTCAGAATGAACAAATGTTCACTGACCTTTGATGGCTTCTACAAACAATTATTAATATCATTAAAATGATAGCAGTACGAAAAAGTATATATTTTGAAAGATGCATTTTTAAAATTTTAATATATTTACTTAAAATATTTTAGATTTAAATTTAATTCTAAAATGTTATATTTTTGTATGGCAGAAATTTTCATTTGTACTGCTACACTGGAAAAACGATCTGGAAATAAGTAAAAATTTCTTAAATTAGGTGTATTTGCCCTTAATTTGAGCAGGTAAATGAGGTAGTTTGCCAATGGACTGAATATTTTAACTCTTAAATTAAGATAATTACATAATATGCACTTGAAAAAGGACAATGCAATTGAGTTTTCTTATTTTAAGTGTAAATTGTCTCATTCCATTGGCAAAATTTCTCTTTTACCTCATCAATCCAAGAACAAATGCACTTATTTTAAGTAAAAATGACTTATCTAGATTAAAATTTTTTCCAGTGTATCATTTCAATGATTTTAATAATATTTTGTAGAAGCCATTAAAGGTCAGTTAACATCTTTTTTTGCTGCACAAACGGAGCGCAAACGTTTGACACTAATTTTGTCTAATTTGAAGAAAGTGGGGGGGCTGGTTGACTTTTTGACCTTTACATTTTCATTAATATCTTCAAAGCCAAAGCGGCACAAACAAAAATTTTTGCTGCACAAACGGAGCCGAGTTAATTGACACCCATTTCGTCTATTTTGAAGAAGGTGGGGGGGCTGCCCTTTGATGACCTCTAGAAATATTTCTTTATATCTTTAAAACGATGGCGGCAAAAACGAAATATTTTGCAGCACAAACGTTTGACACTAATTTTGTCTGATTTGAAGAAGGTGGGGGGGGGGGGCAACTTCACTCAGGTACCACCAGAGGTGGCAAAAGTACTCACTTTCCGTACTTGAGTAAAAGTACAGATACTTGTGTTAAAAAATACTCTGGTAAAAGTGGAAGTACTGATTAAACTTCTTTACTCAAGTAAAAGTAACAAAGTACAGGCTTGTAAATTTACTTAAAGTATAAAAGTAAAAGTAGAAACCACTTGTTTCATGCCGTTGCCTACATTTTAAATGGATGTCTGTCAATAGGACTAGATCTCCGTTGTGTTCATTTTCAATCATCTCGTCGTCCATGCTGCTATGCTAACGCCACCGCCACCAAGCTGCAATGATTTGCCGCCAATGAATACCGCCGAATCTGTCGATTCATCTTGTAGCGGTGCGTCAAATGCAACGTAGATTCCCATCCAATTAGATTGAATTTGGTATTGATGACTAAAGTAACGAGACAATTTTTTAAAATGTAAGGAGTAGAAAGTACAGATATTTGTGTAAAAATGTAAGGAGTAGAAGTAAAAAGTCGCCATAAAAATAATTAGTAAAGTAAAGTAAAAACATTTGAGAAAAATCTACTTCGTTACTTCCCATCTCTGGGTACCAATAGGGCATCGATTTTCAGAGCCAAATGTTTCTTCAACTATTGTCACCCATTCCAGTTAGGCAATAAAAAGTTCTACTGGATTCACTTTGTTTTAGTCTGTTTCCTGCTTCACAAAGGAAGGCAGCAGCTTGACATGAAGCCATGATGGTGATTATTTTACATCCAAGTAGGATGCAGTTCTTCATATATACACACATATCAATTTAAAACAGATGGTATCGGCCAATACTGCACAGCCAGGTATCGGGGCCGAAAAATAGCATCAGCGCAACACTATTATTTATCCTTAATTTGAGCTGGTAAATAAGTTAGTTTGCCAATGGAATGAGTATTTTTACTAATTATCTAAGATAATTAGATAAAATGCTCTTCAAATAAGACAATGTAATTGTGTTTTCTTATTTTAAGTGTAAATTGTCTTGTTCCATTGGAAAAATGTCTGTTTTACCTCCTCAATCCAAGAACAAATGCACTTTTTTTAAGAAAAAATTACTTATCTAGATTTCCAGTGAAGCAGTAACACTGAAAAAATGGTCTAGAAATAAGTAAAAATGTCTTAATTCAAGCGTATTTACCCTTCATTTTAGTAGGTGAATGGGATGATTTGCCAATGGAATGAGTATTTTTACTCTTATAATAAGATTATTAGATAATATCCACTTGAAATAAGACAATGCGGTTGATTTTTCTTATTTTAAATGTAAATTGTCTTGTTCCTTTGGCAAAGCATCTCACTTACCTCCTCAATTCAAGAACAAATGCACTTAGTTTAAGAAAAAATTACATATCTAGATTTCCATTTTTTGCAGTGAAGCAGTAATGCTGGTTTATACTGTATGAAATATATTTTGCCTTATTTTTGTAGCTACCTGAAGACCTCCATCCCCCATCCTGCTGCCGCCGTGAACAGACGTGGTCCCAGGTCTCTGGCAGGGTTCAGCGGGTAGCCACAGTTGAGCCCCATGGACACACCGATGGCCATGATGATCAGGCCGATGGCGAGCGGCTCCACGCCTTTGGGAGCTCCAATGTTTCCGCCATCAATGATGGCCAGAATACAGAGAACCAGCATGCCTGTCCCAACAACCTGCAGGGCAACATCAGCTCTTTAGGACTTACTTTAAAATTAAGATTTAACCTTTAAATATATATTTAGGTATAGGATATATATTCTATAGGTGTACAGTAGTAGCCATTTAAAATGTCCCCATTTTTCTTGATGGGTCCTTGGCTGGTCCCCTATAATTCATTTTTAAATCTTTGTACTAAAACATTCTTTCTGTCATGATTTGTGGAAATTAAGATATAAAGAGAAGCATCATTGTCGGGTTCATAACATGTAGGTTTTTTGAAAAAAGAAGAACCGAAATACACAATTATGGATACAATTTCTGCAGAAAGGAGAGACAGTTGAACCCCAGACTCAAACCCACTGTCTCCCACTGGACCTCCTCCGCAGAGCGTTTTATTAACAGAACATGACGCATGGTTACAAACAGAGTATTGTTCTGACAGAACAATTGATCAGTTCATGAAGACAGAATGCTCCATCAGAATGGCAAGGCAGGATGGTCTCCTGACTGGATCATGACACAGTAGTGGAGCATCCCCTCGCACAAATGTTTCATAAACACATTAATTTTATAATCGTCATTGAATAAACCCAACAATCATCTCAAAGGCAGAGCCTGTAATTCAGGTGGAGTCAGAGTAAAAACATATCCACGCCCAGGAGAAGGCCAGAGGCTGGAAGTTGGAGAGGATTTTGCTGGCAGCTGCAGGGAAATGGGCTGCCATCTGGTTGGCGTTTGACTGGGAAGGGTCATTTTGAATGGCTGCTAGTAAGATATAGATCTGGATGTTAATTTAAGGCTTAGAAATTACTATAACAGTTATACACTGCCTGGCCAAAAAAAAATAGGGATGCACGATATAATCGGCCCCCTATCGGTATCGGCCCTAAAACTGAATATCGGACATCGGCCACCCCACCGATATTTAACCCGATATTTGATCAGCTTCTGAGTTTCTAAAGTCTAAAAAAAAAAAAATACTACTTCTTCTTCTTCCTTAAAAACGTCTTTTTTACAGACTTAAAAACTTCTAAAGACGAGGGAAAAAATATTGATCCATTAAAATATCCCAATATCTTCATATGCTGATATATTGCCATTTAAAAACACCATATCAATCTCTTTACTAATGAAATATTGCTATATGTCATCGTTATGCTACGAAATCCCCCGAAAATTCACCAAATGTTGCCATATTTTTATATGTTGATATATTGACGCGGTATCGATCTATTTTACTAACAAAATCTCAGAAGAATTTGAAAAATATCGCGAGAGTTTGTAACAGAACGATGAAATTTCACGAGATTTTGAAAGTAAAATAGATCGATACCGCGTTTTTAAAAATCTGTTTGATATCAGCATATGAAAATATATTTGAGTATATTATTTTTCAAAGTGTCAGAAATGGATAACAAAACTGCTATTTTCAATGACTACTTATTTTTGTCCAGCTTTAACATCGGTATCGATATCGGTTATCGGCTACATGAGTTTTAAAATATCGGATATCGGCCAAAATCCCAATATCGTGCATCCCTAAAAAAAAATGTCACTTACTAACACTTTGTTGGACCACCTTTAGCTTTGATTTCGGCACGCAGTCGAATAAGGTGGGAATGTTTTGACGTTTTTTCACATTGCAACTACAAATATACGTAGATCTATTTCTATTGGAGTATCCTGTATGAGACCAACACAAAGTGGTACACAAATGTGAAGTAGAAAGCAAATTGTCAACAATTTAATACATTTGTTTTTTAAATAAAAAGCTGTTGAGTGAAGAATGCAAAAGTATTCAGCCGCCATTTCACTGACTGGAACCAAGTGCCTTCAGAAGTTCCCTGATAATTGACTAAATACAGTCCATCTGTGTGTAACCTAATGTCAGCGCTAATATAGCTGCTCTGTGACGCTGTAGATCATCTCCTGGCCCCCGTACTGAAGACTTAATACTTAAAGAAATTCTAATGATGATATGAGCTGGAACAGACATGGTTACTGATTGGTCCTGTAGTGGGGAAAAAGTATTCACCCGAGTTAAATAAACGGAGATCGATGGATTTCACTCAGTCAGCACTTTATTTTCATATCTTTGCAAAGAGAGAACAGTTCATCATACGGCGCAGTAATCAGCCCCGTTCTGACTGGGCGGAGTTTTTCTCCTTTACTTACGGTGAAGGAAAAAACTGTGAAGGTTGTCAGAGTCAAACAAATTACACATACTTTAATAAACCTTGGGAGAGAATTTGTCTTGTGTTGGGAGTAAGTATGTTTTTTCTACAACCACCCCTCACTCAGACAGTTTCTCAGCATTGCAGGTGAAACAAACTGAGTAAAAACATTTTTTACTGGATAAATAGCATAACTAAACATATGAAAGAAGAGAAATCATGGGTATTCAACGTTTTCCAGTCCAAGGACCCCCAAACTGATGGCGAGATGGGGCGGGGACCCCCTAATTATATATATTGTATAAAATTGTATAAGAATGGGCTCTCGGCCAATCACAGGGAACCTGGCAGAGCCAGCGTGTCACATACGGCCTCGTGATTGGCAGAGCAGCAATAGGGGTGGGAAAGCTGTTACAACCGTTGAGTTTGCTTTTTTTAACTTAACTTTTATTCTCTTTTTGTTCGTTCTTATTTGTTCACTGTCTAATCAACAAAAACTTTCGCGACCCCCATGCAGTACCTCCACGGACCCCCTAGGGGTCGCGGATCCCCTGTTGATGACCCCTGCTTTAAAATGATAGCAGCACAAACGAAAATGTTTGCTGCACAAACGTTTGACACTAATTTTGTCTGATTTGAAGAAGGTGGGGGGGCCAACTCCACTCAGGTACCCTAAAAGACTAATACCTGGAATTACAGCCACAGGGGGGTCTACAAAGTATCATCACAGGGGGCTGAATACTCATTCCCATTTTTCATTTGAAAGAAGCAAAAGTATTTATCATTTACTTTTTACTTCACAATCATTTTCCACTTTCTTTCTTTCGCATAAGATTCCAATAAAATATATCTATGTTTATGATTGTAATGTGAGAAAAGCAAACACCCTACTGTTGCACCCCCGAGGGCAATCCAAACTAAGTGTAGCACTTTACAGTTATATATTGCAAGAAGGTTCTGGGTTCGATTCCCGGCCCGCGGTCTTTCTGCATGGAGTTAACATGTTCGTTCTCCCTGTGCATGAGTGGGTTCTCTCTGGGTACTCCGGCTTCCTCCCACAGTCCAAAACCACGACTATTAGGTTAATTGGCTTCTCTGAATTCTCCTACGGTGTGAATGGTGTGTGTCCTGTTTGTCTCTGGGCTGCCCTGGTGACCTGTCCAAGGTGGACCCCACTTCTTGCCAATTAAGAGCTGGAAATAGGCACCAGCATCCCTCAAAACCCCTGGAGGAAAATGGATGGATGGATGGATGGATGGATGGATTGTAATGTGAAAACCACGTTGGTATGAATACTTTTACAAGCCGCTGTACAGCAATGGAAAGCTAGATTTAGACAGTGGAGGCAGTATCTCACTTAGATATCCTCTTACATTTCTTTATTTTTTTAATGTATCCTAAACACTTAAAAGCTACAGTGTGTAACTTTTAGCGACATCTAGCGGGCAGACTGCAGCAACGTGAACATCTCCCCCCCACCGCTTCTCTCACCCAACAGTACGGCGAGCGTTACGGGACAAAATGTCTTCCACGACGTCCGCATCACCTACCTTCTCAAGTGATGAGGTTTGTTTACATAGATAATTTTACAGATAGTATTTCATTAGTCTGTGTAGGGTATAGATTTCATGTAGACTTAAGATAATAAATATACGCGTTATTTTTTCTACATCGTTGTGACGTTTTGGCGATCTCGCAATCGCTAGTTTGTTGGCTCTGCGCTGCCGTAGCGCAAAGATGTCTGCCTCCATGGCTGCGAGACCCGCTCCTATGTAATTATAAATAACGAATTCTAAGGCAACGCAAATATTAAGGTTAAGAGGCTGAGCTCGTAGATGATGATAAATAACATAGTTATGTATAATATATTACATTTCTGACTGTATATCCCTGTAATTATTACACACTGTAGCTTTAAAAACAGATGCATGGTAACAGAATTTTGGGGTTCGATAAAAATGGGTCTTAGCTGTTGTTTGCGGGTGCCCATTTTTTCTCCATATTGATCGCAATAACTCATATACCATCAACAAAAACTAAAAAAACTTCTCTATAGAGTTATCAATAATATCTATATTTGCAAAATGCCAGAACAATGACACTCATTTTATTTTAGAGAATATTCTAATAGTTCTTTAAACTTAGAAGTTTGCATACATTTCCTTAGTTTTGTTGTTGCTCTTGTTGTTTTAAGTGTTTGAGTCACCTAGGATGCATTTTGTGTCCTTCAAGCTTCTCACAAGAGGAACTGCGCCCCCTTCTGACTGAACTGCTGTGACTGAGTTGGCTCGCTACTGTAATGACTGCACTGGAAAAATGATCTAGAAATTAGTGAAAATGCCTTAAATTAAATGAATTTACTCTTGATTTGAGCAGGAAAATAAGATAGTTTGCCAATGGAATGAGTATTTTTACTCTTAGAATAAGTTAATTAGATAATATGCACTTCAAATAAGGCAATGCAGTTCTTTTTTCTTATTTTAAGTGTAAATTGTCTCGTTTCATTGGCAAAATGTCTCACTTACCCCCTCAATTCAAGAAAAAAAATGTACTTATTTTAGTAAAAAATTACTTAATGAGATTAACATTTTTTTGCAGTGTGTGACCTGGAGGACTGAGAATCTTCACCAGCATAACTGCTAGTATCATTTAGCTGCTTTTGATTGTTCGGTTTGATGTTGCCTCATATTAATTTACCAGCAAAACCAGCTGTATTGTAAAAAGCCCCACTTCCTCCTGCAGAACAACCCCCCCATAAAACAATGCAGCCCTCCCCGTGTTTAACATTTGGCCAAATATAATCTTCATGGACAAATATTTCAGTTTAAGTTTTAATAATAGGACACAGGACACATCTCTAAAAACAAATGTCTTTGTCCCTGTGTGAATTTTTAAATTGTAGTATTTTTAGTGCTAACCTGTTTGACTGCCTCTGCTTGGTGCCTTAAAAGAAATTAAATGCTGCAAAATAACTTATGAGAACCTCACAAACCAACGCTTTCAAAGATCGTTTAAAGGCATTAAAAGATTTTGAAATTGAAGTCCTCCCAGCAGCTGGAAAACTCTAGAACCACCACTGATCCCAACAACCTCAATCAGTTCTTCCATTCATGCTGATTTTGCACAGTTTCTACCTTAGTCAGTTAAATAACCTGCTGCTGTCATTCTGCACATCTCTGATGTTGCTGCTATTTTCAAATATCCATTACTGTAAAAATGTCCATAGCTGCATATTGGTCATTTATTCTCCAGTTTTATATTGTTAAAACACTTTACAGTTCAGTATTTGATAGTTTATCTTTAAATTCTTCACTATTATGTTATTCTTATACATTTTTCTAAGATTCACATTTGTGCACTGCAAAAAATTACCTACCTAAGTAATTTTTTCTTAAAATAAGCGCATTTTTTTCTTGAATTGAGATGGAAAGTGAGACAATTTGCATTTAAAATAAGAAAACACAATCGCATTGTCTTATTTCGAGTGCATATTATCTATTTATCTTATTCTAAGAGTGAAAATACTCATTTGCCTACTCAAATTAAGGTTAAATACACTTAGTTTAAGAAATTATTTCTTATTTGTAGATCATTTTTCCAGTGTGTGACCGTTTTTGCTGCTGGAAACTCCAGAATTTCGCCATTGTGGGACGATAAAGGGATTTTCCCTTTTTATTCTATTCATTTTCTATTTTATTCCAATCTATTCTGTTCTATTCTATTCTATTGTAATAAACATGTTTCTGAAAAGCTTTAGTCAGATTAAGTCTCTGGAGGTTGTGTCATTTTATGCAGTTAATGTTAACATCTGGTTTAATCTATTTATCTTTATAACTCTGCTGCTTTGCAGTGAACTCTAATCATCAGCGTTTGTTTCTTGATCTTAAACATTTTGAATTCATCCCAAAACTGGGTAAAAAAGGTAAAAACAAAATGTCTGACAGGTCACCTTATTGATGCATCGCTCTATAATAGCGTTTTAATTCATATGTATCTTAAAGTTAAATCTTATTTTATTGTTAGGAAAATGACTTTTAAGGTGATTGGTGCTGATGTTAGCATATATCTGTGATTTAATATAATTTAAGCACAATTTCAGTTTATTCTGTGTGAAAAGTACAAACTAATTACGGTTTATTAGGGGTGATTATACCAAGCACCATTAAGAAACACCTTAATGAAGATACTAATCTGCTACTGGAGATCAGATCAGACTCCCTTCATCAACTGCTTCTGTGATTGATTCAATATTAGATATAGAAAAATATTTAGGCCAGTTGCTTTTTCTTATCTGCTTATCTATTTTTTTCTCAATTGTATTAAGGTAAGCATGATTATTTTTACACTAAACATTTAAACCAGTAGCATCATGAAGTAACACTATCTGTCAAGGTTAGGCTGAGGTTTTGAGGACCCAAAATGCAGAGGCAGGGAGGCAGAGGTGAGTTTCTTGAAGATTTAATTGAGTGTTCAAAGGTAACTGAGGCAGGAATCCAATAATCCAACTAAAAAATGTAAAACAAACCAGAACCTTGGAGACATCAGGGAAAGATGAGGAACCAGCACTGAGGAACAGGGAGAGTATTTATGGTAGGCTGAACAAAGGCAGGACTAACGAGCTGATTGGGAGCAGGTGTGAACAGAGGATTCTAGAAAGGAGCTAGGGAAAAGGAGACCAACACAAGAGGGCAACAGAGGGCAACAAAGAAAAAAACCTAAAAACTCAAACATATCCAGAAAACACAACAAAAAAGGAATTAAACTAATAAAACCAGAAACCATGGAGCACAGTAAAACTGAATACTCAAAAGAAAACTTAGCAGAACAAAGACCGTGACACTATCTTTACTTAAAGGACATTCATGGCTTCTCCATTTACCATGCGTTACAGCCGCGTTTTAATCAAAAATATACCAGAATCACACCTACAGTCAATAACACGAGGAAATTTCTTATTTTTCCGCAAGTTTGTTTTTTTAGCTGTTATCATCGATGTCCTGAGCAGTTTAGAATTGTAGTGAATGCACAGTGAAATTGAAAGTTTCTGGAAATCATTTACCCTGCACCAACATATACACTCACCGGCCACTTTATTAGGTACCCCATGCTAGTAACGGGTTGGACCCCCTTTTGCTTTCAGAACTCCCTCAATTCTTGGTGGCATAGGGTCAACAAGGTGCTGGAAGCATTCCTCAGGGAGTTTGGTCCATATTGACATGATGGCATCACACAGTTGCCGCAGATTTGTCGGCTGCACATCCATGATGCGAATCTCCCGTTCCACCACATCCCAAAGATGCTCTATTGGATTGAGATCTGGTGACTGTGGAGGCCATTTGAGTACAGTGAACTCATTGTCATGTTCAAGAAACCAGTCTGAGATGATTCCAGCTTTATGACATGGCGCATTATCCTGCTGAAAGTAGCCATCAGAAGTTGGGTACATTGTGGTCATAAAGGGATGGACATGGTCAGCAACAATACTCAGGTAGGCTGTGGCGTTGCAACGATGCTCAATTGGTACCAAGGGGCCCAAAGAGTGCCAAGAAAATATTCCCCCAAACCATGACACCACCACTACCAGCCTGAACCGTTGATACAAGGCAGGATGGATCAATGCTTTCATGTTGTAGACGCCAAATTCTGACCCTACCATCCGAATGTCGCAGCAGAAATCGAGACTCATCAGACCAGGCAACGTTTTTCCAATCTTCTATTGTCCAATTTCCATGAGCTTGTGCAAATTGTAGCCTCAGTTTCCTGTTTTTAGCTGAAAGGAGTGGCACCCGGTGTGGTCTTCTGCTGCTGTAGCCCATCTGCCTCAAAGTTGGACGTACTGTGCGTTCAGAGATGCTCTTCTGCCCACCTTGGTTGTAACGGGTGGTTATTTGAGTCACTGTTGCCCTTCTATCAGCTCCAACCAGTCTGGCCATTCTCCTCTGACCTCTGGCATCAACAAGGCATTTCCGCCCACAGAACTGCCGCTCACTGGATGTTTTTTCTTTTTCGGACCATTCTCTGTAAACCCTAGAGATGGTTGTGAGTGAAAATCCCAGTAGATCAGCAGTTTCTGAAATACTCAGACCAGCCCTTCTGGCACCAACAATCATGCCACGTTCAAAGTCACTCAAATCACCTTTCTTCCCCATACTGATGCTCGGTTTGAACTGCAGGAGATTGTTTTGACCATGTCTACATGCCTAAATGCACTGAGTTGCCGCCATGTGATTGGCTGCTTAGAAATTAAGTGTTAACGAGCAGTTGGACAGGTGTACCTAATAAAGTGGCCGGTGAGTGTATATTACCTATGGAATAGATCAGTTTTGTATGTTTTATGTTAAAAGAAATGTTTGGCGATTTTACCGACCCCCGCTTAAATTAAAATTGTGACAAAGAGCTTCTGTTACATTGATTTTATAAACATTATTAGACTTCACAGAAAGTGAAGTCTAATAATGTTTTTTTTTTAAACCAGTTAATAAATGAGCACAAAGGTAGAATCGTTCTAGAATATTCACTGTGAGATTAAGTTGACACTTTTTTCTGTAAAATGAGCATCACTAAATGTTGGGGGGGGTTAAGTTAAGTTACCACATTCAGGCCATCTGAGCATGTTTCTGTTTTATTTAAAGAACCATGGCAGAAATGTCAGACTACGTATTATTAATGCACCCAACGTGTCATAACTCATCCTACCAAAGCCATTTGCTCCATATCCTCATGATAAGTTGTGGCCAGTTATAATAATTTAGATAATTTCCCAGGTGAATATTATCCATCCATCCGTTGCCTGGATCCTTTTATTTTAGAGGGTAGTTAGGAGTATAGATGTTGCTTGTGATGGGACATAGAAGCGTTTAAAAACACACATGCTTTATGTTATATTCTGCTGTCATTAGCTTTAAGTGTGCTGCTCAGCTGAACCGGCTGAAAATGGGGCGAAGTTGATCCAGTGAATCCCAGGAAATGGGTCATTAGACCCAAACCGAGCAGAAAGAGGGGGTGTTCTCAGACTATATGGGACAATCAATGTTGCATTAACTGTATTTGCCAGACTTTGCTGGGTAAAATGGTGGAATTGGAGCTGGAAAGCAGATGTGAACGTTTTCAGGGGTCAGAGCAGCCAGAACTCACCTGATCAATGAAGCCTCCGAGGACCGACAGGTGTCTGGCTGGGTAGGAGGCGAAAATGTGGCCTGTGGCATTGATTCCTGTCACTGACAGAATACCACTTGTGAAGTCCATGAAAGCATCTGTGATGACAGACAAAGATATTTCACTGTGTAAAAAATATCTGTTTGGATCTTATAGAGAGAGAGGCATGCAGACCACTGACCATAATACAATCCAAAGACTGCTGCAGCTCCTGCAAAAGCACCAAGGAACTGAGCCATGACATAGAAGGGAAACTTCCAGATCTTCAGTTTGCCCAGAATCACCATAGCCAGAGACACAGCAGGGTTCACATGGCCTCCTGGGACACAGAACCAACACAGAGTGACAGAGGGGTGCAGTGGCGAGGTGGGGGCTGACTTAATATCCTCTCCATTATTAGAGAAGCTGTCACATTTACAGGAAGCAGCAGAAGGGGAGCAGGTTACCATTTATTATGTCTGTCTGAGAGCAGAAGACAGAATAATGCTCACTGATTAGAAATTCAACACCAACCATTAATCTCACAAGGTGGACTCAGAGTAGGAGGGTAAATTTTAAAAATGTGATCGGAAAATTGAGTTTTTCTATTATTTCATAATTAATTTATGCTATTTACTCACTATAAAAGTTTTCACACAATTCCCCTGCGTGAGGAGAGTTTGTAGACAAGACATCCTTATTCCAATGACAAACCAGAATCTTCCTCAAGGTTTATTCATTACAAGTGTCCGTAATATGTTTTCACTCTGACAACTGTCCATTATTGTAAGTAAGGGTGAACGAACGCTGGCCAGATCAGAACAGGGCTGATTACTGTGCAATAGAGACTGACACGGGAGTGGATTTTCACTCCTGTCCCGTCCCACTCCCACAGAAAAAAATAGCGTCCCGTCCCACTCCTGGTGAAATTACTCCCGCTCCCATTCAGAATGACTCCTGCTCCTTCACCACTCCCATTCTTGTTTTGTTTTTTTAGCGCGGGTGAAAAACTCAGAGCAGAAGCACTGTTGGTTTTTGGGTTGTGTAGTTTTTTTGACTCGCATTATAGTGTAGGCTTCAAGGAAAAAAACTACAAAATGGTGGCGCCAGTACTGGATTTTTTTTCTTTCTATTTTATGTTATTTTTTGGCATCGATCCTAGTTTTTTTTAGTTACTATTTGTTTGCTCCCGCTCCCGTCTGCTCCCGTTAATGTTTAAAGCTACAGTGTGTAATTTTCAGCGACATCTAACGTCCAGACTGCAGACCGCAGCAACATGAACATCTCCCCCCACCGCTTCTCCCCCCCAACAGTACGGCGAGCGTTACGGGACAAAATGTCTTCCACGACGTCCGCATCACCTACCTTCTCAAGTGATGAGGTTTGTTTACATAGATAATTTTACAGATAGTATTTCATTAGTCTGTGTAGGGTATAGATTTCATGTAGACTTAAGATAATAAATATACCCGTTTCGAGCGTAATGGGCGATCTCGCAATCGCTAGTTTGTTGGCTCTGAGCTGCCGTAGCGTAAAGATGTCTGCCTCCATGGATGCGAGACCCGCTCCTATGTAATTATAAATAACGAATTCTAAGGCAACGCAAATATTAAGGTTAAGAGGCTGAGCTCGTAGATGATGATAAATAACATAGTTATGTATACTATATTACATTTCTGACTGTATATCCCTGTAATTATTACACACTGTAGCTTTAATCCTGTACCGTCCCAATCGTTACTAATACTGACTCCCATCCCACGGGAATCCCGTGACCCGTGGGATTCCCCAAAAAATGTCAGTCTCTACTGTGCAATAAGGGCCTTATGAGGAACTATTTCTCTTTTTGCAAAGATAAAAATAAAGTGCCGACTGAGTGAAATCTATCGATCTCCATTTATTCAACTGGAGTAAATAGTTAAATACTTTTTTCCCACTTCAATTTGGAGTTTTCATCGGAATTCTCCTACGACAGATTTTTTCCAAGGTCAGCGATTGTCAGAAGGGTCAGGAACCACCTGGAGAAAGCAGTCTTCCAGCCTCAATGCCCCAGTTTAGAAGTTTAAGGGAGTGAGGACTTCTGGCATCGAGGTCCCTGGAGGTCAGCGGGAGGATCGAAATGAACCATTTCTTTTTAGCGATGGTGAGAAATCAGTCGGAATGGCTCAAATAGTTTTAGATTTAAAATTATTATAGAGGTAACAGATTTCTACTGGGGACGAAGGGTAAATTTGGACAGAAAATAAATAGTCAGTATTTTTTCTACAGTATTCATGCATTTAAAGTCACATTGAAAGGAATTATAAAGTTTCCTAAAAGAACTGGCAGCCCATCAGAGAAGGATTATATAAGATAATAAGTGCTTTAAAACTCGCCTAAGCATAAGAAATAAACTACGACTGTTTTGGCTGTTAAAAAGTTTCTTGCTGAATTATTTCCACCCTGTAAACCTCACTTTTATGTTTGGTTTTCATGTAGTGCAGAAATGGGAAGCTTTGAGGACAAAGCGCTTTAAACCATCTTTCATACGGTAAAAAATTGAAAAACGATGCATAGCATTGTTGCTACCGTCCATCTTTGTCCAGCTGCCTGTGTCGGGGTCACAGCGGCTCGTCTCTATCTCCAGCAGTCTGATGACTGCAAGTCCATCACAAAGCCATGCACACATCTAAGGGCAATTTAGAGTCACCAATTGGTCTAACAGATGTAATTGGACTGATGGAGGGAGCCAGAGTACCTGGAAATAACCCAGGGAGAGCATGAAAACTCTAAGCCAGGATTTGAACCTACAACCGTCTTGCAGCCAGGCAGCATTGCTACAGACAGTGTCAGCCTGGAGCCCTTTATTTTGCCTTTAAGTTAAACCTTTTCAGATTTATATCAATGCTTCATTTGAATAGAATGATAGATTTAATGCAGCTGCTCTGCGAACATAGAAGTTTGAATCGTGTAAAAGTTGGATTTCGGTCCAGCCTTTGACTGGAACATTTCAACATATAGTTATAATAGTGTTTAAAACACTAAAATTGTAGTTCTAGTTGAATGTTTGTTGTCATCTGGCTGGAAGGTAAACCTCTGCTTTCACATCATCTCCTTCTATTCATTAAAGTGAAAGCCTTTCCACAGCATTGTCTCCCGCCACCATGTTTAACAGCAGTACAGGTGGTCTAATGCCTTGCCTTAGTCTGTTTTGTACGGTGGCCCTGAAGTGCAAACTGCAACTACAAATCTAAAAGCGCAACTACATCAAGAAAAACAAAACTACATAAAGCAAAGCGCAACTACATTAAGAAAAGCACAACTACATAAAGCAAAGCGCAACTACATTAAGAAAAGCACAACTACATAAAGCAAAGCGCAACTACATTAACCTACCGGAAAAGGTAGGTACCAGTGGGAAACATGAGACATCGCTGATTGGACGACGGCGCCGTTTGACCCTTGAACCGGAAGTTGCGTCGTCTGAACAGTCCAGCTTCTTTTAAGTGTGTCTTCAGTGTACGCAAACTAACTGAAATTTCGTGATTAGTCTTGAGCATATCCAGTATCACCTCGTACGTATGTCCTGATTCAAAATATTCCTGGATAACGGCAGCTATGTTTGGGGCGGCGACAATATCCATGTTTTCAAAAGCGGCAGCAGGCAGAATGACTTCCGGTTCAAGGGTCAAACGGCCCCGTCGTCCAATCAGCGATGTCTCATGTTTCCCACTGGTACCTACCTTTTCCGGTAGGTTAATGTAATTGTGTTTTCCTTAATGTAGTTGCGCTTTGCTTTATGTAGTTGCGATTTCCTTAATGTAGTTGTGCTTTGCTTTATGTAGTTGCGATTTCCTTAATGTAGTTGTGCTTTGCTTTATGTAGTTGCGATTTCCTTAATGTAGTTGTGCTTTGCTTTATGTAGTTGCGATTTCCTTAATGTAGTTGCGCTTTGCTTTATGTAGTTGCGATTTCCTTAATGTAGTTGCGCTTTGCTTTATGTAGTTGCGATTTCCTTAATGTAGTTGCGCTTTGCTTTATGTAGTTGCGATTTCCTTAATGTAGTTGCGCTTTGCTTTATGTAGTTGCGATTTCCTTAATGTAGTCACGCTTTGCTTTATGTAGTTGCGATTTCCTTAATGTAGTTGCGCTTTGCTTTATGTAGTTTCGATTTCCTTCATGTAGTTGCGCTTTGCTTTATGTAGCTGCGATTTCCTTAATGCAGTTGCGCTTTGCTTTATGTAGTTGCGATTTCCTTAATGTAGTTGAGCTTTGCTTTATGTAGTTGCGATTTCCTTAATGTAGTTGTGCTTTGCTTTATGTAGTTGCGATTTCCTTAATGTAGTTGCACTTTGCTTTATGTAGTTGCGATTTCCTTACTGTAGTTGCGCTTTGCTTTATGTAGTTGCGATTTCCTTAATGTAGTTGCGATTTCCTTAATGTAGTTGCGCTTTGCTTTATGTAGTTGCGATTTCATTAATGTAGTTGCGCTTTGCTTTATGTAGTTGCGATTTCCTTACTGTAGTTGCGCTTTGCTTTATGTAGTTGCGATTTCCTTACTGTAGTTGCGCTTTGCTTTATGTAGTTGCGATTTCCTTACTGTAGTTGCGCTTTGCTTTATGTAGTTGCGATTTCCTTAATGTAGTTGCGCTTTGCTTTATGTAGTTGCGATTTCATTAATGTAGTTGCGCTTTGCTTTATGTAGTTGCGATTTCCTTACTGTAGTTGCGCTTTGCTTTATGTAGTTGCGATTTCCTTAATGTAGTTGCGATTTCCTTAATGTAGTTGCGCTTTGCTTTATGTAGTTGCGATTTCATTAATGTAGTTGCGCTTTGCTTTATGTAGTTGCGATTTCCTTAATGTAGTTGCGTTTTGCTTTATGTAGTTGCGATTTCCTTAATGTAGTTGCGCTTTGGTTTATGTAGTTGCAATTTCCTTAATGTAGTTGCGCTTTGCTTTATGTAGTTGCGATTTCCTTAATGTAGTTGCGCTTTGCTTTATGTAGTTGCGATTTCCTTAATGTAGTTGTGCTGGGTTTTATGTAGTTGCGATTTCCTTAATGTAGTTTCGCTTTGCTTTATGTAGTTGCGATTTTCCTTAATGTAGTCGCGCTTTGCTTTATGTAGTTGCAATTTCCTTAATGTAGTCGCGCTTTGCTTTATGTAGTTGCGATTTCCTTAATGTAGTTGCGCTTTGCTTTATGTAGTTGTGAATTCCTTAATGTAGTTTCGCTTTGCTTTATGTAGTTGCGATTTTCCTTAATGTAGTCGCGCTTTGCTTTATGTAGTTGCGATTTCCTTAATGTAGTCGCGCTTTGCTTTATGTAGTTGCGATTTCCTTAATGTAGTTGCGCTTTGCTTTATGTAGTTGCGAATTCCTTAATGTAGTTGCGCTTTGCTTTATGTAGTTGCGAATTCCTTAATGTAGTTGCGCTTTTAGATTTGAAGTTGCAGTTTGCACTTCAGGGCCACCGTAGTTTTAACCTTTTCCACAGCTCTATCCCCTGCCGCCATCCTTGATCTTTGTTATGCTGTTTTTTTCCACGTATATCATCTATTGAACTTCAGAGGCATCATAGAACAGCTTTATGCTTCCAAACAGAGTTGGATGTGTAAAAGTGAGCTGAAGATTTTCTATTTGTTATTTGCTTTTCTATGCATAACATACAGATGATAAGTAAAATTTAACCCTTACTTCTTTAACCGTTCCTGCATGAATACATTCTATATTCTAAATGAGGTAGCAGTTTTTTTGTGTTTCTGGTTTCCTTCTCAGCTGCTGAGTCCAGCATCCTCTGTTGGACCGAGTTTCTGTCACAGAGAGAGGCCTCTGATCAATGGTGTTTGCAGGACATTTACTGCCCAGGGTTATGGACGACCCCAGAGAGGCTCTGCTCTATAGTACTGATAAATCAATGGTCCGAGCACATCCATTGAATCTGGGCAGAGAGGCGGCACGTCTGACGCGCTGACACTGGAGCCTTTCAGATGACACATGACTGAACAGAAACCTATAAAGTTTAATTATTAGGAGCTTCCAAGCCTCCTGAGTCACAGGTTTTAAGATAAAACACAGAGAAGCTGGATTATTCTATTTAATCTCTGTAGTTCTAATCTAAAACCTATGATTGTTTTTAAAACCTGCCAAAGTATTAGAAGCATTAAACAGAAGATTATATGGGAAAAAATAATATGTTTGATATTTTAGCTGGATTAACAGTTTGTCGTTAACTGACCTTTAATAATAATAATGCGACTGGCAGTAAGCAGCATGTGAAACACAGCAGAGGCAAAGCTTTGTCCCATTTACCTGAAATCCCACCAGCCACGTACACTGCCATCATGAGGCCCACAGAGAAGCCGATATGGACGGTAAGAGGCTCCCCCAGCGTGTTTCGACTCAGGACAGTCTGAGCAACTGAGCCGCAGCCAAACAACTAGCAAACACAAAGCAAAATAGATAAAGCTCTTAAACAAATTAGTTTCTCTTGGGATTATCAAACAACTCTAAAGAATAGAAGCAAAAAAGAAGAAAAAAAAAAACTTCCACTTACTACCAAGACAAAAGTCCCCAGGAATTCTGCCAGGAATTCCTTGAATATTCCATGTTTGAGCGCGCAGCGCTGCCTCATGTTTCTGTTGTGCTGCACTTTCTAAGAGGTGTTGGAAATACAGGCGTTTAGGAACCAACTGGAGCCAAATAGAGTCCGATCTCCGCCTCTGCAGCCATTCAGCACCAACTATTGATCTACTGGAACCATCCTCCCCGCTTCATTTCTTTTCTGTTACAATGAAAAAAGTAGTGTTGCGCCAATGCCATTTTTTTGGCCCCAATACCCGATACCTGGCTGTGCAGTAGATGCCGATACTGATACCATACTGTTATGTGCGTCGGGCACATAAATTATTTATTTATTTATTTTTCCTTCTAATGTTGCATAGACCTTAGTTGAATCACTTTTTTTTTAGAGTCTTGATAATTCTTTTTTCTTTTTCGATTACGTTAATTTGTGGGATATTGGTCGGCCTATAAGTAGGCTGGGTTTCCACCTGTTAGTCTCTCTCTCTCTCTCTCTCACTTCCAGCCTTCTGAGCGATCCACCGTAACAGAGAGGGCGTCCAGACGCGATGCGCATGTCTCCTGTCTTTGTAGGCCGCCGCTGACCTCCCTAACCTGCCATGCGGTATTTTTGTTCGTTAGCCTTTGTTTTTTGCTGAATTTTTGTAACTTTGACCAAGTGGGACCGGTTGTCCTGTTTTCGCTCTTTTTTTATTTTTATTAGAGTTTTAACCATTAGTTTGTTACTAGCAGAGGCTTCGACGGCCCTGTATAGGGTTGGCGCTCTGCTGTAACGTTTTGTTTCTTTGGATCGGCTCACCATGTCCAACTTTCTGTTCATACTTGGGTGTTTTTTTTACTTTTTTCTTTCTTAGAGTTTTTTTTTGGACATGGGGAACTGGGGGAAATAATGTGACTCTCTTTTTTGTTTGTCTCTTTGCAGAATAACTAAACACCTGATCTAAAAAGAAGTTCCAGAGATTAAGAATAAAATAATTCTTTGGAACCTCATTTTTGTCTCTTGTCCTCAAATATGTTGTGGCCTGGGTGGTCGTAACATATTTATGGGTGCTTGTCCGGGATTTGAACCCAGGACCTCTCGCAACGATACTGATACCATCTGTTTGAAATTGATATGTATGTGTATATATGAAGAACTGCATCCTACTTGGATGTAAAATAATCACCATCTTGGCTTCATGTCAAGCTGCTGCCTACCTTTGTGAAGCAGGAAAAAGACTAAAACAAAGTGAATCCAGTAGAACTTTTTATTGCCTTCCTGGAATGGGCGACAATAGTTGAAGAAACTTTAGGCTCTCAAAATGCTATCAGTGCCCTATTGGTTGGTACTCGCCGATACCGATACCACCATTTTAGAGCTGGATCGGGGCCCTGCCAGATACTGGTATCGGTGCAATACTAGAAAAAAGGCAAAGACATTTCTTGACATTTTATCTAACTGACCGAAAAACAGTTGGATAAAATATGAGATTTTAAGCGCTGATCAACTGAGCTTCTGAGAATTTAGTAAAGTCCACTTTTACTAACAGACCTGTCAACAATATTTAATATTGTATTGCAAAGATCTGGCCCTCATGGAAGAGTTAGAAGATGGTTAAAACTGTGGAAAAAAAGGTAGAATGAAGTCTCCTCTGCTGTTACCACAGGCCTTTGGTTAGATGAGTCTGAGATGTAACTTATTTTGACCTTCATGCCAGATTCTCTGTGTCAGAGAAGTATTGATAGAAATCATCCTACAAACAGCAGCCCGGATCAAAACACAACTGTGGTGGTATGATGCTGCGGGAAGGCTTCTCTTTAGCAAGGCTAAGGAAGCTGGTCAGGGTCATGCAAGTAAACCAATATTCTGTCAGATAATTCCGTAAAAATTAAAAAAATATCCACTGGACTTGGTTTCCAAGGTTTGAAGACATTTTGCTTCCTCTCTAGGAAGCTTTCTCAATTCAAATGTCTGGATCCGCAGTGAGTTTGAGTCTTATATAGAAAGCCTTGTATCGCTTGGAAACATGCAAATGGTAACCGATGAATGGGTCGTTTGGTTCCATCGTTAGCCTGTGATTTCTGAAGCCAGTCTATGATTCTAGGGGTCGGTCGTTAAAGGGGGGGGGGCCTTGGGTTTCACCTTGGGGAGGTCTAATTTCTTTCGAAAAAGAAGGTACCGGCTCCCCGAGTGAAATAATGTTTGTTTTTCAACATTTTTGACTGTGCCCTTGGTTCTCGACCTGGATGCGACAATCTGGAAACATTTATTTCTTTTGAATGAGAAGAAGTGCTTGTGAAAAATGTTCAGGGTTTCGACTTTTTGGCGTGGTGAGCAGGCTGGAACATTCTCTCGCTCACATGCTGTGGTGCGCTCTCTGAACAGGCTCAGGAAAGGAGCCACAGAGGAGGGCGACCCCTGCTCGCTTCCTCCCGCCCAGGACGCTGTTAGGCCAATCGCTTCCTTCTCCTCACCACCGGTGTGGAGGTGGGGGGTGGCTGGTCAGTGCAAGGGCCTTTTTCTGCCAGTGAGCCTTGGGGGCATGTGTTTTCTGTGCACCTTGCAGTGTTGCTTTGGTCTTCCGCAGTTATGGCATCCTGACGTACGTTTGCAGACCAAGGCACAGGCACAGCTTTAGAGCTTCTTCATCCCTCTTCTCCTCCCACCTCTTTTGCATGGAGGTTACCCTTGAGGTGATATGGGTGTTTCCAGGAGGTACTCCTTCTCCTTAGTCGCCAGGGTGGTGAGATTCAGCCACCTGGCTGTCTCCTGCAAAGCCATTAGTCCAATAGATCTGCCCATAGCTTGGATTGCCACCTTATGGAGATGCAGGCAATGGTCGGTAATGACGCACACCTCCTCCCAGACGGCTGCATCTGGTTCGGCAATCATTTGCACTTCAGGTGCAGGTGTGACGGATGGTCCTGAAAACATTGCTTGCATCCAGGGGGGATTTACCATTAGGCAATACTGGGCAGTTGCCTAGGGCCCCAAGTCCCTGGGGGCCCCATAAAACTCTGGTTCCAGGTATGGTTAATACAACTATTCCTAATTTGTGCTCATTAATTATGTTTTTGATAAAAATCCTTTAGCAAAAAATGCCATCAGAACGCTGATAATATTAAGTGTGTCTCAGCCCCCCCTTCAGTGTCCACCATATTGGATCAGTCCATTTGCTGCACATGTTCAGAAAGGTCCAAACAGACAGCAGCAAACCATTTGAAAACAAACCATGCAAAGAGCAGTGTTGCCAACTTAGCGCTTTAGTCGCTATATTTAGCCACTTTTCAGACCCCTCTAGCACTTTGATTTCTAAAAAGCTCCTAGCGCCAAATCTAGAGACTTTTTTCTGCTACTGGAGACTTTGGAGACAACATCTAAAAGCAGCGAACTCTGCTCTCCAGAGCGAGTAGATTGGTAACCCCGCCTCCTGCTCTCCTCTATCTTGTCTGCTGTCATGATTCATGCAGCTATTATTTCATCCAAATGAAAAATGGAGAACAGATAAGCAGATCATGGCTTGTCTACAGTGAAAAGAAGGACTGGGTTATTTACTTTGGCCTTTTTGGAAACACAGGAAGGAGCAATCAGCTAAGTGAGCTTAGTGCTTGGAAAAAATCTTTCATTCCTTTAGAGACAGCATGAAAAGTCAGCTGAGTACAAAACATAGAGAGGAAAACAAGAAGAAAAGGGACAAGAAGAGAGGGACACAAGCTAGAACAGATAATGGATGTCTATTCTATTAACATTTCTACATCTGGAGAATGGGGCTGTTTATGTGTTGTCTTCTCCATTCAGAGGGGCCCCTGCCTGTCTTTGCCTAGGGCCCCAAATTTCCTAAATCCAGCTCTGCTTAAAACAACTAGTTTGAAAAAAAAAAAAAAACATAATTCTCAATAATAATCTGAGGACAGTGAACACCTTTTCATATCAAAATATCACAAATGATTGCTGTTTGACCCCACCCCCCAAAAAGAAAAACAACTACATTGACAACCAACTACCTGCACAAACATAAAGCATTTACATTTATTTTAGTTGACCATTTCTAAAGCTACAAACAAATGGGTCAATAACAAAAAACATGTTTTTATTGTTATTTTCTTCTTTTTAGGTTATCACCATCTTAATACACTGATAGAAACAGAAGCATAAATGTAATGCAGTAAATGCTGTTATAAATATTACCACAAGAGGTCAGCACTGACAAAGTTCTTATAGCTGTAGATCAAGTTAGAAAATGATCATTCACACCTGAGCTGTTAACTGTATTAAGTAGTGTTTAGATTTTCTTCACAGTAGAAATGTTTCTTCATAAAGTCCTGAACTCTTTTCCAAAACAAGTCCATCAGTCAGAACCAAAGTCGTCCATGTCGTTCAAATCTTCCTCTACAAGCTTCATGGGAGGTGACTTCTTCTTGCGCCTGGTGATGACACAAAAACATAAAATTAATTCAGTTTCAGTTCAGTTTCTTTCTATAGCACCAATTCACATCATGTCATCTCAGGTCACTTTATAATTCAACCAGATCATCCAGTCAAATTTATTCAAAGTTTTCTGTCTAAGGAAAACCAGCTGATTGCATCGACTCATTGACTCTTCAGCAATCCCTCACACTAAGCATGCCTGTAGCGACAGTGGAGAGGAAAAACTCCCTTTGAACAGGAAGAAACCTCCAGCAGAACCAGGCTCAGTGTGAGCGGCCATCTGCTGAGGCCCACTGGGGTTCAAGGAGACAGAAGCAGACATAGAAAAAGAAGCATAGATACAAAAGGCAACTGTCAACCAGCTCCACAGGCGGCCCTGTCCAGTAAACACACAGCCAGGCAGACGAGCTCCGAGCCAGCTCCCATGTCAGAGGATGAAGAGAGCACATCCAGTTAGTCACAGTCAGAGAAACAGGACTACACTGGAAAACAGGCCAAGCTCCAACATCTAGAAACAAAGGTGTTGATGGCAGCAGCACAGCTGATATTTCTCTCCAGGATGGAGTCACAGCCAAACAGGAACAGACCAGATGAAGCTACTATGAGAAAAAGCAGAGAGAGCAGAACGTTAGAGATTGAACTAACAGATTCTGCAGAGTGGGAGAATAGAGATAGAATGAAGCAGAATGTTGAAAAAGGGGTCCCTATGTCCTCCAGCAGTCTAAGCCAATAGCAGCAGAACTATAGAGATAGCTCAGGATAACCTGAGCCGCTCTAGAATGGGTTAGAAGAGTGATTGTGAGTGAAGTGAGTGAAATGTCTGGTGTATTAAAGGGAGAAACAGTCACCTCATCTCGTTTCGTAGAGTATTGAGCTGGCTGTGAAGCTGCTCGTTGGCCTCCATCTGCTCATCCACGTCTCTCTGCAGCTTCTTTTTACTGTGCTCCAAACGCTCTATCTCTTCCTCCGCCTCGTCCATCTGCCTCTTCGCTGTCTTTAACCTTTGAGTTAGCTGCCAGATTAAACCGAGAGACATTCTAAATAAACCATTTATTTTTACTTTTTCCACCTTCTTAAAAGGTTTAGATTTTGCTACCTGGTCCATCTGGCTCTGCAGGTTGATGTGTTCCTCATCTGCCTGTATTTTCATCTCCTTCACTTTGCGTTCCAGTTTGCGGTTCACCTGTTGCAGGCTGTTGTTTTCCCTGAGAGGTGAAAACATGCATAGAAGGGTCACATTGCCGCTGCAGCCATGTGTGACCAAACCCTCGACCGATGAGTGATACTAGTGGGACACCATGGAAAAAAATACACAGGCTAAACAGAGACAACAGCACCTTGACTTCAAAGGAGAAGTCTGGTCATATTCAGAATTCAAACTTCTGAAAGTACTTGAAATGATTCCATCCTGTTCAAAAAATGATCAGTGTTTTTAATTCAGAGTAATTTTCATGTGAATGTGCTTTACTGGAGGCATCCATGTTTGTCAAAGAACACTACTGCCACCTACTGGTTAGTGACGTCACGGTGCGGTATCGGCTGTTGATCAAGTCCCAGTGCTGTATCTGGTGTTTGTCACAACGCGCTATTATCCAAGTCATCTTGAAAACATTCTTCTTCCAAATGTTGGCTACATATTACGGGTTTTTTCTCTGGCCAGAAGTTCGATGGCAAATCCTCCCTCTTCAAGTTGGCGATCCAACGACCAACCCGTCCGTGGAGGATCAGGAATCAGAAAGGTGGAATAACTCTTTTTTTTTCACTTTTACCCGATGTATTCCAGCATCCAGCTGCCATGCACGTGGGCATTGTCAGTTTCACTATAGCTCTGGTGAATTTCAATGGTGAAGTCCTCTGGAAATCTTCAATAATTGTTGTTGATTGCAGATGTGTCTAGTAGTTCCCATTGATTTAGCTTGGAAAGCGGGGAGAATGGCGCTAGGCTTACCGCACCGTGACGTCACTGCTGGAAGATGGCAGGAGGGAGGGGCTACTATATTTGGGCAAAAATGGCCGCTCCCAGACTCAGTGATCGCCACGAAAATTATTATTTCTATCTTTTTACTGATTAATGCTAAATTCATTAAATCACAGCGAAGCTATTAGTTTTAGGTATAAATAATGATCCATTGATTATTCCTTATTAACTGGACTTTTCCTTTAAACGGCACACTGATCAGCTCCCTTTTGGAAATGGCTTTCTTCTAAGCAAAAAGCCTCCATAGATGTTAGACTAGTGGAGAGCAGGACTAGGATCTGTTTGCAGAACTATAGTTGGCCAAACCGTTTTCTACACTTTCAGGCTGTTTTAAGTATTGAACATTTCTTATCTAACCTAATAGCTTTCTCTGTCATCTGTTTACTCTGGTCTACATGATGCTGTTTGATAATTATGGTTCTCTAATATGGAGAGATATTTGTGCCATCGGTTTGAGCGCGCAGGAACCAATCCGAGCGTGCAGTGAGACAACACGCGCGCGCGCAAAACCGGTCTGGCGCGCGCTCAACTCTGAAAAACCCTCTCAACACACTGTTCTCGCGCTCAGTTTCATCTCTGCGCGTGCTCGAATCCGTCTCTGCTCACGCTCGCTCGACCTGCTCTCTCTCCGCGCTCAACACCAGCTGTGCGCTCGGCTGTTTCTCCGCTCGCTCGACTCTCTGCGCTCGCAACTTCAGCAATGTATGTAAATGAACCATACCATCAGCCAATCACACCCAGCTTCTTTTCATCCAATGAAAGCATTCCTTCCTTCTTCTTCTTTTCTATCATGGCGGATCGCAAGCAACTTTAAGGTGCATACCGCCACCTACTGTTCATGAGTGTGTAGCAACATTGTTTTACAGCTATTAAATTCTATTTTTTTATTTTGCATTCTGAAGATAACTAAATAATGCTTTCCTTAATCTATAAACATCCTTTATATTTCCTTTATTTCCCAATAATCCTTTAAGACTCCATTCTTGGCCTGTCATTTCAACTACTCTTCTCAATTTTTCCCTTTCAGGTTCATATGTTTTACAGTTCATTAATATGTAAGCATTCGTTCCAAATACTACATCCGGTTAGATGAAAAAAAATACATAAATAAATAAAAACACAATCAGGAAAATCAAACAACTCTTACAGTTATTTTGTCAACATTCCTAAGATAGTACTATAAAATATCTTGAATTATCTCAAATAAACTTCAGTAAAACAGTTATTAGATCATTGCCTCATCCATCTCTTTTACCTGCTATTGACATGGATTTAAATTTGCTGTTTTAAAAGAAAAATAAGGAGGATATTTCAGGTTCAAGTATGGTTCAACAATATATAGATAAAAAATATTATGGATATGCTAAATTTTTTATGGATGCTTCAAAATATTCCAATATTAGGAATGGTGTTTTGTTTTAGTTTCATAATTTATTTTTAAATCGGGTAAAAGAATCAGTGATGGAATTCAGCCTACAAAGGAGAAATGTTTTGGATCATATTGGCCTTACAATGGATTGAAGAAATCGTTCCATTAAGAAGTTTAGTTTGCTCTGATTTTAGATCAGCGACTGTTATATTAATTTAAACGCAATTATTCAGACAGCAGACCTGATCTGAAATTGAACAATTATTATTTAGAAGACCTTTTACAGATGGACTCTAAATAAGAGGTTATTCTTTATTATATATATTAAAAAGAATAATTTGATAAACAGGATTTTTCAGTTGGTGGCGGTAATTGTTGTTTGCCAACCTCCATAAAAAACAACAAAAAGAAGAAACACCCGCCACAAAAGCTAAGAGTAAGGCCAATATGATCCAAAACATTATCTATATACTGTTGAACCATACTTGAACCTGAAATATCCTCCTTATTTTTCTTTTAAAACAGCAAATTTAAATCCATGTCAATAGCAGGTAAAAGAGATGGATGAGGCAATGATCTAATAACTGTTTAACTGAAGTTTATTTGAGATAATTCAAGATATTTTATAGTACTATCTTAGGAATGTTGACAAAATAACTGTAAGAGTAGTTTGATTTTCCTGATTGTGTTTTTATTTATTTATGTATTTTTTTTCATCTAACCGGATGTAGTATTTGGAACAAATGCTTACATATTAATGAACTGTAAAACATATGAACCTGAAAGGGAAAAATTGAGAAGAGTAGTTGAAATGACAGGCCAAGAATGGAGTCTTAAAGGATTATTGGGAAATAAAGGAAATATAAAGGATGTTTATAGATTAAGGAAAGCATTATTTAGTTATCTTCAGAATGCAAAATTAAAAAATAGAATTTAATAGATGTAAAACAATGTTGCTACACACTCATGAACAGTAGGTGGCGGTATACACCTTGAAGTTGCTTGCGAACCGCCATGATAGAAAAGAAGAAGAAGGAAGGAATGCTTTCATTGGATGAAAAGAAGCTGAGTGTGATTGGCTGATGGTATGGTTCATTTACATACATTGCTGAAGTTGCGAGCGCAGAGAGTCGAGCGAGCGGAGAAACAGCCGAGCGCACAGCTGGTGTTGAGCGCGGAGAGAGAGCAGGAGAGCAAGCGTGAGCAGAGACAGATTCGAGCACGCGCAGAGATGAAACTGAGCGCGAGAACAGTGTGTTGAGAGGGTTTTTCAGAGTTGAGCGCGCGCCAGACCGGTTTTGCGCGCGCGCGTGTTGTCTCACTGCGCGCTCGGATTGGTTCCTGCGCGCTCAAACCGATGGCACAAATATCTCTCCATACTCTAAAAACTCGTCTGAGGCTTTCCAAGAGCTTCAGTTTTTTTTTAGGGTATCACAGGAAATGAGGCTCAGCCGCATGTCAACAAAGTTTAGATTTTTCTTTTGGAAAATTGATTTAAGGCCACCAATCATTTTCTTCCTAACAAAGAGTTGCTTCCCTTGAAGTTTGAGTTTGTAATGTATGCAATGTACCTCTCAGAGCGATTGCCCATTGAGCTACACACTGATAAATTAAAGGAATAGTACACCCAAAACATGATTAGCCTTCATTTTCTACTCACCCCCATGCTGAACAACACTCTGGAGTACTTTTTTGATATCTCAAATGCATCTGGAGATCTGGGAGGCTTCTTGCTGTCTGCTGACATTCAAATAATGGAGGTCTATGGCGCCCGAGACAGAAAGGTCCATAAAAGTCCACAAAAAATGTGTCAATATTCCTCCATACTGCTCGTCCAATGTATTCCAAGTGTCCTGAGTGGGTAGCATCCAGAATTTACTCAAAACAAAGTCATTATGAATGTTTTTAGAGCCTAAACAGTAGTGTATAGGATTTCCTAAAAGCGCGTTCATGAGTCTACGGAAACCGCGGCAGACCAAACCAGATGAAAGTGCGCATTCAGCTCGGCAAAGAACTCATGCTCTTCCTCAACACTGTCTCCTTGAACCCCAGTGGGCCTCAGCAGATGGCCGCTCACACTGAGCCTGGTTCTGCTGGAGGTTTCTTCCTGTTCAAAGGGAGTTTTTCCTCTCCACTGTCGCTACAAGCATGCTTAGTGTGAGGGATTGCTGAAGAGTCTATGAGTCGATGCAATCAGCTGGTTTTCCTTAGATAGAAAACTTTGAATCAATCTGACTGGATGATCTGGTGAACTGGAAAGTGCCTTGAGATGACATGTGTTGTGAATTTGGCGCTATATAAATAAACTGAATTGAATTGAAGTCCTCAGACATTTTTCTTTCGTTGTTTCTTTCTTTGCACAGGTAAACAGCACATTTCTTCTTCTACGCCGGCATTATTGGCAGAGCAGACGCTGAATGCGCACTTTCATCTGGTTTGGTCTGCCGCGGTTTCCGTAGACTCGTGAACGCGCTTTCAGGAAATCCTATACACTACTGTTTATGCTCTAAAAACATTCTAAATGACTTCGTTTCGAGTAAATTCTGGATGCTACCAACTCAGGACACTTGGAATACATTGGACGAGCAGTATGGAGGAATATTGACACGTTTTTTGTGGACTTTTATGGACCTTTCTGCCTCGGGCGCCATAGACCTCCATTATTTGAATGTCAGCAGACAGCAAGAAGCCTCCCAGATCTCCAGATGCATTTTAGATATCAAAAAAGTACTCCAGAGTGTTGTTCAGCATGGGGGGGAGTAGAAAATGAAGGCTAATCATGTTTTGGGTGTACTATTCCTTTAATACCTAGCATACAAAAAAAGTTAAAAATACAATCCACTGGACTTTTTCCCCAAGTTTGAAGATGTTTCGCTTCCCATCCAGGAAGTTTTTTCCATTCAAAATGTCAGAAATAGCGCTGAGTTTGAGGCTTTATAGAGTGGACCAAAAAAAAAGCCTTGTTTTGGTTTAGAAAACATGCAAATTGAAACAAACGAATGGGTCCGTCCCTTAGGAATGGGGGTCGTTTGAGTTCTTAGCCTGCAATGCCTGATACACTGCAAAAATGATCTAGAGATAAGAGAAAATGCCTTAAATTAAATGAATTTACTCTTGATTTGAGCAGGAAAATAAGATAGTTTGCCAATGGAATGAGTATTTTTACTCTTAGAATAAGTTAATTAGATAATATGCACTTCAAATAAGACAACGCAGTTCTTTTTTCTTATCTTAAGTGTAAATTGTCTCGTTTCATTGGCAAAACGTCTCACTTACCTTCTCAATTCAAGAAAAAAATGCACTTATTTTAGTAAAAAATGACTTAATGAGATTAACATTTTTTTGCAGTGTACTGGTCTCACTGGAAAAAAAAATTTCTTAAGTTATGTGTATTTACCCTTAATTTGAGCTGGTAAATGAGATACTTTTCCAATGGGATGAGTATTTTCACTCTTAAAATAAGATAATAAAAATATATATGCACTTGAAATAAGACAATGCAATTGTTTTTTTTTTTACTTATTTAAATGTAAATTGTCACTTTCCTCCTCAATTCAATAAAAAATGACTTGTTTAGATTAAAATTTTTTGGAGTGCTATGTCTCTGAAAGTGGGTTTGTTAGAGGGAATTGTTGGCCTGGCTGAACAGGCGAGGTGTTTTGGTCCCCTCTACCTACCCAGCATACTTATGTTTGCCTAAGAAATGTGTTTTGCTGGAAGAAAAGTTGTTAGTGCAGAATTTGCTCACCTCTCCTCTACCTGCAGTCTCTCCTCCAGCTCCTGGATTCGGCTGTTAAGTTTGGAGACGAGGGAATCCTGGTTTGTTCTCTGGGATCCTTCCAGATGAGTCACTCGGCTCTTTAGATCTTTATTCTGAAAATAACGACAATACAATAATTAGGGTCTTTCCTTATTAACCCTTTAAAGCCCAATCCAAGAATAAAACAAAACAGAAAATTCCATTTTTTTTGGTTTGAAGTCCTTATTTGCCATTTTAGCAAAATATGTAAAAAGGATAAACAGAAATACATTTTTGATATTAATAATTTATTACTATGTGATAAGTCAAGATTATTTTTTGTGTAGTCTTCTACTGGCTGTTATCAGGTATATCTGATTGTGTACAATAGGATTTTGAGCAAAGTTTTTACCATTAAATTATGCAAAAGGTGTCAGATGCAAAACATTTCAGAATCCGTATGTATCAAATATGATACATTTGGCATTATAGGGTTAAGAGGGAAGAACGAAAGACAACCTGCATTATTTCAAGAATCAGTTATGATTATTATAGTTTTTTTTTATTAATTAAACATCAACTGTAATTTTGAGTTTGTAAACCAAGAGTTTAAAAAAAAACCTCTTGGTTTACATAAATGAATATTGTTTCAATCTTATTACATCATTATTATAACCAGTGCAGCTTCCCAATGCTAAGATAAATTCTACATGATCAGAGGATTCTATCGTCTGATGTTATAGACACACTAACTTGAATCCACCGTTTAGTAATTGTAAACTTGTCCTGAAATGCTCTGTGAACTTTACTAAAATCAGGGCTGGAATAGTAATTTCCTCTTAAGCCGAGAACCTGGTTTAACATGCCTGACGTCCAGCGTGTGACACCTGGCATAGACAAAGGCCTGACATTCTCCAGTATTTATTTTTAGATTGGAGCATCATGTGTGTTAGAACCTACTTGATGTTCTCAGTGTCATGGTCTTGGTTCTGTTGTTCTTTACTTTGCTCTTTGTTTTCTAGTTTTATTGGTTTAATTCCAGTTTTGTTGTAATTTCTAGATTTATGTTCTCATGTTTTTCTGTTGTCCTCTTGTGTGTTTTCCTTCCCCCTTGGCTCCCTCGTTGTCTCCTCTCACACCTGCTCCCTGTCAGCTCGTTAGCCCTGCCTTTGTCTCTGTCAGCTATAGATGCTCTCCCTCTGCTCTCACTCTTTGTTGGTTCCTCTGTTGTTGCTGGTCCTGTCGTCGCCGTTGTCCTCTCACCTTTTTGTGCGCGTTTCCCTTGATGTCTCCGTGATTCTGGTCTGTGTTACATTTTAAGTTGTATTTTTGGATTTTGCCCACCAAGAAATCACCTCTGCCTCTGCATTTGGGTCCTCTAAACCACAACCAAGACGTGACACTCAGCAGGTTAATATCAAACTGATTTCCAGACTGTGCAGGTCTGTTATTTATCAGATCTGGAAGTGACTGGGGAAAATACTGGGACTTGATTAACTAAAGTTGATTTATTATTTAGATATACACTCGGCCACTTTATTAGGTACACCTGTCCAACTGCTCGTTAACACTTAATTTCTAAGCAGCCAATCACATGGCGGCAACTCAGTGCATTTAGGCATGTAGACATGGTCAAGACAATCTCCTGCAGTTCAAAGCGAGCATCAGTATGGGGAAGAAAGGTGATTTGAGTGACTTTGAACGTGGCATGATTGTTGGTGCCAGAAGGGCTGGTCTGAGTATTTCAGAAACTGCTGATCTACTGGGATTTTCACGCACAACCATCTCTAGGGTTTACAGAGAATGGTCCGAAAAAGAAAAAACATCCAGTGAGCGGCAGTTCTGTGGGCGGAAATGCCTTGTTGATGCCAGAGGTCAGAGGACAATGGCCAGACTGGTTGGAGCTGATAGAAGGGCAACAGTGACTCAAATAACCACCCGTTACAACCAAGGTGGGCAGAAGAGCATCTCTGAACGCACAGTACGTCGAACTTTGAGGCAGATGGGCTACAGCAGCAGAAGACCACATCGGGTGCCACTCCTTTCAGCTAAGAACAGGAAACTGAGGCTACAATTTGCACAAGCTCATGGAAATTGGACAATAGAAGATTGGAAAAACGTTGCCTGGTCTGATGAGTCTCGATTTCTGCTGCGACATTCGGATGGTAGGGTCAGAATTTGGCGTCTACAACATGAAAGCATGGATCCATCCTGCCTTGTATCAACGGTTCAGGCTGGTGGTGGTGGTGTCATGGTGTGGGGAATATTTTCTTGGCACTCTTTGGGCCCCTTGGTACCAATTGAGCATCGTTGCAACGCCACAGCCTACCTGAGTAGTGTTGCTGACCATGTCCATCCCTTTATGACCACAATGTACCCAACTTCTGATGGCTACTTTCAGCAGGATAATGCGCCATGTCATAAAGCTGGAATCATCTCAGACTGGTTTCTTGAACATGACAATGAGTTCACTGTACTCAAATGGCCTCCACAGTCACCAGATCTCAATCCAATAGAGCATCTTTGGGATGTGGTGGAACGGGAGATTCGCATCATGGATGTGCAGCCGACAAATCTGCGGCAACTGTGTGACGCCATCATGTCAATATGGACCAAACTCCCTGAGGAATGCTTCCAGCACCTTGTTGAATCTATGCCACCAAGAATTGAGGCAGTTCTGAAGGCAAAAGGGGGTCCAACCCGTTACTAGCATGGGGTACCTAATAAAGTGGCCGGTGAGTGTATGTTATCCTGCTCTGATTGTGTGTTTAAAGCATTTTTGTCACTCGTTAGGTTGATTTTTACTGACTTTATCTATTAAAGTAGGAAATCGTTGCTCCAACCGCGCGACCTAAAGATAACTTAACAGCAAATTTGCAAAAGAAACTAAGTAACCAGCAAGTCATTATTATATTTTTTTTTTCTTCAAAACTTTAGATGCAAACCAAAGTATTGCTGTCCGTTTCAAGGAGCAGAACATATAGAAAAAAGGATACGGAAGCCTAGATGTTGCTCATTTGTAGCCGCTATCTATCGATCTATTGCTATGTGGAGACCCCTTTAGACTATATCTATTGTAGTGAAAGATTTAAGAAGCTTTTAGTTACTGTTACGCGCCAAAATCTTGTGGGTTTTTTTTTTTTTTTGTGGTTTAATAACAATAGTAAATGTGTTGTGTTGATAGTAAATTATTTTATGGAAAATAAATATGACTGTTTCCTGCCAAGTCTAGAAAAAACTAAATACGGTTTCCCTCTGAAAAAAATTTAGTCCTTCAAACTTTTGGACTAATTGTCTGGTTCTGTTTAAATGTATACTTTGCAACCGGTGTTGATTTTCCAGCGAGGCTCCCCCCAGAGGGCGAAAGTAAAAGTGCACTGTCGTAAATATGCACAGCTGTTCTCCTGGTTTCTCCGTCAAGCCAGGCGCGGTTGTTTTGAGCTTAGCAGACAGGCGAACGCAACGATTGACTAACGCTACGTTCACACCGCAGCTGGCGCGACAGAAGCAGCGAGTTTACATGCAAAGTCAATGGTTGACGCGCGTCAAGTCGCAGCAAAGGAGCAGCAGGCCCAGCGCGTCTGAGCAGCTGAAGCAGGGAGAGAGACACAGCGCTGATGATCAGAGGCTATGATCACTCCTCTTAAACAGTTTATTGACGCCTAAATTAACTTAAAATGCAGAAATCTGCCGGCAGAATATGCAGTTTAGATTATTTAGATGAAAAACACCTACCAGCCGCCGCGGTGAACTGCGAGGAGGCGACCCGGCCAGAGGCTGCTGATGAAGGAATCCCTTCTGTCGGCGCACCGCTGGTATGTGGGGGTCTGAGCGGCTCCGACAGAAAAAATATTGAAGGCAGGATAATAATCTGAATGAACTGACGGCACTGATTACGTTTTCAGGTGTATTTTCTCATTTAAACACATATTAAAACTACTTTATTCCAAATGATCACAGCAAATATAGCTGCAAGGCAGAGAAAGGATAGTGAAGCTCCGCCCAATGCGCGTCAGACACACTTTTGCACCGCGCAGCCAGAGCAGCAAAGCTGCTTCAGCCGCGCGTCAGAACTAACTGGTACAAGCAGCAAAAATGAAGCAGCAGACACGATTTTGCTGCTTTTGCTGCGGGAACGTAGCATAACTGCACAAGGATTGCCACTGTGCTAGCAACGAGAATGCTTTTAACTGGGGGGTGTAGCAGTTCTCGCCGTAAAGCAAGACTGACTCTCACGAGACTTCTGAGCCTGTGGGTGCGGGTCGGTGCTCCTGCAATTGCAAGTGCGGTATTTCCCCCACAGACCACCAGGGCGGCCGAGAATACCTTTGTTCAACCTGAAATGACTCATTTAATCATCCAAAACGATATGGAACACGTTAATTAACTGAAAAATGTTGCATAGTGTGCCTTTAAGTTTTCTTTTTGAGTTTTTAGTTTCACTTTGATCCTTTTTTCTTGTTTTCTAGTTTTATTGGTTTAATTCCTGTTTTGTGGTGTTTTCTGGATGTTTTTGAGTTCTTAGGTATTACTTGTCTGCCCTCTTGTACTGATTTTCTTTTCCCTTGCTCTTTTCTAGACTCTTCTGTTCACATCTGCTGTAATGATCTTGGTTCTGTTGGTTTTTCTCTAAGTTTTCAGTTTCAAGTTCATCCAGGTTTTTCCTTGTCTTCTAGATTCATTTAAGTTTCTTAGGTTTTTCTTCGTCTGTCCTCTGTTGCCCCCTTGTGTTTTTCTGTCACGATTTGTTTGGAGGTTTTTGTGAGGACCCAAATGCAGAGGCTGACAGGCCCTGCCTGGGGTGAGTTCTTTAAATATTTAATTAAAGATCAGGCAGCAAAAACAAGAATCCAAAATATCCAACCTAAAAATAAAACACAAACCCGAACCATGGAGACATCAGGAGAAAACCATCAAGGAGCCAGGGTGAGACAAAGTAAGACGAGGAACCAGCACAGAGGGAGTGTATTTATGTCTGACTGTACAAAGGAAGGACAAACGAGCTGATAAGGAGCAGATGTGACTAGAGCTGATGAGGAAGCCAAGGGAAAAGAAAACACAAGGGGGCAACAGAGGACAGACAAAGAAAAACCTAGGAAACTTAAATGAATCCAGACACACCAATAAAGCTAGAAAACAAGGAAAAACCTGGATGAACTTGAAACTGAAAACTTAGAGAAAAACCAACAGAACCAAGATCATTACATCTGCTTCCAATCTGCTGATTAGCCTGCTCTTTGTTTCTCTCTCCCATCTATGCACCTCCTGCTCAGTCACTGTTGCTGGTTTGTTGTTATTTCATCTCCTTCAGGCGATTTTTCCTGTTTTTTTTCTCTATTTTTTGTGGATTTATGGTTTTTGGATTTTTGCTTCTGTTACCTTTTTGTTATTAAATCTTTAAGTAACCACCTTAAGCTTCAGTGTCTGCATTGTGATATAACTTTTGGGTTAAAGTAATTTAGCGATTAAACAATAAAAAATGGAAGTTTTTACAGGCAACTGATCAAACGCACCTATACTGACTTAAATTATGGTCCCTCTAAAATCTAATTCAGCTTTAGGCCACATATTACAGTACTTTTAAACAGCACGGCTAAAGCTACAGCTAAAGGAAAGAGAGTTCAGATTAACCATCCCTCCTCCAAACCCCTCCCACAGGAAATAATGTCTTCCTGCCCTGACGTCATCGCCAACACAAAATGAAGTTATGGCTGATGCACAATTGGTTAACCCCAATGTAGCAGACTGGTGAAACCAAAGCTATGGTTTCAGTTTTAAACTAAAGGCTGGGAATGCTGACTGGTGTTTAAAGGAGAAGTCTGCTCACACTCAGAATCCCCCCCACCCTGTATTTTTTTTTACTTTAATGGTCATATTGTTTTTTTCCAAGGAGTTCTTACCCTACTTTAAGTTACACTCTGCATAAAGTCACTGCACGCAGAATGGTTAAGCATTTAATTTGAAGTTCTAAATAAATTTTCCACTGTGTGGCGGCTTGGCTGATTACTTGTCTCTCCAGGCTCATCTTGTCACACTCCACATCCTGCCTGGCTGCTCGTTCCTGCAACAGTTCGTTCCTCATCTGATCCATCTGTCACAAACAAACAAAAAGAAACATTACTTTAAGCTTTCGGATGCAGAGCCCTGCTAACCTGACTCCGCCAGATGGATTTGCTCCGCATATCCATCTGGAAACCTTCCGTTGAAGTAATTTTGGGAAGGGGCGAAAATACTGGTTAGCTGATTGGCCTATGTTGGTGATAGACGGGCCAAATAAACCAATCAGATCAACGAAGCATATGACGTACTAAGAGAGCGAATATGAAGAGGAGCCAATTGATAGATCAAACTCTTGCCGAAACCAGTCGGGAGAAGAGCAAAAACATCTTTTCCTCTGAGAAAAGCCTCCAGAGCAGTGCTTTGCTCTTCTTTCAGTGAAGAAATACTCTGTAATTCCGATAAAACTTGCTCGATAGCCACGCTAACGCTAGTTTCATCGGCTGAAGCCGCCATGTTCTTTAGACTGAACTGTCGCGCTTCTCGTTGCGTCACACCTCAACCCGCCTCAAAGCCAACGCTGATTGGACGTTCGTTTGGTGAACGGCTCCAAATTTTCTTTAACGGAGAGTCTCCAGACTGATTAGCGAGTGAAACCTTGAAAGCTCGCGAGATCAGGATGGTCTCACCAGGCTAGAGCCCTGCATCATACCCCTTTACGTTTGGGTCAATCCTACACTTGAATTTGCTTTAGCACAGCTGTGTGAACCTCTTGTCTCCATCAGCCTCCAACAGGTATTCCCACAGCATAATGCTGCTACCACTGCGCTCCAGCATAGGGATTGTTTCCATGGCGGGTGGTTTGAGGAGTCAGTCTTCATCTCACCACATAAAAATGTTTAATTGTGGTTTAAAGATCACTTCTGATAATTCAAAATTCTGGTTCTGACAGACTTGAAACTGACTCTATTTGACACAGTGGGGTCAGAGAAAAGACGGCTGACTAGACATACATGTCACCATTTAAAATTAAATAGTGTGGTGTGGAGGCTGCAGCTTCTCAGACTGGAAGAAGGTGAGAACAGCAGAGAGGCTCATGGGGGCTCCTCTTCCCTCCATTAAAGACATTTCATCCCAGCGCTGCGGGTCCCGAGCCCGTGACATCATCAATGACCCCCCACCCCCCTCACCATGGACTGTTCTCTCTGGGAAGAGGCTTCACAGCATTCAATGCAGGACCAGCAGGTTCTGCAGCAGCTTCTTCCCCACCGCCATCACACTGATGAATGTTGAAAAAAACCTCTAAATCAAGTCCCAAATGGAGACTCTGCATCACACTGATAAAATCCAACCAAATAGAACTCAACAATATTTTCTACTTCCTTTTGAACTATATATATTTGTTTTTCTTTTTGCACTTCTCTAAACTTCCACATCAATTCCTTTTGCACCACACATCAATTCCTTTTTTCCTCCACAGTGTTTACATTCAATGAGGAGGGCTGGTGTCTATCTCCAGCTGATTAAGGGTGAGAGTTGGGGTCCATCCTGGACAGGTCCCCAGTCCATCGCAGGGAAACACTGAGACAAACAGGACAAACCAAACCATTCATGCTCTTTATGTTCCTAACAGAGCACTTCACTCTCAATCTGCAGGTTTACTAATGGTTCCTAGAATTTCTAAAAGTAGAATGGGAGGCAGATCTTTTAGTTCTCAGGCTCCTCTCCTGTGGAACCAACTACCAGTTTTAGTCCGTGAGGCAGACACCCTGTCTACTTTTAAGGCTAGGCTTAAAACTTTCCTTTTTGATAAAGCTTCTAGTTAGAGTGGCTCAGGTTATCCTGAGCTATCTCTATAGTTCTGCTGCTATAGGCTTAGACTGCTGGAGGACATAGGGACCCCTTTTTCATCATTCTGCTTCATTCTATCTCTATTCTCCCACTCTGCAGAATCTGTTAGTTCAATCTCTAACGTTCTGCTCTCTCTGCTTTTTCTCATAGTAGCTTCATCTGGTCTGTTCCTGTTTGGCTGTGACTCCATCCTGGAGAGAAATATCTGCTGTGCTGCTGCCATCAATAATCTTTGTTTGTAGATGTTTGAGATCGTCCTGTTTTTAAGTGTAGTTCTGTTTCTCTGACTGTGACTAACTGGATGTGCTCTCTTCATCCTCTGACATGGGAGCTGGCTCGGAGCTCGTCTGCCTGGCTGTGTGTTTCCTGGACGGGGCCGCCTGTGGAGCTGGTTGACAGTTGCCTTTTGTATCTATGCTTCTTTTTCTATGTCTGCTTCTGTCTCCTTGAACCCCAGTGGGCCTCAGCAGATGGCCGCTCACACTGAGCCTGGTTCTGCTGGAGGTTTCTTCCTGTTCAAAGGGAGTTTTTCCTCTCCACTGTCGCTACAAGCATGCTTAGTGTGAGGGATTGCTGAAGAGTCAATGAGTCGATGCAATCAACTGGTTTTCCTTAGATAGAAAACTTTGAATCAATCTGACTGGATGATCTGGTGAACTGTAAAGTGCCTTGAGATGACATGTGGTGTGAATTTGGCAATATAGAAATACAATGAAAACTGAAAAAACTGAAAACCTAAGGAGAACGTAGAGAAGCTAATTAAATTAACAGTCATGTTTCCGGACTGTTGGAGGAAGCCAGAGTACCCGGAGAAAAACCCAAGCATGCTCAAGGAGAACATGCAAACTCCATGCAGAAAGACCCAAGGCCGGGAATTGAACCCAGAACCTTTTTTCTGCGCCACTGGACAGCCGTCTGAAAGCTGTGTAAAACTAAAGTTTGTTTTGTATACACTTTGTTTATAGAAAATGAGAATAACAGTTATCTAAGTCTAAGAAAAATATTTATCACATCATGTTCTTATATTTCCTTCAGATTCCCAATAAAATAATTGAAAAAAATCAGACAAAATAGTGCAACTATGATGATAAAATGTTTAGAATGTGTGGATAGTTTTGCACAGCGTAATACCAATTAAGGAGGCAAAGACTGATGACCGCAATCATTACTGAGAGAAAAACATGGCTGCATGTTATTAAAAGACAGGAGTCACCGTAGAAAAGTTATCTGGTTTCAGCAGGAGCATCAGACTCTCATCGCTGAATCCATCCAGAGGCCCAGTGAGGGGAGCGTGAATAGCTGCTCACACTAGTTAGCTGTTTTCTTGCTTTACTCGCCACCCAAAATAGAGTTTTGTCTCAATTAGTTTGCAGCACTTTGTTCCAAAAACAGCATGGCCTACTCTACAGACAGACCCAAGATGTGGATCTCTTCCAAAAAAAAAAAAAAAAACCCCATAAAGTTTGGATCAGGTCTGTCACAATGAGCTCCAACCAGGTCGGAGAAAACAGTCGCACCGCTCACACAAATCAGCAGTTCCCATTGTTTTAGGAGTGAAACCTGAGAGCTGCATCCGTTTCTAATGAAAACAGATGTGGGGCTGGAACTTTAAACGGCACACAGGCAAAAATCACAACACTTAAAGTAAATGTCGAAGTTTATGAACATGTTTACTGTGTTTTAATAAAATGCAGTAAAGGAAAAACCTGCCTGTTCTTTGGTTTTGTCTAAACGCTCCATCAGGCGATCAGAACTGCTGCGCTCATCGTTAAGGTCTTCCTCTAGCCGCCTGATTCGCTCCTAAAGGAGACAAACATCATAAAAAGGGTTTTAATGGACAATCCTTTCACATTAAGGCGATGAGCATGGATAAAAGCACGCAGGACCTTGGTACTGAAACATAAGAGGTCATTTCAAGGAGCAGTATTTAAATATTTCACCATTTTTAGACTTTTTTTTTTCTCTCTCAGAGCTTTGAGTGTTTGAGGAAGGAGAGCGGCTGTGGGAAGAAGGAGGATCTCTGAAAACACCCGGAGCAGGTCGGATAACTTTTCACAGTAAACATGAACCTCTTCAGTTGATCAACAGCAGTGTCAACCCTCAGCAAACTCACGTGAAATGTTTTGTCATCAGCAGAACAAACAGTAAATGACGCCGTTTTCCACCCGGCAGAAACAATCTAAAAAAAATGGAGTACAGGACTCTTATCATGAGTAGATTTACCCTTAATTTGATTAAATAAGGTGATCTGCCAATGGAAGGAGCATTTTTATTCTTAAACATAGATAATAACACTTGAAATAAAAGACTACACTAAAAAATATAACTCCAGAAAAGTAATTTTTCTTAAAATAAGTGCGTTTGTTCTTGGATTGAGGAGATAAAAGAGACATTTTGCCAATGGAACGAGACAATTTACACTTAAAATGAGAAAAAACGGAACTCCCTCAAAAATTGTATCAAAGTTGTATAATAATAAAGTTATATAATAAAGTTAAAGTATAAATAATATAATATAATAAAGTTAAATAATAAAGTTGTATAATAAAAAAAAGTGGGAACGAGAATTCAACATTACATTAACTGGGAGTGAGTGGTCCTCCATGTGGAAAACATCTTCAACCAGCTCAAGAAGATGGCGAGAATGTGGATGGAAAAATCTCATTCGTTTTTTTATCAGGCGCGGGGGGCGCGCGCATCCCCCCTTTGGTATATGGCAAGCCAATTGGACCAATAATCGTCCGTACAATAACGCGCAGTTCCAACCCGTATTTTACGCGAGGGCGCGTTTTTTACGTCACCGCATTCTGGCTGGAAATTCTAAAGATAACAAATATGAAGTTCTACCCAAACATTTATATGATTCTTCACTTTCTGTCAGTCATACCTGTTACCAGTGCTTCTGTGGAAAGTGCTAACTCGGGTCTTAAGGCAGTGAAAACTTTGCTGAGGTCAACATTGAGACAGGAAAGGTTTGTGGCTTTGCTACTTTTGTATTTGCACAAGGACATTCAGTTAGACATCAACAAAATCATAGACATATTTGCCTGGAAGCATCCCAGAAGGTTGACATTTGTTAACCCATTATCATCATCATAAAGTTTGTAGTAGAGAACAATATTCTTTGTTTGGTTTAACTTTTTTTTTTTTTTTCAACAGTTTATCTTGTTAAAATATATTCAAAACTCCTTTGTCTTACTTGAACCATACTTGAACCCAAGTCCTTTTTTTTTTTTTTTTTCATGTTCTGTGTAAATATCATTTCTGGAAATAAAGAAACTCCTTGTTTGATTAATTGTTGATAAGATCATTTTTTTGTTCAAACTACCTTTTAACCTTGTGCATGCTTTAAAAACTGAGAGATCCTTTTTTAATTACAATAATGTAATCATGCTAATTCTACTTATGTTCATCCATTAAAATTATCAATTAAAAACCCTTGGATGAATAATTAGGGTAGTGTGAAAGAGTGAAGATGGTATTCTTTGGTCTTTTAGCCTCACATTGTCTTGACCTGTGACCCGTGACCCCATGACCCTTAGGTGCGCACCCCCCTTTGAAAAATCCTGGATCCGCCCCTGTTTATAACCCCACATATAAAATCTAAACAACTTAGTCAGAAGTGTTGGAGAGGGTGTGGACATGTAGATCCCAATCACTCCCATATCTTTTGGTCATGCATTAAACTGCAGTTATTCTGGAACAGCGTCATTCAGACAGTAGAGGAAATGTTATGCTTATCTATACCCCGAGATCCGAGCTTTGTATACCTAGGACTTATGTCGTATGAAGTCATTGGAAAAAAAGACATTTACCTCAGCAAAATATGACTGATTGCTGCCAAAAAGGCATTGACAAGGAATTGGTTGGAAAGTGACCCACCTGGGCGTGGACAATGGCTGAATATTGTAGACGAACTATACGCCATGGAAAAATTGACTTTTCGTCTGAGACTTAAAGGAATAGTACACCCAAAACATGATTAGCCTTCATTTTCTACTCACCCCCATGCTGAACAACACTCTGGAGTACTTTTTTGATATCTCAAATGCATCTGGAGATCTGGGAGGCTTCTTGCTGTCTGCTGACATTCAAATAATGGAGGTCCATGGCGCCCGAGGCAGAAAGGTCCATAAAAGTCCACAAAAACGTGTCAATATTCCTCCATACTGCTCGTCCAATGTATTCCAAGTGTCCTGAGTGGGTAGCGTCCATAATTTACTGGAAACGAAGTCATTTAGAATGTTTTTAGAGCCTAAACAGTAGTGTATAGGATTTCCTGAAAGCGCGTTCATGAGTCTACGGAAACCGCGGCAGACCAAACCAGATGAAAGTGTGCATTCAGCGTCTGCTCTGCCGATAATGCAAGCGTAGAAGAAGAAATGTGCTGTTTACCTGTGCAAAGAAAAAAACAACGAAAGAAAAATGTCTGAGGAAATCAGTGTTGAGGAAGAGCATGAGTTCTTTGCTGAGCTGAATGCGCACTTTCGTCTGGTTTGGTCTGCCGCGGTTTCCGTAGACTCGTGAACGCGCTTTCAGGAAATCCTATACACTACTTTTATGCTCTAAAAACATTCTAAATGACTTAGTATCCAGTAAATTATGGACACTACCCACTCAGGACACTTGGAATACATTGGACGAGCAGTATGGAGGAATATTGACACGTTTTTTGTGGACTTTTATGGACCTTTCTGTCTCGGGCGCCATAGACCTCCATTACTTGAATGTCAGCAGACAGCAAGAAGCCTCCCAGATCTCCAGATGCATTTGAGATATCAAAAAAGTACTCCAGAGTGTTGTTCAGCATGGGGGTGAGTAGAAAATGAAGGCTAATCATGTTTTGGGTGTACTATTCCTTTAAAGAAGGAGACTTTGAGAAAAAATGGCAGAAGTCTATGTTCAAGGTCAAAACCCAACCATAAGAAAAAAAAAAAAAAAGAAACTTTGGAAAATATGGTAATGTACGCGCCCCCCAGCTTGTTCTTTGTTTTTTCTTCTTGTAAAAGACAAAATAAAGAGTTAAAAAAAAAGAGAAAAAACGATTGCATTGTCTTTTTTCAAGTGCACATTATCTAATTGTCTTATTTTAAGAGTAAAACTACTCATTCCATTGGAAAACTATCTCATTTTCCTACTCAAATTAAGGGTAAATACACTTATTTTAAGAAATTTTTACTTATTTCTAGATCATTTTTCCAGTGTACGGTTGATTTTCTTATTTTAAATGTAAATAGACTTATTCCATTGGCAAAGTGTCTCTTTTACTTCCTCAATTAAAGAAAACATGCACTTATTTTAAGCAAAAATTACTAACATCGACTTTGAAATTTTTGCAGTGCTGATGTTTTTTTTTTTAAAGAAATACGGGGGGGTTGATAAACTTTGTAAAACTACATTAATGAGTGTTTGGATTTTTATTTTGCTTACAGTAAAAAATTACAATAAATAAAAGGCGAACATTTTCTCTGACTTGGTTTTCATTGTTTTTCAGAGGGCAGGGAATCAGTGTGCAGGTGCCGTGTGGGATTAACTGTTCTTAAGGCCATTCAAATTAAATCATAGATGTTCAGAAATGTTTTGTAAATATAAAACAGATGGAAAATATACTGTTATTTCTACATATTTATTAAATAATTGTGCAGAAGATGCAATAATAAAACTGTAAAGCAATGCACTGTGTTTAAACTATAACCTCATTTAACACTTTTTAAATAAATAATCTGTGTTTTCTTGTTTTGTTTTTGTTGACATATTTTTGGGCACGTTTCTGTCGTTTTTTTTCCACCATAACATTCTTCATTCTACCTCCATGAGTTTAAGCTGCCGCTCCCTCTCCTCCAGCACAGCTGCATTTTTCTCCTCCAGCTCCTCCACCCGCTGCTCCAGCTGCCGGCCTCTCAGCTGGGCCTCCTGCTGCTCCCTGCGGCACCGTCGTAGATCCTCCTCCAGAGGAAGCAGCTGCTTGGAGAACAGACCGGTGGTCAACACACAAGTTAAAGAAAAGCAGTTATCTGTTTGTCTCAGGGTTTTTTTTTTCCTAATCAAAACCAGAAACATGATAGCTTGAATCTCCCCCTGCCTGTGACTCAGCATACTGCTGACACAGACATTTTTCCTGGATCCTGGACAATGAGTGCCACACCTCTTCCTGCAGTTTTTTGGCTGCCTGTCTAGATTTCTCCAGCTCTGCTCCCTTTTCCTGTAACTGCCGGCGCAGCTCAGTCAGCTCCCTCTGACTCCTCTCTCTGGCCTCGTCCACCTGGTTCTGAAGCACATCTGTTGACGCCTCGCACTCCTCCATGATGGTGTTCATCTAAACAGGCAGATAAGAACACAGCTCTGATAAATCTTTCAATATTTGGACACGGGGGATTAAAAGACAACCATAAGCGCATCGCTCATTTCCGCTGCATACTTATAAATGTTGAAATCAAAAACTTCCACACAATATACAGGAAATGTTTGGTGACAAAGAGGGGGGTTATGATCTAAGAGGTGAAGGATACTTTAAAAAACAACACTTTAGAACAACCAGGAAGAGTTTTTTGTTTATCTGTGTGTGGAGTAAATGTCTGGAATGGATTGAATGACGAGTTTAAAAAAATTATAAATGCAAACCAATTTAAAAAACTGATTAAAACCGAGCTCATTTCAAAATACGCTATATAAGATGCCTGTTTAATAGTCTATAATGTAATTGATGACATAAATAGTACTTAAAATAATTGTACATGGCTAAACATCACTTGGAATGGAAACAAGTGTTTTTTTTTTGTTTTTTGATGTTTTGATAGTTAATTGATGATAGATTGACAAGTAGGAAAGGGGCGGGACTTATAAGATGTATCTTCTACCTGCTCCTTTTCGAACAGAAAATATAAAATTTGCATGTCACATGGGCAAAATAATTTGTTTTATATTTTCCTTCTTAAGTTTGTTTCATTCAATTTTTTTTCTTTCTTGATTGTTTTTATTTATTTATTTATTCGTTTATTTGATAGGGACAAGTATGTTTCATGCATCATGTCACACACTACAACATTTTAGCTAAGGCTAATTCTCAATGTCTGTCCCCAGTTAGGCTTTACTGTCTGTTCGAAATAAAATAAATTTTAGAAAAAAAAAAAAGAAAAAAAATCCCATATCCCACAAAGATCCCCTCCTTCCCTCTCACCTTTCTCTGCAGTTGTTCCATAGACCTGTCCTGCATCCTCCTCTCGTCCTCCAGCTCTGCTTTGGTTTTCCACAGCTCTTCCACTTGTTTCCTCTCTTCTTTAAGCTTTTCCTTTAAGTCCTTGTGTTCGTGGTTTAGTTTAGTCAGCTTACTCTTAAAAGCAAAGATAAGTTTATGTTTATAGAATCGTTTTCATGTCTAGAAATTACTGATATAATAGCTGATATCCTGATATCCCTTTAACATATCTATATAGGTCAGGTATGTACTCATAATAAAAGAGTATTTCATGGGGATTTTATTTGACCGACTGAAACAGAGACAAGAAAAATAAAATATAAATTTTACTCAAATAAAAAGTTTTGATCTGTAAGTGCATTTTTATTTTAGCCCCCCAGATACAAAAAGCTGTTAAACAACCGCTGCTCCTGCTCAAGTGAGGAATCTCAACTGATCACATCACTTCTGTTTGAATGTCTTTGGTCCTCTGGCTCCAGCCTGCTCTGCATACCTAGAACCAGAACTAAACATGGAGAAGCAGCATTTAGTTCCTATGCTCCACTTATCTGGAACAAACTTCCAGAAAACTGTAAAAGTGCGGAAAGCCTGAGTTCCTTTAAATCAAGACTAAAAACACATTTGTTTAGGATCGCCTTCCACTGTTCTAGTTAAACAGTTCAACTAAAACATATTTTCTTTAATCCAACTGTTTTTTAATTATTTTTTTTTGTTTCTGCATTTTTTTTATATTTATTTATTTATTTATTTATTTATTTTTTTCCCTACTTGCTTTGATTCTGTTTTATCTTCCTGTATTTCAATCTAGTAAAGCACTTTGCATTGTCTTTGTACTGAATTGTGCTATACAAATAAATTTGCCTTGCCTTGCCTTGCCTTGCCTTGCAAGCTTTACAGTAAAGCCCATTTTGAAGCCCAACATATTCAAGCTCCTTCCTTTATCGCTGTTTGAGTCAAGTATCGTAAATCTCACAGTCCAAAGTAAAGGTGGATAGAGCATCCGTAAACTTTACTTAAGTACTTGGTAAAGGACGGTGAGTGGTGGCCTAGTGGTTAGGGCATAGAGCTCGGATCCCAGAGGTTCTGAGTTTTAGCCCCACTCCCAAAGACTCCCACTCTGGGTCCCTGAGCAAGAACCTTAACCCCATACTGCTCCCCGGGTGCCGCAGCCCTTTCAATATGGCAATGGCAGCCCACTGCTCCCCAAGGAGATGGGTTAAATGCAGAGAGTTAATTTCTGTGCTCTGTACCTGTGACAGTGTAATTATATTCTATTTTATCATCCATGCTGACATTGAAGGCGATAGCTTAAGAGCAGCCTTTGATGCTATCTTAGACGCTATTGGCTTTGTTCAAAATGTGAATAGTCCCACACATTCTCATCTTCATACTCTGGACCTCGTGCTGACATATGGCATTGAATGGGAAGAAATAACAGTATTTCCTCACTACCCTGCCATCTCTGACCAACTTCAGGATTACTTTAACAGAGTTCTCCTCACCAATAAAAGGTTCCACTTTTCACTCTGGCTCCCTGAGCAAAGACTAACCCCACACTGCTCCCCGGGCGCCACACAATGGCAGCCCACTCCTCCCAAAGAGGATAGGTTAAATGCAGAGAGTTCATTTCATTGCTCTGTACTTTTGCCAGTGTAATAAACATAAAGTTAAACTCTATTTTGTAAAAACGCTACTGATGTAGTAATGAGCAGCTATTGACATCTGTAATCAGAAAGTGAGTTATGTGCATATTCTGGTATTTCAAATGATAAAACTAAATAAAAAAAATAAAAATACCTTACATGATTGATACATGAAAAAAAAAATGTTAACACAAACTTATAAAAATATTCTTTACAGTAGGTGATAGATATTATGCTACGAAATGATAAAGAACTTCCAGCTGCGATATCTACTGTTTTCTATATATTTGCCAATAGATTAAAAACTGAAAAACTCTCTGTCTTCTGAATCCTCTCTCAGCTTAAAATCCTCTCATTCATACTTTTCCTTACTGTTTATTAAATGTTCATATATTTTCATTGTTTATATTGTTTTTATATTCATGCTTTATGTCAGTCATGCTTTCATCTTTTATTCTTTATGAAGCAAATTTTTATTTTTAACTGGGAAAGGTGAAATATAAATTAACTTTACCTGCAATGATAGTTAAGTGTTTCCCAACAGTGATTTACACGTCCAGAGTAAATTTTCTGTTATTAGCCAAGTTAAAATTTGGTCTAATTTAAGGGAAACATTTGAGATGTGTTAACCGTATCCATGCATGTCTAGAAGGAAATGGGACTTCTCATGACTTTCTGCAGCTGCACCAGTCTGCTTTAAGGGTTAAAGTGGACTTCCAGGTCTTTGTAGAGATGCATCCATTCCGGAATATTTATTTTTTCCCATCAGTACTTGGGAGATTGGTTCATAACCTTTGCTTTAAGTTTCTCCTCACCTTTCTCCCTGACCTGTCAGTTGTTGTCCTTGCCAAGGACATCAGAGAAGATACGTATGTTGTGGTTCTCCCCGTTTTTGGGGGTTTTTAGTTTTCAGTTATCAGTAACTCTGTTTTGTTGATCTTTGGTTTATTTTCCATTTTATGTTTATTTTTGCAGTCTTAAGAAAATAAATGGGTTTTAGTTTAATTTTCTTCTCAAAAAAGGCAAAAGGGGGTGTGAATACTTTTACAGGATCTGTGTCCTGACTGCTTTTTTTATCTTATTACCTGCACATCCTCCAAGCGGGAAAGCAGAGACTGGTTGGACTGACACAGCTCCTCCTCGCTCCTCCTCACATCCTCAAACATTTCCTCCACCTGGTTCTTTTCCCTCTGAGGGAGGAAACAGAAAACGTGATTAAAAAGCAAATGATGCTCATCTATGTTTCAGGTTGTTCCACCCTCTCACCTCCAGCTGCTTTGTTCTCTGCTCCATCATTTTCTCGGCGGTTTTAAACTCCTGGATGGCCTGATTCAGTTGATCCACCTTGTTGCTGAGTTCTCGGACCTTTCCCTTCAGATGATCTCTTTCCTGGATCAGTTCCTTCATCTGCACCTTAGCTGCCCCTCTCTCCTCCTCCACCTGAGCCTTCTCCTGACCCAGGTAAGCATTGCTCTTAGGAATGAAAAGCAGAGTCAGAATAAATCTTATTACAGATGTATAAAAAAAGTGGAAAAATATGTAACTTTACCTCCTTTGCCTGCTGCAAGTCACCAAGCAGCTTTTCCAGCTCCAGCTCGTATTCTTCTTTCAAAGCAGAGATGTATTTATCATGAGTCTCCACCTCCTCTTTCAGAGCCCCCTTCAGGGCACTGAGCTCCCTTTCCCTGTGGTGCAGCACCTCCTCCTGCTCCTCCTTGGCTTGTAGCATCTCCTGAAAATCTGCACGCAGCTGTGCCACATCCTGATACACATCCATCATACATAATGTCAGGGGAGAAACCTTCCCAAAGACTGGCTCCTTTTGTTGTGTTTTTTCTGACCTGAAGGAGCAATTCTTTCTCTGTATTTATCACCTCTGACTTCTTGGCTTGGTCCAACTCGTCGTGCATCTCAGAGAGCTGTAGCTGCAGGTCTTTCATCTCTGCCTTTGATCTTTCTCTTTCCATCTTCATCTGATTCAGTCTAAAAACAGAACAGAGTTTTATGACAAACTGTCAAGTGATTCCAACTTTGCTGTTCTATTCCCACACTTGAAGGGTTGTATTAAGCTGAACATTAAAATGGATTCCACTCAATGACCAAACTGTTTTTTATTTTTCTTCTTGTGTTGTTTACAGATAATCATTGAATTAAACAGGTGAAAAACCTTTAAAAGAAATGAAACCAAACAAAGCATTTACAATATTGCACATTGTAATAGTTTTGAGAAATGCATCATTAAATATATTTATGAAAATAGATTGTTTTTAATAAGGATGCACGATATAATGGGCCCCCTATCGGTATCGGCCTTAAAACTGAATATCGGACATCGGCCACCCCACCGATATTCAACCCGATATTTGATCAGCTTCTGAGTTTTTAAAGTCTAAAAAAAAAAAAAAATACTACTTCTTCTTTTTCCTCAAAAACTTTTTTTTTACAGACTTAAAAACTTCTAAAGACGAGGGAAAAAATATTGATCCATTAAAATATCCCAATATCTTCATATGCTGATATATTGCCATTTAAAAACACCATATCAATCTCTTTTACTAATGAAATATTGCTATATGTCATCGTTATGCTACGAAATCCGCCGAAAATTCACCAAATGTTGCCATATTTTTATATGTTGATATATTGACGCGGTATCGATCTATTTTACTAACAAAATCTCACAAGAATTTGGAAAATATCATGAGAGTTTGTAACAGAACGATGAAATTTCACGAAATTTTGAAAGTAAAATAGATCGATACCGCGTTTTTAAAAATCAATTTGATATCAGCGTATGAAAATATATTTGAGTATATTATTTTTCAAAGTGTCAGAAATGGATAACAAAACTGCTATTGTCAATGACTACTTATTTTTGTCCAGCTTTAACATCGGTATCGATATCGGTTATCGGCTACATGAGCTTTAAAATATCGGCATATCGGATATCGGCCAAAATCCCAATATCGTGCATCCCTAGTTTTTAACTTTAAATTAAGACCATTTAGTTTTTAATTTTCATAAAAAATGCATCAAAAACGTATTAAAGCATTTTAAAGGAAGCGGATTTATGCAGGTTATTTAACCCCATAGATTACATGAATTCTTAATTAGCAAAAGTAAATAACCAGTGAGTGATTTTTAGTTTGTTTTAAATATGCATAACGTAGCTTATGAAATTTCATTTTAACTGTGGAATAATAAAAGTCCATTTTATTCACACACAGAAGATTGGTGCAAATATTACCCCGTGCAACAGTTTCACAAACACATCAAGTTGGACCGTTTCAACCGCAACGTTAAACAAATCACTGAAAACAAGTTACACCAGCATTTCTCCGACTGAATAAAGCAAAGCTTCAAGAAGACTTACAAGCCAACATTTACATGATGCACCGTGTGAGTTAGGGATGCACGATATTGGGATTTTGGCCGATATCCGATATTTTAAAACTCATGTAGCCGATAACCGATATCGATACCGATGTTAAAGCTGGAGAAAAATAAGTAGTCATTGAAAATAGCAGTTTTGTTATCCATTTCTGACACTTTGAAAAATAATATACTCAAATATATTTTCATATGCTGATATCAAATTGATTTTTAAAAACGCGGTATCGATCTATTTTACTTTCAGAATCTCGTGAAATTTCATCGTTCTGTTACAAACTCTCGTGATATTTTGCAAATTCTTGTGAGATTTTTTTTTTTAGACTTTAGAAACTCAGAAGCTGATCAAATATCGGGTTAAATGTCGGTGGGGTGGCCGATGTCCGATATTCAGTTTTAAGGCCGATACCGATAGGGGGCCGATTATATTGTGCATCCCTGAAAAATACTACAGCTGCTTAAACTTTCTGAACGTTTTTGTCACTTTACTCGGCCTATAATGCTGCCGTTGCAGGAGAATCCAATCAAATCAAATTCTATTATTTAAGCATTTATAAAACAACCACAGCTGACCAAAGAGCTGGACAGAAAAACAGATAAAACATTGCAGATTTAAAAAAAGACAGCACAAACATGTAAAATTTACATTCACACAATCAAAGAATTAAAATTGGATAAAAGATGAAAGAAATAAAAGGATAAAATAAAATAAAGCTCACTATCTTGCTAGATGTTAAAAGCCAAAGATAAAAGGTTGAGATTTAAATACATTGAGAGAAGAGGCCTGTCTGATGATCTGAGAGAGCCAGTAGGTCTATAAAGACGTAGAAGCTCAGAGAGGCACAGTGGGGCAAAACTATTCAGGGATTTAAAAGCAAATAAAATAATTTTAAAATGAATTGTAAATGTATGGGCAGCCAGTGGAGTGAGGCTAAAATATGGGAGATGAGCTCATAGTTGCATGTGTCGGTTAAAAGGCGTGCTGCAGCATTTTGAACCATCTGGAGACGGGAGATGGAGATGGAGGAGGCACTAACCCCCACATAGAGGCCAATTCAATAATCCAGATAACCAAGGCATGGATTTCCCTTTGAACTGTTGCCTTGAAAGTACTGACTTTATTTTGGCCTGCTGTCTCAGATAAAAACTTGATTTAACAACTGTCCTGATCTGGGTGTCCCTTTTCCCCTTCGGTTAGTGATGACTGGTTTGTTGCACTGAACCAAAGAGCCCAGATATGTTCCACCATAAAACATCTTTTCAGTCTTTTCTTATTTAAAAAAAATTCAGAGCCATCAAGGACTTGATGTCATCAAGACGCTTGATTGTTCCTTATGTACCTAACGAAGCACTTCGCTCTCAATCTGCAGGTTTACTAGTGGTTCCTAGAATAAAGTAAAAAATCTTGGTGTTATTTTTGATCAGGACCTGTCATTTAAATCCCAGATCAAAGAGGTTTCTAGAATTTCCTTCTTTCATCTGAGGAACATTACAAAAATGAGAAATCTCCTGTCCAGGGGTGATGCTGAGAGACTAATCCATGCATTTGTTACTTCAAGGCTGGACTATTGTAATTCTTTACTATCAGGAAGTCCACAAACTGTAGTTAGAAGCCTTCAGCTGATCCAAAATGCTGCAGCCAGAGTTCTGATGAAAATGAAAAAGAGAGATCATATCTCTCCTATCCTGGCTTCTCTTCATTGGCTTCCTGTTAAATCCAGAATAGAATTTAAAATCCTCCTTCTCACATATAAAGCCTTAAATGGCCAAGCTCCATCTGATATCAGAGATCTGATTGTTCCTTATGTTCCTAACAGAGCACTTTGCTCTCAATCTGCAGGTTTACTAGTGGTTCCTAGAATTTCTAAAAGTAGAACGGGAGGCAGATCTTTTAGTTATCAGGCTCCTCTCCTGTGGAACCAACTACCAGTTTTAGTCCGTGAGGCAGACACCCTGTCTACTTTAAGGCTAGGCTTAAAACTTTCCTTTTTGATAAAGCTTCTAGTTAGAGTGGCTCAGGTTATCCTGAGCTATCTCTATAGTTCTGCTGCTATAGGCTTAGACTGCTGGAGGACATAGGGACCCCTTTTTCATCATTCTATCTCTATTCTCGCTCTCTGCACAATCTGTTAGTTCAATCTCTAATGCTGTGCTGCTGCCATCAACACCTTTGTTTCTAGATGTTGGAGCTTGGCCTGTTTTCCAGTGTAGTCCTGTTTCTCTGACTGTGACTAACTGGATGTGCTCTCTTCATCCTCTGACATGGGAGCTGGCTCGGAGCTCGTCTTTTGTGTCATCACTAGGCGCAAGAAGAAGTCACCTCCCATGAAGCTCGTGGAGGAAGATTTGAACAACAAGGATGACGTCAGAAAAAACTGTTTAGGAATTAAATAGAAAAACTTGAAACTTAAAAAAAAAAAGAAGAAAACTTTGAATCAATCTGACTGTATGATCTGGTTGAACTGTAAAGTGCCTTGAGATGACATTTTTTGTGAATGGTGCTATAGAAATAAACTGGTCTGAATTGAACTGATTGAGGCTGTGATAGAGTGAGTATCTTTCTTTTTAAGAGGGACATAAATTAGCAATGTTGAAAAATTCCAGGCTTTCTTAGTGTGGATCCCAGCAAATAGAGAGAGAACAAGTTGTTCTGGGCAGAATACATTGATACCTTAGTGAGGAAGATGGAGTGTTGGAAATGTCTTTCTTATGTCCCTACAAATATTGTGGGACAGGTGGCTAAATCGTTAACTTTATGTCACCTGGATTATTGTGCAGCTTTAGGGTCGTCTGCATCTAAAGGTCAGCGAGGGAAATTACTAATGCTGTGTTTCATAGTGGGAGGGGGGAGCCTTCAAAGTTATGGTCACCAAAACATTAAACTTTGGTTTCCTCTGAGCTCAGCACTTTCTTTCTCCTGTTTGCTTTCTGTCTTATTTTAACGGTGATCTGTTTCACATCTTTGAGACGCTCCCCCAGAGTCACTATCCATGAATGACACTTCTGATAAGATCTTCCAGTTTATGTCGATTGTCCAAGTTTCGATTTAGCACCGAGGGGGGATTTACCATAAGGCAATTCTAGTCAGTTGCCTAGGGCCCCAAGTTCCTGGGGGCCCCATAAAACTCTGTTTCCATGTATAGTTAATACAACTATTCCTTATTTGTGCACATTAATTAAGTTTATGATAAAAACCCTTTGGCTAAAATGCCATCAGAACGCTGATAATATTAAGTGCAGAGATGGCAAAAGTACTCACTTTCCGTACTTGAGTAAAAGTACAGATACTTGTGTTAAAAAATACTCTGGTAAAAGTGGAAGTAGTGATTAAACTTCTTTACTCAAGTAAAAGTAACAAAGTACAGGCTTGTAAATCTACTTAAAGTATAAAAGTAAAAGTAGAAACCACTTTTTTCATGCCGTTGCCTACATTTTAAATGGATGTCTGCCAATAGGACTAGATCTCCGTTGTGTTCATTTTCAATCATCTCGTCGTCCATGCTACTATGCTAACGCCACCGCCACCAAGCTGCAATGATTTGCCGCCAATGAATACCGCCGAATCTGTCGATTCTTCTTGTAGTGGTGCGTCAAATGCAACGTAGATTCCCATCCAATTAGATTGAATTTGGTATTGATGACGTGAAAAATAATAACGGTAACTCCATTGAAATGATTCAAAACTAAAGTAACGAGCCAATTTTTTAAAATGTAAGGAGTAGAAAGTACAGATGTTTGTGTAAAAATGTAAGGAGTAGAAGTAAAAAGTCGCCATAAAAATAAGTAGTAAAGTTAAGTAAAAACTTCGACATAAACTTCGACATAAACTTCGTTACTTCCCATCTCTGATTAAGTGTGTCTCAGCCCCCCCCTTCAGTGTCCACGATATTGGATCAGTCCATTTGCTGCACATGTTCAGAAAGGTCCAAACAGACAGCAGCAAACCATTTGAAAACAAACCATGCAAAGAGCAGTGTTGCCAACTTAGCGCTTTAGTCGCTATATTTAGCCACTTTTCAGACCCCTCTAGCACTTTGATTTCTAAAAAGCTCCTAGCGCCAAATCTAGAGACTTTTTTCTGCTACTGGAGACTTTGGAGACAACATCTAAAAGCAGCGAACTCTGCTCTCCAGAGCGAGTAGATTGGTAACCCCGCCTCCTGCTCTCCTCTATCTTGTCTGCTGTCATGATTCATGCAGCTATTATTTCATCCAAATGAAAAATGGAGAACAGATAAGCAGATCATGGCTTGTCTACAGTGAAAAGAAGGACTGGGTTATTTACTTTGGCCTTTTTGGAAACACAGGAAGGAGCAATCAGCTAAGTGAGCTTAGTGCTTGGAAAAAATCTTTCATTCCTTTAGAGACAGCATGAAAAGTCAGCTGAGTACAAAACATAGAGAGGAAAACAAGAAGAAAAGGGACAAGAAGAGAGGGACACAACCTAGAACAGATAATGGATGTCTATTCTATTAACATTTCTCTATCTGGAGAATGGGGCTGTTTGATAGGTTGTCTTCTAAATTAAGAGGGTCCCCTGCCTGTCTTTGCCTAGGGCCCCACATTTCCTAAATCCAGCCCTGTTTAGCACCACATGCTTTATATATTTTAGATGATGGGCTGAACAGACTGCTGAAGACAGTTCAAGTTTAAGGGGATTTAAATGTGAATATCTGTCACAATATTTAAATATCATTAGTCTAAAATGTGAATAAAATATGTTGAATTTTGTGAGAAATGACTGATTTCTACAGCAACGATCAGTATTTAGCATCTCAGAAAAAAAAATGCAAACCTTAAAATCAATAAAAGGATTCACATTTAAGGAAACGTCCTCTGTATTCCCGACTCACACAGTAACTCTGAATGGCCAAACAGTATTAGCAGGAGCTAAAGCAGGTGGAAGACCACACTGCGTTTAACTATTTCATTTTCATCTCATGTCAAAAGTTAAATGAAACCGTCCCAAAGAATGTTCCTCTGAGATATTTTCTTTAAACGGTCACAGATCCAGCTACAGCCACGCCCTGCGAGCACAGCCTGTTCAGCTCATAACCGCAGGCTGGGAGTTAGCCCTTTGGGAGGGAGGCTGAATGAAAGGAGAATAAATCACAAATCACAGTTTTGGAACAATGAAAATGTAAAAGCAACCCTATTAAAAAAGGCAGAACAAACATTTAAAACTTTAAAACATAAGGAAAGGTTGTTTTTTTTTTCTTGAGACCATAGTTGTTTTTTTCTTTTTATATATTTTTTTTATTTTATTTTATTAATTTTTGTATTTATTTTTTTTTAAATATATATATAAAAAATTAAATAAAAAAATAAAAGAGACTATAGTTTTTCTGACAGATATTATTTTTTCCTCCAGCAGAACCTTTTTTTTCCAGCGTTGAACTGCTGGAGGTTTCTTCCTGTTCAAAGGGAGTTTTTCCTCCCCACTGTCGCTACAAGCATGCTTAGTGTGAGGGATTGCTGAAGAGTCCTTAGATAGAAAACTTTGAATCAATCTGACTGGATGATCTTGTTGAACTGGAAAGTGACCTGAGATGATTTGTTGTGAACATACTAAATGCCATAATAATGCTTATTATTTTTTATTCAAATCAAGAACCATGATCTTATATTTTCTGTAACAAGGTGAGAATGAATCACATTTCTTACTAAATCTTAATATCCTTAAATAAATCAGCTCTACACAATATTAAGAAATATTTAATATGCAGCAATATTGGTGAATATTGCAAAACTAAATGATGTTTTGTTTTTATGTCTTTCTTCTCAAAACATGGTGTCAGATAGTGAAACTGCTGTTTTGGCTTTTAAACATGTCGTCTCTTGTCTTGCCCACCTAACATCACTTTATGGTTAGAAAACATTGTTAAGCTGCACAAAACCTAAATAGGCCTCTTTTATATTAGAGGCACAAAACGCCTACAAGCAGAATTATCTAACGTTAATTTAAAGTTAGGCAGCTTATAATTCGATATTTTTCCATACAATTTATTAGGGCTGCAACTAACAATTATTTTGCAAATCGATTAATCTGTTGAATATTTTTTCGATTTATAATCAGATCAGTTTCCTTAAAGCAGACTTTTTGCTAAATTAAACCCAGTGAAAGTAAAATTGTTCCACTTGAGGACTTCTGAATTACGGAAGAGGATTGGGGCCACTTAAAAAGAATGTTAACTGAATTTTTTTTAATTTTATTTCAGTATAATATGAGAAAAAAATCAGAATTTTGAGAAAAAATGTCTGAATTCTGACTTTTTCTCATGTTAAACTGAAATTAAATTTAAAAATCAGTTAACTTTTTTTTTTTTCTCTTCCGTATCTGAATAGAACAGATTGACAGACGAAAAAGATTTTTTTGATCTTAAATGCTAAATGTTTACATATTTATTTATTTATTTTTTTACAGTTTTGGTATAATTGCTGCACTCCAAAAACAATCTAGAAATAAGTAAAAATTTCTTAAATTAAGTGTATTCACCCTTAATTTGAGCAGGTAAATGAGATAGTTTGCCAATTGAATGAGTAATTTTACTCTTTAAATAAGATATTTAGATAATTTGCACTTGAAATAAGACAATGCAATTGTGTTTTCTTATTTTAAATGTAAATTGTCTTGTTCCATTGGCAAAATGTCTCTTTTACCTCCTCAATTCAAGAACAAATGCACTTGTTTTAAGAAAAAATTACTTATCTAGATTTATATTTTTTGCAGTGTGCTCAATGTGGGTCACTCTGTCAGCTGCAGACTCATTTTAGAGTCTCTATACTCCAGTTAACTATGAATCGATTATTTAATTACTTGACGATTATTTCAATAATTGATTATTCTGATTAATTGTTTTCAGCCATACATTAAATGATAAATTTTAGATATTTTGTGCAGCTTTAAGATAAACTTTGCTTTTACATCTAACCCCACATAAACGCTCTCTCTCTCTCTGCTCACTCTAGCATCTAACTCTGAAAGCAGTTCATTTCAATTTGGTTTAATTATATAAACCATAAACATTCATTTTTTTTTTCTTTGCAAATTCAGTTTTACTGATTATTTAAAAACATTAAGGTGATGGTTTCAGTGGTATTGAGATAGGATCCAAGTTTTCATCTGCTAAATGTTTTTTTTTTTAAACAAATTGCTCAATTTTTTACAGCTGAATTTATCAGTTTTTCTTGAGTTCTAATTCAGATTTTATAGAAAACAGTAATTTTATATTTACATATATATGATATTGACCTAATAGGACATTTTAATTAAACCTAATTGAATAGAAATGTCACTTCACTTATTTGAATCCCTTTCCCTGTTTTTTATTTTTTTGTGCTCCCATAAAAACAGGATGGCCCCCTCCTGGCCCCCTATTGGTCTAGAACCGCCACTGGTGAGTGTCGAAGTTCAGCTCCTTACTCCTGTTTGGTGGACTGAAGGTCTCTCTCAATTTCACCCAGTTTTCCTCTCAGTTTCTGGAGCTCCGTCTGACTTTTGTTCAACTCCTCCTGAAGTTTCTTCTTCTCAGTCCTTGCTTTTTCAAATGCCTTGGCTAAAGTCATTTCATTCTGCAAACACATTAATAAGGATCCCATTTAAGAAAATATAACCAAAGTAACGCATTACCAAGGCGAATGATGCTGTACCTTGATCTCAATGTCTAGTTTTTGCTTCAGATGAGACACTTGTTTCTCCAGAGTCGCCCGTTTCTCCTGCAGTACCTTTATTCCCGCTGCAGACGCCTACAGAATAACGAAAAAGAGAAAAATGTAATAAACAGCGTGAAAAGTGACATAAATCCTGCAGATCAGTAAACAACTCACTTTCTCCTCCTCCTCCACACCCTCCACAGTTTTCCATTTGAGCTTTCTGATGTTGTCGAGCAGCAGTTTGACTTTCCTTTGGGTTGTGGGGTCATCGTCTGTGGTCCTGAAACAACAGGTTGCATAGTTCTGAACAGGGGTGGAAAGTAGGGATGCAGGATATTGGGATTTTGGCCGATATCAGATATTTTAAAACTCATGTAGCCTATAACCGATATCGATACCGATGTTAAAGCTGGACAAAAATAAGTAGTCATTGAAAATAGCAGTTTTGTTATCCATTTCTGACACTTTGAAAAACAATATACTCAAATATATTTTCATATGCTGATATCAAATAGATTTTTAAAAACGCGGTATCGATCTATTTTACTTTCAGAATCTCGTGAAATTTCATCGTTCTGTTACAAACTCTCGTGATATTTTGCAAATTCTTGTGAGATTTTGTTAGTAAAATAGATCGATGCCGCGTCAATATACCAACATATAAAAATATGGCAAAATTTCGTGAATTTTCGGGGGATTTCGTAGCATAACGATGACATATAGCAATATTTCATTAGTAAAAGAGATTGATATGGTGTTTTTAAATGGCAATATATCAGCATATGAAGATATTGTGATATTTTAATGTATCAATATTTTTTCCCTCGTCTTTAGAAGTTTTTAAGTCTGTAAAAAAGAAGTTTTTGAGGAAGAAGAAGAAGTAGTATTTTTATTTTTTATTTTAGACTTTAGAAACTCAGAAGCTGATCAAATATCGGATTAAATATCGGTGGGGTGGCCGATGTCCGATATTCAGTTTTAAGGCCGATACCGATAGGGGGCCGATTATATCGTGCATCCCTAGTGGAAAGTAACAAATTACATTTACTCAAGTTACTGTAATTGAGTACTTTTCTTAATTTTCTGAGTAGTTTTTGAAATATGTAATTTTTACTTTTACTCACGTATACGAGCCCAGCTGATCTTCTGCAGTGTGGATTTCCACTGAAATACACCTTGAAATCGATTAAAACACCTTGTGCTCAATTCCATTCATGACTCATCCTTTTTTTGCATTAAATAACTCAAAGTAACTAAGTAACTTTTACTCAAATTACATTTTAAATGAAGTAATTTTGTACTTTTACTTGAGTAAATTTTGAGATTGGTAATTTTACTTTTTACTCTGAGTAGGATTTAGGCAAAGTAATGATACTTTTACTCAATTACTCTTTCCACCTGTGGTTCTGAAACCCAGCAGGATTAGAGACCTTTTTATTTTAGAGTTGTTTAAAAGATCATCTGCCTGATTCAGAGAAGCAAGGAGTTCTGCTTGAACATATTTTCCACATTGGAAAGGAGGAAAGTATCGGTGGATGTTTCTGAACCTTCCAGGCGAAGCAGTTATTTTATCAGTGAAAACATGTTCATGCTTTGAATTCCTGACTACTGGAAGTCTGAGTTCACACAGCTGGAACAGCAGTCAGATTCCTGCAGAAACGTAGCTCTAAAAACTCTAACTCATCACTAAACGCTGCCATAAAAAAACTTTCCAAAACTCCTATAAAATACCTGTTAGAATACGAGTTGAAAGGTCAGTTTGAAAAAAGAAAAACTAGCAAAACAGAGTTTGGAAAGCTTCCAAAAATAACATTTATTTTGTAGGAAAGTGGTGAATCTCTGAGTCAGCCTGTAATGTGACGCATCCATGCAGTAATTATTATCTCTGAACACTGGATGAGAGCGGATCCATTCGGCTTAGAGAGATTTTTATGACATTTAATTAATCCTTTGATGTTGGATAATTCAACTTGATCATATCTGGATGATTTATTTGGTCAAAACCGGCTCTACATGCTGGCAAACTGAAAAAATAAGGAGAAACTAGCTGTTAGTTTCTAGGAGGCGTTTAAAAATGAAGTCAGAAGGAAGTTCGGCATTAGGCTAAAGAAATGTCCCTGGACCAAGCACTGGCTTTGTCTGTTTTCAAATAGTTCACCTTCAGAGTGGGAAGATTCTGAAACGCCGTTTTCGCGTTTCCATCTTTAAGCTCTAACCGCATTTTTTTTTCTTACACGCATGCGTCATAGCATGGCATCTAAACACGCATGCGCGACACAGTATCACAACAACAATGGCGCCGTCCTGTGTTGAATGGTTGCTGCTCATGCTACTCACCCTGCTGTCGGGCTTACAACAGAATCTTCTTCTTCTGGAATATCTCCAGGAAGAACAGAGCAATATCGACCACATAGTTCAGCACCTGAATTTGACTGAACCACGAAAATGGACCCGCAGGGCCATTTTCTGGTTTTCCGGTTTGGTTGTTGTATAAATATTACCTGAACTCTCATGAACTTGTTGTTCCACCAGCAGCAGGAAATGATTTCAGCCCAGAAGCAGGCCCCTACCATGACACCTCTTCCTCTGCCTTCTATCACATAAAGGTTTCTTCCACCAGACTGTGGGACTGTCATTTCTTCTTGACGATAATATTTTCATAAAACATCCAGAGTCTAATTTCTTAGTGCTGTTGGCCAAACAAAGTCAGGCGTCTCTAAAACCAGTTTGACTTAAATTCCCGTGAAATCCTCCCACACACCAGTTTTTTTTTTTTTTACCCGTAAAACAAAAAGGTTAACCTTGTCATCTAGTGTACTTTAGAGGTGGTGTTGTGTGTATTTTAGTGCATTTGAACAAACACGTCTACAGTTCCTTGCAAAGCTATTTTAACAGACTAGAAAAATGTCCTTTTTTTATGTGTTTTTATGTGACAGACCAACACAGTGCATAATAGTGGAAAACATGGGAGCTGGTTCGGAGCTCGTCTGCCTGGCCGTGCGTTTCCTGGACAGGGCCGCCTTTAACAGTTGCCTTTTCTATCTCTGCTTCTGTCTCCTTGAACCCTGTTAAAAGGGAGTTTTTCCTCTCCACTGTTACTAAAAGCATGCTAAAGGCCTGCAGCAGTGTGTCGCAGTGAGCTTGTCGCAGATATTTTTGATTTATGCCCAATATTGAAGCGTGGTCTGCGCTGTTATTCCACTCCACATAGCAAGAGGGACAATCAGGAACTAGCTGTGGGTCTAGATACGGAGGGACGTGAGGGCCAAAAAGAGCGGGGATCCAGGTGGAAAAAGGGTCCAAGCGTTTTCGCGCACCTCGCTCTTCTAGCTGGTCCAACTTCACGAGTCGCTTTTAGGGATGGGAATCGAAAACCGGTTCCTGTTAAGAACCGGTTCCGTATTTTCCGATTCCATGGCATCGTTTGGCAGCTCACTGAACGATTCTTTTTTCGATTCCCGCAGCACCAGAGCCTAGAGCGCCGGCTCTGGGGAGCACGACTTACGTCACGTTTTTTACGTAAGTTACGTAAGTTACGCAAGTTACGCAAGTTGGAAGAACTATTCGAGGAAGAAGACAACGAGCTGCGGTCACTTTGTGAATCAAAGCCCCGTCTTTCCTTAGCCCAGAGGGTAGATCAGGAAATCCAGCTCTATAAAAGCTTGCCCTCCATCCCCTGCGGGGATAGCGCCACACTGTGGTGGTGGAACAAGCAAGATGTGCTGCCCTTGCTATCTGACTGGCTGAAAACTACCTCTGTGTGCAGGCTTCCTCCACCCCATCTGAGAGGGTGTTCTCCACGGCTGGAGACACCATAAGCCCTGAAAGATCCTGCATCCTTCCAGAAAAAGCAGATATGCTCATCTTTCTGCAAAATAACTGTTAATTTTCCCTACTACTGTTTTATAATTAGTATTTTTTGTTATTTAAAATAGGTTATTATCCCATCATTTGTTATTAGACATGGTTGGTTATTAAGTTTGTTCTTGTATATTTATTTTTCATTTAAACACAGATGTTACTCCAGTTTCACATTTCCTGTGGACATCTTGATCTTGTTGAGTTTGTAAGATTGTGCAATAGTTAAGTAAACAAAGTTGATTCTGATAATCAAACTGTTTGTTCTCCTTTTTCCCCCAAATTGGAATCGAAAAAAGAATCGATAAAGAATCGAATCGTTTCATAGAATCGAAAAGGGAATCGGAATCGTGAAAATCTTTTCAATTCCCAACCCTAGTCGCTTTCCACAATGGCGGTCAGACAAACAACCCGGTAAGGAACCAAACAGGAAATAGGCAAAAAATAGGGAAAAAAAAAGACCTATATGCTACTTATACACTTAGAATTCCTGTTATGCTTTTTATCTATCATGACATTTTATTCATTTCTGTTCCAGATTGAAGATAAACCACCACCAACAACCTACCAGAAACAATGACAGGCCAGCTATACAAGCTTCCTTTATTTCCCACAGCAAATACAAAGCTGACGCTCAGGACTAGCAAGCTATGCCTTGTTTCACCTTAAATACTCTACCTTTATATTCCATGTGAACTAGCTGGCAGGAAAGTACGGAAGAGGATTAGTGCCAGTGGGAAAAAAAAAAAAAGTTAACTGATGTTTACATTTTATTTCAGTTTAGTATGGGAAAATTCTCAGAATTCTGACTGAATTCTGACAATAAAAAAAGTCAGAATTCTGAGAAAAAAGTCAGAATTCTGACTTTAATTTCAGAATTCTGACTTTTTTCTCGGAATTCTGATTTTTTTCTCAGAATTCTGACTGAATTCTGACAATAAAAAAAGTCAGAATTCTGACTTTAATCTCAGAATTCTGACTTTAATCTCAGAATTCTGACTTTAATTTCAGAATTCTGACTTTTTTCTCAGAATTCTGACTTTTTTTATTCTCAGAATTCAGTCAGAATTCTGAGAAAAAAGTCAGAATTCTGACTTTTTTCTCATAATTCTGACTTTAATCTCAGAATTCCGACTTTTTTCTCAGAATTCTGACTTTTTTCTCTGAATTCTGACAATAAAAAAAGTCAGAATTCTGAGAAAAAAGTCAGAATTCTGACTTTAATCTCAGAATTCTGACTTTTTTCTCTGAATTCTGACAATAAAAAAAGTCTGAATTCTGAGAAAAAAGTCAGAATTCTGACTTTAATCTCAGAATTCTGACTTTTTTCTCTGAATTCTGACTTTTTTCTCAGAATTCTGACTTTTTTCCTTTGTTAAACTGAAATAAAATTCAAAAATCAGTAACTTTTTTTTTTTTTTTTTGTGGCCCTAATCCTCTTCCGTACTAATGTGTTGTGAATTGGCGCTATAGAAATAAACTGAGTTGAAATTAGATTGAAAACATGTTGGCTTTGTCCCTTTAAAGCGCTGTGCAGATTGTAACGTAACAAAATGTAAAATATTTCAATAGCTACATCGTCAGAGTTCTGTAAGTTTCCCTGTTTCTACTTTGTTTCTCTTAGACTCAGACAAACTTTATTGTCATCTAAAACCTCCATGTTGTAATAAAATGAGACAGCATTGATCCGACCTCGTCTTTCTCTGTAGTCAAAGCGACTGAAGAACCTAAAAAACGAGATGAAATGTCGTCTGATCAGTTCTACTCATGGAAACCTGGCTGCACTCACCCGTTCTTCAGACAAGTGAAGAGTATTTGCTTTGTTGCTTCTTCTGGTGGATCTGCTGAGAGCTCTTGCTGTCCTTTCAGAAGATCAGGAGTAACCTGGTTAGAGAACATACAGCCAATAAATACTAACTTTTAAAGAACTATTCTGTTCCTGGACAAACTCCTTACCTGTGTGTCTCTTTCATCAGATGTTTGCTCTGTCGTTGGCCTGGAGACAGTTGGTTTCTCTGTCCTGTTGGACAGCGTTACGGTCTCTGTCCCTTGTTGTCCTTTGCTGATCTTGCTCTCCTCTCTGTTTGCCCGAGCAGATTCTCCACCAAGGAGCCGAGCCCTGGCGGATCCGGGGGGGTAAATACCAGCTGGGGTTTCCCCTCTGGATCCCTTTAGGGAAGAAGCTCTGCTGGATAAAGGCGATGAGGAAGCACTCAAGGTTCGACTGCTTTCCACGCTGCGGGACCGTCGACAGGCCTCTGGGTCCACTCTGTTCCTCGGCCCTCTCCCCCTCTGCAGGCTGCTGTTGAACTGGCTGATTAGCCTGCCCACAGACATGATGGAGTCGGTGTCCACTGACTTTGGGGACAGTGGGGCGCTGTGTCCTTCTGGCATGTGGTTGAACTCAGCTGGGTCTTCGGTGGGGCCCTCGGCAGGCAGAGGGATCCTGGGTTTGGCAGTCTGTGCCGTCTCAGTGGACAGGGAGGTGTGGCCAGATCTGGGGGGGTTATGGTTATCGTATTCCGGCTCATATGGCCTGAAGATCTCAGAGTGTCTCTGATAATGACACCCAGAGGAGTTTGGCCTCCTCTGTGGCTCCTCCACAGACCTCCTAACTGTGCCTGGTTTGTAACCCGCCTGGTGAGTTATGACAGATACATCCTTGTGGCTCTCCTGACCAGCAGTGTTTAGAACCACATAAGGCTGACCTTTGATGCCCTGCACCTGAACTCTCACCCCAAACAGGTTCTCTTGGCTGCTGGCTCTAGGACTGTGCTGTAGCACATAGCCTCTCTGCATCTGGACGTCTGGAGAGCCGCTGAGTCTGTAGGACTCCATCCTGCTGCTGTCTCAGATGGACTCACAGATAACCTGTTGGGATAATACAAGCGTGCATGTGAGGCAGAGGCTGGCATTGCATGGGAGAGTGGTTTGAAAACTGATGCATCAGGCTGGTACAGCTAAGCAAGCTGTTTACACAACAGTGGAGTAGTGTCAGAGGCCCGCGGTGCGCCGAAGCAGACATGCTGGGAGATCTGCTCCAGCTGCACCCGGCCAACAGAAAGACTGAAGCCCTGATATTGCTGTGCAATGAAAACAGCCACCCTCTGTGTGCGAACCAAGGACACTATTGTAGAGCTCCAGATGAACCGGCCGTATGACGACTACGACTGGCCGGGGACACCGAGGTGTCGTCATCCACTTCATGGGATAACGCTTTGGGAAAATGTTTGCCCACAAATGCACCACTATGAGGCAGAAACACTCCAACAGAGGAGGCGTTGTGCTGTGAACAATATAGTGTCATTTAAAGAGCCTCGTCCTGCACAACGTTGAAAAGGAAAAACCTAAAAGCAGCATGAAGCAGGCAGGAGGGAAAATGATCAGGAAATATATCCAGTACTTTAAAGCAAAAGGCAGAAAGAAAAAAACATAAAATAAAGCTGAAATGCATAAAGCCTGCAGAAAAAATAAGGTGTAGGATTGTTTTCCAGTTAGAAGGAAAATCTCGACCCAAATCTTCAGACGTATGCAGCATCCAACAACTTTTCTTTCACGCTCCACCTGTAATCCCCAACAATCATTTCATCAGTTCTATAGAGCTCCTCTATCCTGAAAAATAATCCCTCAGCATGATGCAACCTCTACTGTGTTTAGGTTGTTAGTTACAAGAGTTACAGGCTCCTTCTCTGATTACTGATCTTTAGTCACACGGGTGGTTCTATAGGTTTGCAGCTGACATTTAAAGCTCAGCATGTTTTCTTTCCCAACTGCTTTAAACTTCTTCATTTTGTTCCTCCCTAACTAGTGATGCGCGATATTGGGATTTTGGCCGATATCCGATATGCCGATATTTTAAAACTCATGTAGCCGATAACCGATATCGATACCGATGTTAAAGCTGGACAAAAATAAGTAGTCATTGAAAATAGCAGTTTTGTTATCCATTTCTGACAGTTTGAAAAATAATATACTCAAATGTATTTTCATATGCTGATATCAAATAGATTTTTAAAAACGCGGTATCGATCTATTTTACTTTCAAAATTTTGCAAATTCTTGTGAGATTTTGTTAGTAAAATAGATCGATACCGCGTCAATATATCAACATATAAAAATATGGCAACATTTGGTGAATTTTCGGGGGATTTCGTAGCATAACGATGACATATAGCAATATTTCATTAGTAAAAGAGATTGATATGGTGTTTTTAAATGGCAATATATCAGCATATGAAGATATTGGGATATTTCAATGGATCAATATTTTTTCCCTCGTCTTTAGAAGTTTTTAAGTCTGTAAAAAAGACGTTTTTGAGGAAGAAGAAGAAGTATTATTATTATTTTATTTTTTTAGACTTTAGAAACTCAGAAGCTGATCAAATATCGGGTTAAATATCGGTGGGGTGGCCGATGTCCGATATTCAGTTTTAAGGCCGATACCGATAGGGGGCCGATTATATCCTGCATCCCTATCCCTAACCTGTCTGCTTTGTTTTCTTTTACCTGCCTTCTTCTCATCTGAGGCCTGATATACGATCAATATTTACAAATTAGACAACCTTAGAAGCTAGATGCTTCAGATTTTATTTAAATGTACCTGATAGAATCAGATAAAAGAAGCACTAACTACATTTTTCAGATTTCTATTTGTAAAAATATCAGATTCTTTATGCTTGTCCTTGTAATTCATAGTTAAGCCCCACTTTGTTTTCAGCTAGACACCTGTTTATTAAAATACATTAAAATGCTAATGCTGCCCTATTTGGGGTCCTTGAGGGTGGAGCTATTTCATGTGCTACTAGAAAATATTCTATAGCCTTTGCTTTACTTTTGGCACGTCGTGCAATCTTACTCAGATGGAAAGATGCCTCCCCACCATCTCATTCACAGTGGCTGCAAGATATTATGTCTTGTCTAAAACTCGAAAAGATCAGGTACTCACTTAAACAGTCTCTTGATACATTTGAAAATTTGTGGGGCCATTTCTTGAAAGCATTTCCAGCTCTTTAATTGCTCAGACATGCTAAACTGCACTGATTCCATCTTAGGCGGGTCCTGAATGTTGTGGAGTGATCATATAGTTTTGGCAGTAACGGTTTGGGTGATGGGGAAGGGGTTATTTTGTTTGTTTTATTGTATTATATTTTTGTGCTTCACTACTTGACTTGTTCTATCGTAGTGTTCATGCTACTTTCTCTATTTGTGAAGCTTATATTTCCTTTACTTTAACAAACTTGTATGAGCAACTTGTTCAATTGACTTCTATAAGCCTACCTTGCAACATCTTATAACTGTGCTCTGCTTTTTGTTTATGTAAAACTCAATAAAAAATATCTTGAGTAAAAAAAAAAATTGCTAATGCTGACAGTAGGGATGCACGATATAATCGGCCCCCTATCGGTATCAGCCTTAAAACTGAATATCGGACATCGGCCACCCCACCGATATTTAACCCGATATTTGATCAGCTTCTGAGTTTCTAAAGTCTAAAAAAAAAATAAAATACTACTTCTTCTTCTTCCTCAAAAACTTCTTTTTTACAGACTTAAAAACTTCTAAAGACGAGGGAAAAAATATTGATCCATTAAAATATCCCAATATCTTCATATGCTGATATATTGCCATTTAAAAACACCATATCAATCTCTTTTACTAATGAAATATTGCTATATGTCATCGTTATGCTACGAAATCCCCCGAAAATTCACCAAATGTTGCCATATTTTTATATGTTGATATATTGACGCGGTATCGATCTATTTTACTAACAAAATCTCACAAGAATTTGCAAAGTATCACGAGAGTTTATAACAGAACGATGAAATTTCACGAGATTTTGAAAGTAAAATAGATCGATACCGCGTTTTTAAAAATCTATTTGATATCAGCATATGAAAATATATTTGAGTATATTATTTTTCAAAGTGTCAGAAATGGATAACAAAACTGCTATTTTCAATGACTACTTATTTTTGTCCAGCTTTAACATCGGTATCGATATCGGTTATCGGCGACATGAGTTTTAAAATATCGGCATATCGGATATCGGCCAAAATCCCAATATCGTACATCCCTAGCTGTCAGGGACTTAAACTAAGAGGAAGGAGAGCAGGGTTGAGTGTAAAGGTGGTGAAATGTTCATCTGAAGGCACAATAAGGGTTACTGGGGATGATAAAACAGGAAAAACGAGCCTGAATGAAAATCAGCTGAGAAATAAAGCTTGAAGATAGCAGAAAAGAGCCCAGAGGAGCTGATGTAACATTCAAGAAAAATCAAACCAAAATGAAAAAGAACCCAATAAAGGCAAAGCACTCAAACTTTTTACAATTATGTCGCATAACAGGATTTGGCAGAAATGTTACAGCAGTTTAAGCAGAAATCCCATTTGGATGTAAAACCTTTGAGTGCATTGCCTCCCGTATGAGCAGCTCTTTATCCCTGGTCTCAAAGTTAAACGGGTGATTGCTACCTTGGCCTGTAATCCAAACCTGCTTCTTAAAGCAGTGCAGTCTGTACCAGAGTCACATGTCATCATCGTTTTCTTTTGGCTTGATTTCACATCAGGAGATTGCTAAGGTGAGATGAGAATAACAATAATCATCTGAAAAGCTTAGATCACCGTCAACAATCGGCGATGTTTGACTGCAAACTGTCTGCTCAGCTTCACAAATCACTTTAAATGCCAAACTTTATCTTCTGTTGTCAGGATTAGTAACTTTTTTTTTTCCCTGTACTTCATTAGTTTTCCACAAATAACTTATTTTACACCAAAAAATACAAATAAAAGGCCTAAATTATGTGAACTGTCTGGTTTCTTTTGCTTTTATGAGTTGATTTTAATTGAACTGTCAAATCGACAGTTCAATTAAAAAGCCTTTCAGGAATCTAGATGCTTTTCTGTGTCAAAGATTCATGGGGCTGAAGACATTTTGATCCATTAGCAGGTGGATTTAGGTCAGATTATTATACTGTAGGAAAAGACATGCACTGAAAAAATGTATACCAATTTCTGGGTCTCTTTTACGTTTTATCAGGGGATTCCAAAAAAAGAAAATAAAAAACAATCCACTGGATTTGGTTTCCAAGTTTGAAGACGTTTCTTTTCCATCCAGGAAGATTTTTAATCCAACATTTCAGGAATATTGTTTACTTCCAGGTTTTCTACAGCAGCCCAACAAAGCCTGGTTTTTATTTTGAAAACAAAAACAGTTTACAGTAAAACTCAACACTATTTCTGACATTTTTTATTAAAAAAGCTTCCTGGATGGGAAGAGAAACGTCTTCAAACTTTAAAATAAAGTCCAGTGGGTTGTTTTTTTAATTTCTATGGAATGACTATGAGCTAAATGACTGAGAATCTTCTCCAACTTTTCAGGGGATTCCAATTTAATCTAAAAAAAAATTTGGGCTTTTTTTCTTGCAGAATTACTATAACATTTAAAACACACAATAAATCATGCAAAATAAAGCTATTAACTCAGAAAAAGGCATCAGAGGACAGAAAATAATGGGAATGGGGGGGAAGGGGTCAGAGTTATTAGGATCTAAGCAGCTCAGACTACGGAAGAGGATTAGGGCCACTGAAAAAAATAAAAGTTAACTGATTTTTAAATTTTATTTCAGTTTAACATGAGAAAAAAGTCAGAATTCCGACTTTAATCTTAGAATTCTGAGAAAAGGTCAGAATTCTGAGATTAAAGTCAGAATTCTGAGAAAAAAGACAGAATTCTGACTTTTTTCTCAGATTTCTGAGATTAAAGTCAGAATTCTGAGAAAAAAAGACAGAATTCTGCCTTTTTTCTCAGAATCTTTTTTTCAGTGGCACTAATCCTCTTCCGTATCAGACTGATCAGAGCAGATGTAGGAAAAAAAACAGCCAGTAGAGATAATTAATTAATTAATTAATGACATGATGTTACTCATAACAACAGCTCAGTAAGTTGGAAAACAGCCAGACTGTCACCATAAACTGAAAATTCATGTAATCTATAATAACCGCATCAATGCAGACATCTTTAAAAAAGCTTTATGACACATTTTGATTTAAAAAATAGATTTTAGAGGCAAATATCTTATAAAAATAAGTTTTGGGAAGAATTTTATTTTACATATCTTCCATAGTGGGTTAGATGTTGACATGCAAAGAGCGTAAAAACGGTGCGATCTGTTTTATTTACCGCTGAGGAAAACATGAAGCAGATTATAGTTTAATGTAATAAAGGCTGGAAGGTTAAAGATCGGACAGTTCAGTCAAACTTACCGTGTGTGAGTCTGTGTCCGGTATGAGGAGCGGCTCTCCTCTGCTGAGTCTCCGCCCGGACTGGATGTCCCGCTCAGAGAGGCTCCCCCCTCCCTCCCTCGGCCCTGTTCCTCATCTTATGACCGCAGCCTGTCTGCGCAGATGAAGATGAAAAACACGCAGAAACACGCAGCATTTCTCACTCTCTGCTGCACAACCATGAAAAACAACCACTGCATTTTTTATGCTAATGTTATTTTCAAGAAGCAGGGGCGGATTTAGGAAGTTTGGGGCCCCAGGCAAAAACAGGTAGCCTCTTGAGACCATCCTGATCTCGCGACCTTTCAAGGTTTCACGAGCTAATCAGTCTGGAGACTCTCCGTTGAAGAAAATTTGGAGTCTCCTTTCTATCTCTTCTTTCTTTTTTTTCTTTTTTCCTTTTTCTTCTTCTGTTTTTCTGCTCTATTTACATTGCAGTGTCCATATAAACTGTAAAACTCCCTGCATAATTATAATAAAGCAATTTATATGCATGAAACAAGTGGAGCGGTATGGTAATTGCTGTACTGCTACACTTGTGAAAGTAAAATCTGTTGGGCTCTGTTTGGCATCAAGACAATTATTCTTATTGCCACATCGCCAGACAGGACACTGTAAAAAAAAAAAAAAAGAAGAAAATTTGGAGCCGTTCGCCAAACGAACGTCCAATCAGCGTTGGCTTTGAGGCGAGGTGTGACGCAGCCGATGAAACTAGCGTTAGCGTGGCTATCGAGCAAGTTTTATGGGAATTACAGAGTATTTCTTCACTGAAAGAAGAGCAAAACACTGCTCTGGAGGCTTTATCAGAGGAAAAGATGTGTTTGCTCTTCTCCCGACTGGTTTCAGCAAGAGTTTGATCTATCAATTGGCTCCTCTTCGTCGTCGCTCTCTTAGTACGTCATATGCTTCGTTGATCTGATTGGTTTATTTGGCCCGTCTATCACCAACTTGGCCAATCAGCTAACCAGTATTTTCGCCCCTTCCCAAAATTACTTCAACGGAAGGTTTCCAGATGGATATGCGGAGCAAATCCATCTGGAGGAGTCAGGTTACTCAATTCAGACAACACATCAAACAGATCCATTATCCAGATAGAGAAATGTTAATAGAATAGACATCCATTATCTGTTCTAGGTTGTGTCCCTCTCTTCTTGTCCCTTTTCTTCTTGTTTTCCTCTCTATGTTTTGTACTCAGCTGACTTTTCATGCTGTCTCTAAAGGAATGAAAGATTTTTTCCAAGCACTAAGCTCACTTAGCTGATTGCTCCTTCCTGTGTTTCCAAAAAGGCCAAAGTAAATAACCCAGTCCTTCTTTTCACTGTAGACAAGCCATGATCTGCTTATCTGTTCTCCATTTTTCATTTGGATGAAATAATAGCTGCATGAATCATGACAGCAGACAAGATAGAGGAGAGCAGGAGGCGGGGTTACCAATCTACTCGCTCTGGAGAGCAGAGTTCGCTGCTTTTAGATGTTGTCTCCAAAGTCTCCAGTAGCAGAAAAAAGTCTCTAGATTTGGCGCTAGGAGCTTTTTAGAAATCAAAGTGCTAGAGGGGTCTGAAAAGTGGCTAAATATAGCGACTAAAGCGCTAAGTTGGCAACACTGCTCTTTGCATGGTTTGATTTCAAATGGTTTGCTGCTGTCTGTTTGGACCTTTCTGAACATGTGCAGCAAATGGACTGATCCAGTATGGTGGACACTGAAGGGGGGGGCTGAGACACTTAATATTATCAGCGTTCTGATGCATTTTAGCCAAAGGATTTTTATCAAAAACATAATTAATGTGCACAAATAAGGAATAGTTGTATTAACTATAGCCTACATGTAAACAGAGTTTTATGGGGCCCCCAGGAACTTGGGGCCCTACCTACTATTGCCAAATGGTAAATCCCCCCTTGTGAAGAAGCACTATTTTTCCGGTTACAAATCTTTCAATAAGTAATGCTCCGTCCACTTCCAGTTGTTTGATCTAGCTGAAATTCTGCATGTGCAATTATTTATGTCTCTATACATTAAGTGACATATATATATATACATATATTTTTTTTTTATATATCTCTAACGTTCTGCTCTCTCTGCTTTTTCTCATAGTAGCTTCATCTGGTCTGTTCCTGTTTGGCTGTGACTCCATCCTGGAGAGAAATATCAGCTGTGCTGCTGCCATCAACACCCTTGTTTATAGATGTTGGAGCTTGGCCTGTTTTCCAGTGTAGTCCTGTTTCTCTGACCGTGACTAACTGGATGTGCTCTCTTCATCCTCTGACATAGGAGCTGCCTTGGAGCTCATCTGCCTGGCTGTGTGTTTCCTGGACGAGGCCGCCTTTTACAGCTGCTTTTTGTGTCTCTGCTTCTGTCTCCTTGAACCCCAGTGGGCCTCAGCAGATGGCCGCTCACACTGAGCCTGGTTCTGCTGGAGGTTTCTTCCTGTTCAAAGGGAGTTTTTCCTCTCCACTGTCGCTACAAGCATGCTTAGTGTGGGGGATTGCTGAAGAGTCAATGAGTCGATGCAGTCAGCTGGTTTTCCTTAGATAGAAAACTTTGAATCAATCTGACTGGATGATCTGGTGAACTGGAAAGTGCCTTGAGATGACATGTGTTGTGAATTTGGCGCTATATAAATAAACTGAATTGAATTGAATATATACATGCACGGAGGGTACCACACCAAATCAAGCACCCTGACGCTGTACACTAGCCAAAAGGAAGGAGGCCGAGGACTAGTGAGAGTGAGAGCCCCTATCCAGGATATAAAAATACAAGATCCATCAGTACATCAAGGACAACGCTCCATCAGACGATCTGCTAAGTAATGGTCTCAGACAATGAGGAACAGAAGATGAGGTGCTGAAGGTTCCTTCATAAGACCATAAGGCCCCACACGGGATGTACCAGTGAAACATAACCCAAGTGGCGGATATCAGGAAAACCAACCAATAGTTGGTCTCAGGGACCTCTTTGCTACAAATGTTATTCTATACAAGAAAGCTACAATTATTACTGAAGAGGATTAGGGCCACTGAAAAAAAAGGTTAACTGATTTTTAAATTTTATTTCAGTTTAGTATGGGGAAAAGTCAGAATTCTGACATTAATCTCAGACTTTTGACTTTTTTTTCTCAGAATTCTGACTTTTTTCTCAGAATTCTGACTTTAATCTCAGAATTTTGGATCTTAATGTAGATGGGCACCATGAAGGCAGAGATGTGGAGCACTCAGCTTCACTGACAAAGATGTGAGCTGTTTGAGGTGGCCAGTGACACATTGGTGGAAAATGACGGAATTAGGCAACTTTTTACGTGCCCGAGGGGTCCCCTCATTAATGGAGGAGCAGAAGGTCATTAAAACAAGAGAGCTAGTCTCTAAAACAGACATGGCTATGGCTTGATGCTAACATGTTTGTTATCTGTCAGAATTCTCAGATTAAAGTCAGAATTCTGACTTTTTTCCCATATTAAACTGAAATAAAAATTAAAAATCTGTTACCTTTTTTTTTCCCACTGGCCCTAATCCGTAATAAGTAAATTATTGATGAAACACTACCAAAAAAAATATTTTAAAAAGTGCTATAAGTATAAATATTCTTGGTGTCATAGATTTTATTGCTGTTTCCTTTTACTAAAAGCGGTTAAATGCATAATTTACCATCTTGAAAAAGATCTATGTTGAATAATGATCATGTTTTTTGCCAGACTCTTTTATTCTGCTTATTATCTTTCACCAGATTTACCTCTTTTTTATTTGTCCTCCATCCGTCCTCCTCCGGACTCAGAGCTGTTTTTGATCAGCTGCTCATCTCTTTGTCAAATCATAAAACTAATATTTATTCTTTTGGTAAAGACACTTTTTTTACCAATTCTAAAAATATTTTCACTCAACTAAAATCACTGAAATTTTCAAACGATTAGACAATAAGCTTTTGATTGTAGCCCATGGCTACAAGCCTTATGTACTTGGACATCGGCCACCTGTTTGGTTGCAATGTTTAATTGTACTGTCCCTGTCAAATAAACAAATAAATAAATTAAACCATTTTCTCTTTATAAAATGTACTGCATGATCTGCAATTAGCCTAACAGCTATCTTTGAAAATGGACCAGTAGGTTCTATTTAATCGCACTCTATGCAGATGATCTTTATTTGTTAAAGACTTAAAATACTAGAACATAAGGGAGAATTAAAAATACATTTATTGCTACATATTCATATCATCTCACGCCTGGACCTCAAATTGTACACATACTTTACATTTTATGGTGAGAATGTTTGAGATTATTTTGGCGTTTCTTTATAATCACGTTTCAAATAAAGACCAAGCATCGCCTCTTTAGTAACACTGTATTGCTCAGATCATTAAATGTAAGTACATCTATAAACTGCACAAAACAGTCTTCATGATTAAAATAACAATTAAAAGCACATTATTAAGTTCACAAATTGTATAAAAGATAACTTATAACTTAAAAAAAAAAGATAATTTTCAATTAAAAACTTAAACATGCACAGAGTTTGCTTGACGACATCCGAGGAGCGATAATTACAAGAAGATGGTGGATTATCTCCACCGTCGACGCAGGAAATAAGATTTTTGTTGCAGTGCATTGAAGAAACATTGATCACCTTTACAGACACGGTTTGATCCCCATGTTTGATTAAAAAGAACATTCCTTGAGATCTGTTCATTCACAGAATGTTCAAACCCCTGCAGTATTTACACACTCACTCCCACACACATAGAGCCCACAATAAAAAAAAACACAGAAATATGAGAAAGTCCGTCCACTGAGCTTTGTGATATATATTGAAACGCTGAAAATATAACCAGCAAACCTTTTTTTTTTCCCATTTTAAACAGCACATGAAGCTCTACGTTATCAGATCCGTCCGTTCTGATGTATTGCAACAGAAATATTACCAATCAATCTAAAAAAATATGTACAAAACATCTGCAGCTTACAATGCATTTGTCTGATACAAATCATATTTAGGCACAAAGTTATAAAAAATCCATTTGGGAAGAGAAGGAATGATTGTCCAATAGCATCACGCTTTCCGGTCTGGGAGCCTGAGCTGCTCCGGATGAATTTACTGGAAACACTGGACACCTGACAGGAGCTGCATCCTCCTGGATCTAGACATCAGAGACACAGAAGGGTTAAAAAAATAATTTAACAACATTTGAAAAAGTTGATTCACTACAGGCATTGGATCAAATATCGTTCAGACACAGTGTCTTGTAAAAACGTTCATTCTCTTTTAGCTCTTTCCACACAGCAGCCAACCTGATTGCATGTTACCAACATTTTGTTTGAATGAGCAACAGAAAGTAGTACATTTTTTAGGATGGATTTATAGCCTCTTAACACCCTCCTTGACTATTTTCCATACCCAAATGGAAAAGCAAATAGATGAGGAACTGTAAGCCCAAATTGCATGCGTGATTCATCATTTGAATGCTAACACCTTCTAGGTTCTGGAAATATAAATATAAAATTGGGTGAGTTAAACACAGCTAAGCTGCATAAGCTAAAAGTCGTTTTTATTCTCGAAACTAATAGGTCTTGCTTCAACAGCAGTAATAAAGACAAGCTTGAGAATAGGTGTGTCTAATTGTATAAAATTTGTTCTACATCATGTCAGCCACAAATGCAGAAAATTTCATTTACAGCTCCAACAGTTCCAGAGCTGTGGGGCTTTGAACTTTTGGTGTCACCAGCGTCTCCAAATCTCTCCAGATGAGCCAGCTTGTTAACCTGACTCTGCCAGATGGATTTGCTCCGCATATCCATCTGGAAACCTTCCGTTGAAGTAATTTTGGGAAGGGGCGAAAATACTGTTTAGCTGATTGGCCTATGTTGGTGATAGACGGCAGAGATGGGAAGTAACGGAGTACAAATACTTCGTTACTGTACTCAAGTAGATTTTTCTGATATTTTTACTTTACTTTACTACTTATTTTTATGGAGACTTTTTACTTCTACTCCTTACATTTTTACATAAATATCTGTACTTTCTACTCCTTACATTTTAAAAAATTGTCTCGTTACTTTTGTTTTGAATCATTTCAATGGAGTTACCGTTATTATTTTTCACGTCATCAATACCAAATTCAATCTAATTGGATGGGAATCTACGTTGCATTTGACGCACCGCTACAAGATGAATCGACAGATTCGGCGGTATTCATTGGCGGCAAATCATTGCAGCTTGGTGGCGGTGGCGTTAGCATAGTAGCATGGACGACGAGATGATTGAAAATGAACACAACGGAGATCTAGTCCTATTGGCAGACATCCATTTAAAATGTAGGCAACGGCATGAAAAAAGTGGTTTCTACTTTTACTTTTATACTTTAAGTAAATTTACAAGCCTGTACTTTGTTACTTTTACTTGAGTAAAGAAGTTTAATCAGTACTTCCACTTTTACCAGAGTATTTTTCAACACAAGTATCTGTACTTTTACTCAAGTACCGAAAGTGAGTACTTTTGCCATCTCTGATAGACGGGCCAAATAAACCAATCAGATCAACGAAGCATATGACGTACTAACAGAGCGACGACGAAGAGGAGCCAATTGATAGATCAAACTCTTGCTGAAACCAGTCGGGAGAAGAGCAAAAACATCTTTTCCTCTGAGAAAAGCCTCCAGAGCAGTGTTTTGCTCTGCTTTCAGTGAAGAAATACTCTGTAATTCCGATAAAACTTGCTCGATAGCCACGCTAACGCTAGTTTCATCGGCTGAAGCCGCCATGTTCTTTAGACTGAACTGTCGCGCTTCTCGTTGCGTCACACCTCAACCCGCCTCAAAGCCAACGCTGATTGGACGTTCGTTTGGTGAACGGCTCCAAATTTTCTTTAACGGAGAGTCTCCAGACTGATCTGCGAGTGAAACCTTGAAAGCTCGCGAGATCAGGATGGTCTCACCAGGCTACCAGCTTGTGCCAAATTGTGCCAAATGCTTTTATTTGACCCATAGAATCACACTGAAGCATTTTGATGACCACAAAACATTTATAAAGCAATTTTTTTTTCAACTTTTTGTTTCAGAATCAGTGTATATAACAAAAAAAGAAAACATTTATAAACCTAAAATACATAATAAATAGTGAAAGCTAAAAAAATGACCAGCTAACTTTTCCGATTTCAAAAACTGGACTTTATGTGGGGATTTTCTTTCTTCCGTTCCACTTTGCTGGGTCCTCGTCAAACACCGTTAAACATGCTCCAACTCCTTCTCTCTGTGCCTTCCTCCTTATGATTGTGATTCCCCTGATGTCTCCATGGTTTCTGGTACGTTTAGACTAGTTTTCATGTTTTTGATTTTTGGGTTTTTGGACTCCTGGTTTCATGTTTGTTTGGACTTTGTTTTCTTTTTGGATAACCTGCCTCTGGTTTCTGTTAAGTCATTATTAAATCCACAAGAGATTCACCTCTGCCTCCCTGCCTCTGGGTCTTTGGGTCAACTAACCATAGCCAAATCGTGACACTTTATGGATGAAGGGAGTAAAAACTTTATTAAACTTTGGTAAAAACTGATAATACAGCTTCTGGTTGCCTTCAAACACTGGAAAAAATCTAAATCTAGATAAGTCATTTTTCCTCAAAATAAGTGCATTTGTTCTTGGATTGAGGAGGTAAAACAGACATTATGCCAATGGAACAAGACAATTTACCTTTATAATAAGAAAACAAAATTGCATTGTCCTTTTTCAAGTGCATCTTATCTAAATATCTTATTTTAAGAGTAAAAACACTCATTCCATTGGCAAATCACCTCATTCAAATATTCAAATTAAGGGTAAATACACTTAATTTAAGAATGTTTGTACTTATTTCTAGGTCGTTTTTCCAGTGAAGGTATGTAGCTGTGGCTGCTTTGTCATGTTTACATTTTGACATGCTGCTAAATCTGTGTTAATTGTGCTTTGGTGCTCGCTGTGTCCATAAAATGTACTTGGTGGTTGAATTGTGGAGAATCTAAGCTTTCCAACGATGTCTAACATGTTTATATTGGTAAAAAATGTTGCTGTTGTAATTTTTATGCATTCCGAGTTTTTAATAGTTGTGAACGCTATAAAAATGGTCGCCATCCATCGGGGGGGTTTTCAGAGGATATTCATCTCCCTTTACGCTGATACTCTTCTATGCCCACATGTAATCTGAGTCTGAACTATTTTACAGTAGGATGGAGAAATTCCCCAAAAGGCCTGAAGTTTTGCAGCAAAAGTTGGATTCTGTTGACTAATGGAGGCTGAATGCAACTGCAAGCCAATTTCTGATTTTTATTTGCATTGTTAATTTAGATCAAATACGTCGCCAACTGTGAAAGTGGCTTGAAAATACTGTGGAAAAGTTCAAGGAATATAAACACTAATGCAAGCCACTGTTATAGTTTGTATAGTGACTGAAACTGATCATTAATGTAAATGAGTGAAATACTTTATGTGGGCTTTAGGTTGTCTGTAAGAGATGCTCAGAGGTGACCCATGGGGTTTGAAGGGTCTGTCAGACTTGGATGAAAAGCGAGATGTACAGACTGTGGATCCGACATGATGCCGGACGCCTTCTCTTCCTCTCTTCTCCGTAGACATGCAGCCTTGGGGTTCAGGTTTCTTTCTGCAAGATGCAACATTTGAGCCGTTACCATAACACTGAACGGAGAAACTCAGAGTTTGAATAGAAATGTTGCCTTGAAAAACTAAAACCAAATTTAAAAAGATACAAAAATAAAAAGCCTAATAAATCCTAAATTGTTTGTATACATTAGTAATTTTTCACTTTTAATGTCTAACTGCATAATCAAGATGTATAAGTGTCATAAATTATGATGTTTTACCCCAAAGACAATAAATCATTGTTTTAACCCCTGCATTCAAAAACATAAACAAATGAAGTTTTACATTTTAAACATATAATACATAATAATTCTGGGCTAATTTTTTTTAATTAAAATTCCGATGAGATCCGTCCCTTTCAGGACCTTCCTGTTGCTCTGCTGCACTGACCTCTGACCTGCTGCTCCAGACTCAGGATCACTGCCACCGCCTGGTGCAGCACCAGCAGTTTGGTCTGCGGCTTCTCACTCTTCAGGTGCAGCTGACACATGTGGCCCAGCTCCTTGAAGGCCTCGTTGATATCCCGCACACGCAGGCGTTCTCTGGCGTTGTTGGCCATCCTCCTCTCTCGCTCGCGTTCGGCCTTCTGCTCGGGGCTCAGGTCTTCGTCCTCATGGATGCTGCAGCAGGAAACAGTGGGAGAAAGAAAATGTTTTGAGCTTCTGATTTGCTGATGAAGGTTCTCAGTCATCCAGATCATAGTCATTCCGTAAAAATTCAAAAAATATCCACTGGACTTGGCTTCCAAGAATTGATTTTCGCCACCTCTCCAGGAAGCTTTCTCTATTCAAATGAATTGAGAAAGCTTCCTGGAGAGGTGGCGAAATGTCTTCAAATCTTGGAAACCAAGTCCAGTGGATATTGTTTTAATTTTTACGGAAAGAGCTTCTGATTTATGTAGAAAAACTTTGAATAAGCTTCCAATGAGAGGAGAGGAGAGGAGAGGAGAGGAGAGGAGAGGAGAGGAGAGGAGAGGAGAGGAGAGGAGAGGAGAGGAGAGGAGAGGAGAGGAGAGGAGAGGAGAGGAGAGGAGAGGTTATGTTGAGGTTTTCTCTGCCCTCTTCTGGTCACTTGATTTATTGAGATGCTGGTGAAAAAAGCTAAGATAAAAAAAAAAAAATCATAATAATTTACTCGAAACGAAGTCATTTAGAATGTTTTTAGAGCATAAACAGTAGTTTATAGGATTTCCTGAAAGCGCGTTCACGAGTCTACGGAAACCGCGGCAGACCAAACCAGATGAAAGTGCGCATTCAGCTCGGCAAAGAACTCATGCTCTTCCTCAACACTGAAGTCCTCAGACATTTTTCTTTCGTTGTTTCTTTCTTTGCACAGGTAAACAGCACATTTCTTCTTCTACGCTTGCATTATCGGCAGAGCAGACGCTGAATGCGCACTTTCATCTGGTTTGGTCTGCCGCGGTTTCCGTAGACTCGTGAACGCGCTTTCAGGAAATCCTATAAACTACTGTTTATGCTCTAAAAACATTCTAAATGACTTCGTTTCGAGTAAATTATTATGATTTTTTTTTTTTCTGGACGCTACCCACTCTGGACGCTACCCACAAGTGTCCTGGACGCTACCCACTCAGGACACTTGGAATACATTGGACGAGCAGTATGGAGGAATATTGACACGTTTTTTGTGGACTTTTATGGACCTTTCTGCCTCGGGCGCCATAGACCTCCATTATTTGAATGTCAGCAGACAGCAAGAAGCCTCCCAGATCTCCAGATGCATTTGAGATATCAAAAAAGTACTCCAGAGTGTTGTTCAGCATGGGGGTGAGTAGAAAATGAAGGCTAATCATGTTTTGGGTGTACTATTCCTTTAACTATACATGTAAACAGTTTTATGGGCCCCCCAAGAATTTGGGGCCCTAGGCACCTCCCTAGTACTGCCTAATGGTAAACCTGCAGGGTGCAACTGGAAACTAGATATTGCTTTACTTTTTGGGAGTTTCCTTGCTTAATATTACTTAAACTAAGATTAGATCTGTGAAACTAATAAGCCAAATCAATAGAAGATTAATTATTCTGATCTACTTTTACAGATTTTTACAAAAGGTTGGAAACGTTTCCTACTGAGGTAAATATCTGCAGAGAAAAAGTTGTTTAGAAATGCTGGATTCCCACAGCATAAGGTTTAAACATCCTTTAAAACTATTCAGTTGTAATACTGATATAATAAAATAAGAGCACTGTGTTTTTAAGAATGTTTGATAATGATTTTGTTGAAGTGTGTATTTTAAATGTATTTTTTCCTGCTCTAATGATCCACTGTTACCTGTTTTGAGTGCTGTTTTCTCCATGTGTTTTGCTTTCGCTCTCATCATCTGATCTTGGGCTGTTTGAGCCATGGTCGTGGTCATTGTGCATCATCTCCTCCCCTTCCCTGCTCTCCATCTTTAACTCCAGGTTACTCTGGACTCCACCTGTGCAATATCAAAGCATAATGAAATAGAATCATCTGAAAAAAGGGCTAAAAGGTCAATCGTTTGGTTGATTTTCTGGGAGGATTTCCTCTACCTCCTCCTGTCCCTTGCATAAACACGGCCCTCTGCCTGGGAGGGTAGGGATGGCCATTTTGTGCTCTGCTCTGGAAGGCTGAATGATTGTTGTTCATGGAGACGGCTTCCACCTTAAAGAATCACAGAGACAAAGATCAGTTCAGTGGATCCGGTTATCGTTTGTGTTTTAAACTGTTAAGAATTAAGCTAAACTTATTACTAAACAATAATGCACATCTGAAGATACACTCAATGCTTTGCATGGATATTTACAACTTTTAACCTTTTTTCACATTTTGTCACATTACAAGAGCAGACATGGAGCATTCTGTTGCAGTTTTACATGAGGTGCCAAAGTAGTGCATGCTTATGAATTTGATTTCTTTTACAAATGAATATCCACTACATGCCTATTCCCCTAAAATCTGGTAAAATAACATTCACTGCCATTAAAGCTGCAAGCTTCAGGTCATCAGAGTCAAAAAATGAACTTTTATGCCTCTATGAATAACTCTGTATGCAGTTGATTCCTGAACATTAGTCTGAAATGAGAACCTCCACAGTAAAACATGGTGGTAGCAGCATCATACTGTGGGGAGATTTTACTGCAGCCATTTTGCAGTTTTAATTGTGGTAAAAGGTTGGTGAAAATTCCATTTATGTGTAATAAATTCAAGAGTGAGACACTGCGAGTCCTAAATGATCTGTTTTAGTCCAGGAAACCAGGAGCAGATCTCCTGCTCCACAAATATTTAAATTCCAGACAAGTTTAATCCCTTTACTAAACCACTGTATGCCCTTTAAATGCCCCAGGATAGTGAGAGAATTTAATACACCCTACGGATTACGCTAAATACCCCCCTTCCCCTGTACATGGTGGGCTTCCACTCTAGCTGGGCTAAAATCCCACTGTCTGCTAAAACAGACATGTTTAAAAAGGAGGGGGCAATGCAGAATTACACTGGAAAAAATCTAAATCTAGATAAGTAATTTTTTTTCTCAAAATAAGTGCATTTGTTCTTGAATTGAGAAGGTAAATGGGACATTTTAAAAATGGAACAAGACAATTTACATTTAAAATAAGAAAACACAATTGTATTGTCTTATTTCAAGCGCATTTTATCTAAATATTTTATTCTAAGAGCAAAAATACTCATTCCATTGGCAAATCATCTCATTTACCTACTGAAATTAAAAGTGAATACACCTAATTTAAGAAAATTTTACTTATTTCTAGATCGTTTTTCCAGTGTACAGTCTAAAAAAAAAACTTTTAACACTTCTTAATCCTTTAAAGTAATGTTTATTAACCATAGTCGGAGTGTGGCAGGTCAGAGGTAGCGTGCCGATGGGGCCCGGCTGGTTCTGGTGGGACTGGCTGAGCAAGCCATGGATGTCACCGGGCAGACAGGAGGTGGGGCCCACGGCGTGGTTCCTCAGAACGTGGATAACGTCGTCCAGTCTGTCCAGGCGGTCCTCCACCTGAGACTAAAACATCAGGAGACAATTATCAGACACTTTATTCATAATCTTTCATCCAGATCTTTGGTTTAACACATTTCCAGCTTAAACATTAAATTAATTGTTTAATATTTTTGGGAAACTATTTACTTTCTGTTTCTTTTGAGAACTATTTATTTACAGGCTTGTAAGATTTGTTGTTTGAATATCTTTACTTCAATATCTGAGCTATCTCTATAGTTCTGCTGCTATAGGCTTAGACTGCTGGAGGACATAGGGACCCCTTTTCCATCATTCTGCTTCATTCTATCTCTATTCTCCCACTCCCACACGTTCTGCTCTCTCTGCTTTTTCTCATAGTAGCTTCATCTGGTCTGTTCCTGTTTGGCTGTGACTCCATCCTGGAGAGAAATATCAGCTGTGCTGCTGCCATCAACACCTTGGTTTCTAGATGTTGGAGCTTGGCCTGTTTTCCAGTGTAGTCCTGTTTCTCTTCACCGACTGGATTCGCTCTCTTCATCCTCTTTTTAGAAGATTTAAAAAATGTTTCAATGCAGCTAGTCTGGACTCTGGTTTAGTAAATCCTAAACCTTCCTATTACTTCTGGTCAACAGAAAAATGCTGATTGAATTCAAATATAATCTGACTGTGTCCTGCTGTGCTTTCAATTGAAATATTGAAATTAGTTCAGCAGATAAGGCTCATATTTAATTAGTATATTTGAAAATCAAACAAACATTATTGCATCTTGATGGGATTCACATAATAATACATCACAATGTATTGCATGAATGTTAAGAGGAAGAAAATTATTTTTTTTTTCTATTTAAATGAAGGAGAATTTGAAGTGATGTTGGTTAAAGATAATTTGTCAGTAAACAGCATAATGAAGGCGACAGAAAGCTGTAGGTCAAAGATAGTTTGGGTAACAATCTGTTCTTAAATGCCTCATAAACAACTTTAAAGTCAAACAGTACAGCTACAAACCAACCAAGCTGCCATAAAATGTAAGGCTGGACAAGGAGAGAAAGAATCAGAGAAGCAGCAAGAAGTTCCATGGTAACTCTGGAGGAGCTGCAGATGTCCACAGCTCCAGTGGAAGAACAGACTCAAAGGACAACTGTTTGTTTTTAACTCCACAAATCTGGCAAATGTTTAAAAATGGCGACGAGAAACCCAGTGTTGAAAGTGAGCTAAAGAAAATCACATTTCGCATCGAGCTAAAGTGAAGATATGAAACATCATGTTCAGAAAACCGGATCATTCAGAAGCTACAAGAGAAAGAACAACAAACCTGAAGCATAAATCCTGACTTTGTTTACAAAGTGACCAGAAAAACTGAACAGATTCATAATAATTTCTATGTATATTAATACAGAGTCATCCAGATTAGTATGGAGGATAAAAAGTGCCAAAATTAAATAAATAAATACAGCATTAAATAAATAATTAAATGTGTCAATAATTATTATTCATTAATTAAAACCACGTCACTAATATAAAGTGCCACAATTAAATAAATAAATACAGCGATAAACAATTAATTAAATGTGTAATTCATTAAATAAATAAGAAATTAAATATATAAATGTGTCATTAATTTAATAAAATACGTCTTAATTTTATTAAAAAAAAAATATATATAATATTTTCAGTGTGCATTTAATTATTTCATGGTCCTGTGTCGCAGTGCATCGAAACCATTAAAAGAATCTGTCAAACTCACCCATCAAAGTTAGGGGGCGGGGTTAACGCGAATCGAGTCTCTGTAATCGATTTGCTTCGCCTTAATGTGCAGGGTGACCAATCAGGTGTTAGATAACCGCCCCCTAACCTTGATGGGTGAGTTTGACAGATTCTTTTAATGGTTTCGATGCACTGCGACACAGGACCATGAAATAATTAAATGCACACTGAAATAATTATATATATTTTTTTTTTAAGAAAATGAAGACGTATTTTATTAAATTAATGACACATTTATATATTTAATTCCTTATTTATTTAACGAATTACACATTTAAATAATTGTTTTTCGCTGTATTTATTTATTTAATTGTGGCACTTTATATTAGTGACGTGGTTTTAATTAATGAATAATAATTATTGACACATTTAATTATTTATTTAATGCTGTATTTATTTATTTAATTATGGCCCTTTTTATCCTCCATAGGTTAGGGCTGCGACGAACGGTTACTTTGCAAATGGATTAATCTGTCAATCATTTTTTCAATTAATCAATAGATAATTGGATAGCAAAAGATTCCTTAAAGATTATTTTTAGCAAAATTAAACAAAGTGAAACTAAAACTTTTCCACTCGAGTTCTGAATAGAGCATAAAGAAAAATTATAATAATTTTTTTTTTATCTTAAACGCAAAATGTTTACATATTATTTTAAAATTTTGGTATAATTACTGATCTATGTGGGTCACTCTGTCAGCTAAAGGTATGTTTTTTAGTCTCTATACTCCAGTTAATGATTAATTTAATTACTAATTTAGTTGACGATTATTTCAGTAATCGATTAATCTGAGTAATTGTTTCAGCCCTAATCCAGATTGCTCCCTGCTCTGGTTTAATTGCTACATAATCCCGTCTGAAAATTTATGTTTTTTATGTTACTTTTTGTCATGTTTCTGCACATTTCTCTTCATTTAAATGCATGGTATTCATATTAGTTCACATTCTGTCTCGATTTAACAGAGACGAGTCTTTAAATGGAATAAAATGGATCCAGTGGATCAGTTGTTTACCATCGATATGAGTGAGGACTCAAAGTGCGGAGACACCGGCGGCTGGACTGAACTGCGGCTCCACAGATTGTTTCCTAAAAGAAAGCAAACCACAGAGGTGAGCTATGATGACATCCTGAGGGGAAAAGTTTAACGAAATAATCCGCTTGCTTTTCTACCTGTAGATTCAGCTGTGTTTGGCAGCGGGGACGGAGACCTCACTGGTGTGGAGGAGCTGGAGGGGAAGCTGCTGCTGGTGTGATCGGGGGAATAGATCTAAAAGCAAGAGAGGGACCCGGGCGTGCATTATTTTTAAAGCACAACTTGTCATTTTTGTGCAAGCTTTAACAGCTGCTGCCAAAACCCCTGGAGCTTCTCTGTAACCTGAACTAAACTCATCTCTTCCTGCGATTTTACTGCAGTGCAGCCAATAAAACGCCCTGATACACAACTCTAACCCTATTTTATGTGTAGAGCTGTTCTGTTGCCCCAGAGGAAGTTATGCATTATAAGAGTGGGACCCTTAGCTTTGGTTTTATGCTCTGACCTGACCTAAGAAGTGGCTCTAATGGGACTAAGGTGATGGATACTTACAGAGGCCAGAGCTTTTCCCAAGGTATCCCCTGTCTGTGACGCTCCTGACACAGTTAGGTGGCTTCCTGAGACTGAAAAAAACTTTATTGGAACTTTACAAGCAGAATTTACTTCAGTATAAAAGATATGGCTTCAGAATCCTCACCTGCTGTATTCTCTGAGGGGTTCTCAGAGGGAGAGCGAGATACTGCGTTGTTACGGTGAAAGGTGGACATCGGCGGTAGACCCCTGTTCATTTCAGCCGATATCATCGACTGAGGAGAGAAGTCCTGAGCAGACAGCAAACGGACATGAATAAAGCAGCAGTTATTTTATCTTTTTATATCAGGGCTGGTGAAAGCAAACTCACCAGGTTTGCACGTGTGGGCTGCAGGCAGCTGTAGCTCCCCAGCTGTGTTTGGTGGCCCACAGAAGGCCCCAGGGCCCCTTCATAGCCATGCTGGTTCAGCCCGTTTACAGCGCTCCAGATGTCAGGAGAATTACTCATCCCTTCTAAAATAAAGACGCAGATTTTATCATCTGAAAAGCTGCAGTACCTGAAACATCCAGATAAAAATCACAGAGCAAAAAAAAAAGTCATGCTAAAGGCCTGGTTCTATCATCTCAATCGAAAAGCTTAAAAAAAATCAAGTTTGACCATTTTTTTCTCTTTCCACATCTGTATTTATGGTCTTTATAAAAGTAAACTTAAATATATTTGTAATAATTTATTCATTAATAAAGAATAATACAACAAACTTCATGTTTTCGTCAGTTGTTGCATTTGCCATTAAATTACATTTGGTCACATATATTTTAGTCTCTATTACTATATCCGTCACCTATCAAGCAGGTCTTTAGATAACTTTATTAATCAATTATGATTTATAGTCTTCCAGTTCTGTATAGTATGTAATTTAATGTAATCAGTGTTGTAGTACTCGAGATCGGTCTTGGTCTCGAGACCATTTTTTGATGGTCTCGGTCTGGTCTTGGACTTGACGGCATTTGGTCTCGGTCTCGGGCGCCACAACTGTGGAAATAACGCTAATCATCAGAATATTATCAGTTTCTTTAAGATCCTTCTTTTTATTGGATGCTTGGATTCAAATCCAAGCAATAACTTATGGGAGAATTATCCTGCCATAATGCAAGAGCACATAATTTCAATTTGAGAAAAGAATTTCATCTTCTTGCACTCAAAACTTATAATGCTCACACTCAAAACATGCGCTCTCTCTCAAATATTTTCTCTTCTCTCTCAAATCTTTGTTTCTTCTCTCAGATTTAATGCTTCTTGCACAGATATTTTCTCCTCTCGCTTGCCTCCTTCTCTTCGCGCACAAACCGCGCTCTGCTCGAGTCTCAGATACGCTCGCAAACCCGTAGGCCTTTTTTTTGCTCTCTCTCAGATTGGATCGGATCGTCGCCTAGCAACCTTTCCAGCCCATAGAACGACAGCCTCGGAAAGGGTGCGCTCAGAATTCTGACTTTAATCTCAGAATTCTGAGAAAAAAGTCAGGATTCTGAGATTAAAGTCAGAATTCTGACTTTTTTCCCATACTATACTGAAACAAAATAAAAAAAATCTGTTAACTTTTTTTTTTTTTTCCAGTGGCCCTAATCCTCTTCCGTAGTATAGCGAGTCACATATCAGAGGAAATATATATTTATAATCCTTTAATTTAAGATAATGCTTGAAACCTACAAATAAAATAAACTAAAGATGTTCATAAATGATCATTAGAGAGATTAGAAAAATGTAATCTAGAACAGCAGTTAACTGGGTATCATTGACCAGTTATTGCTTCAACTCAGAATAAAGCTTTTTTTTATTTGCTTTTTAAAGGTAAGTTAATTTAAATGCATGAAATGATTTACATTAAAAACAAAGAAAGCAAAAAGATAAACAGCTTAACCCATTTGTTTTACTGGCCTTAAACTCACCAAAAAAGGAGCTTGCAAACACATTGCTGGCGACTTTGCCTGATGAGTGGGAAGTTGAGTTGTGGTTGAGGCCGTCAGAGCTGGGAGGTTGCCCATAAACCTAAGAATATAAATAAGAACCAGTCATAAACGGCCACATTTCCATTTGCAGTTAGCTGTGCTTTAAAGCTAAATCCAGTTAGCGTGTAAAAAGCAGTTTGGTTGTTTGTTAATTTAGACGTTTGCAGCAAAGGTTAAATTAAACCTAAATATCAGTTGAATGAGCAGGATTTAAAACATTAATCTGTGCTGCATAATCTATGTTTACTTCAGCTTAGTCTCACAAACAGATTACCTGAAATGTTATTTTTGGTCAGCTGTGTTTTAGACCTAAAAACAATATCTCTGCACTGCCTAATTCTTACTGTTGAAACTTGAAAGTTTCAGTACAGTTAAGCTACCTGAGCTATCTCTATAGTTCTGCTGCTATAGGCTTAGACTGCTGGAGGACATAGGGACCCCTTTTTCATCATTCTGCTTCATTCTATCTCTATTCTCCCACTCTGCAGAATCTGTTAGTTCAATCTCTAACGTTCTGCTCTCTCTGCTTTTTCTCATAGTAGCTTCATCTGGTCTGTTCCTGTTTGGCTGTGACTCCATCCTGGAGAGAAATATCAGCTGTGCTGCTGCCATCAACACCTTTGTTTCTAGATGTTGGAGCTTGGCCTGTTTTCCAGTGTAGTCCTGTTTCTCTGACTGTGACTAACTGGATGTGCTCTCTTCATCCTCTGACATGGGAGCTGGCTCGGAGCTCGTCTACCTGGCTGTGTGTTTCCTGGACGGGGCCGCCTGTGGAGCTGGTTGACAGTTGCCTTTTGTATCTATGCTTCTTTTTCTATGTCTGCTTCTGTCTCCTTGAACCCCAGTGGGCCTCAGCAGATGGCCGCTCACACTGAGCCTGGTTCTGCTGGAGGTTTCTTCCTGTTCAAAGGGAGTTTTTCCTCCCCACTGTCGCTACAAGCATGCTTAGTGTGAGGGATTGCTGAAGAGTCAATGAGTCGATGCAATCAGCTGGTTTTCCTTAGATAGAAAACTTTGAATCAATCTGACTGGATGATCTGGTGAACTGGAAAGTGACCTGAGATGATATGATGTGAATTGGAGCTATAGAAATAAACTGAATAGAATTAAGTTTTTTTTTTTTGCCAATTCATGACAAATGTTCCACACAAAAAAAAAGGAAGGCACAGGAGGCCTGGGTCGTTTTATATTTTATATTATCTCTGCCCTCCTGGAGGAATCTTCGCTGAACTTTTGGATAAATTTCGGTGGACCAGACATTCCTGAGAAGCGTCACCATAGTTCCATGTTTTCTCCTTCACTGTGGTTCCTCATTGTCCCCAAGCCAAACAAATGTCTGTTTTGTTTTTTTTTCTTGCTCTGCATTAGCTGGTCACAAACATTTTATGTGGCAGAAATCTGAAGAAACATGTACAAAAACAACAGAGAGTGCAGAGGCTCCTTCAGAGCCGTAGTGATAATCCCAAAGATACAGATCCATGCACCTCCTCATCCGGATTTGGGAACCATTCACCACCAGAAATCCCTGCGCTTATCACAATCAGCTTCAGCTGGGAGTCAGTTTCCCAAAAAACTGTTCAATTACAACACTTGTATTGATTCGTGACAAAGACACAAAACAACCAAACTGGTTCCTTTACCAAACATCCTTCCTTTCATTGGATGGAGATATTTTCAAAGGCAAACCAGTGTTAGATACCATTTCTAATTAAATCAGACATTACAACAAGCGGCTCATATGCTCCCACACACATACAGCAAAACCCTCAGATAGATGCTCGCCTGGCCAAAACCCACCAAGAGGCTATGGCTGCACCTGCACTCCTCTCCACTGCTTTGATGTGCCCCAGGAAATGAAAATAAACCTCCCTGCCTTGCATCAATGGGGTGTCAGTTACCCGGACGACAAGTTCTGCAGAGCAGGCCGATAATAGCGAATCTCTTGAGTACGCTTGTGCAAGGCTCGCACATTTAAGTAATCCATGCACACACACACACACACACTGAGCCGTGACCCTGGCTGGCAAGAGTCCCATGGTGATTGTGGGCTTGGTCAAACAGAAGAGCCCCTGTCGACACTGGGCCCGTCTGAGCCGCCACGGGCAGCATATGGCAGAGGATAAAGCCAATTGTCCTCCTTACCATCAGCATAGCAGGCGACCCGTTAATAATGGTCACACCCCCGCCCCAGCACGCCCTCTCTGGCCCCCACTGCAAAGGGGCCAACGCTGTGACACCCTGTTTTACCATAGCATTGATTTAGAAGCCATCCATCATTGAATCCCAAATGATAATAGACTTTTTCTTTGTGCAGTTCAAGCTGCAAGTTAGATGCAAACTCCAAATCAATATTTTCTGGAAGAACTATGCTATGTTAAACAAACTTATAGGCTAAAAGTATTAAAAGTCAGGGGTGTGTATATAATGCTTCAGAAAGAACAGCTCCTGTTGTAAACACGCACACACAGAGCGTCAAGATGTAAGATAAGTGAAAGATCAACTTGCTATTCAAGGCCCATGCCCCGCTCCACCGTGGCCAACTCCGGCCACATGCAACCAATTTTCTGCCTCTGTGATCCACGATGTCTGGATGTGGTTAGTCTCTCCAAGATCAAAGCTGCCTTTGATAATGGCTGCAGCGGTGCAGGGACTGCTCCAACGTAGTGGGGTTAAATCAAATAGAAATAGAGGCAATCTGCTTCATGTCAAGATGTTTTTCTGCTGCCAGGCTTGGCTGGATAGCATAGAGCAAACAGGAAGTCTAACTGAAGCATTTTAACAAACAAAGCTTGTTTGTTTCTACAATAGAAAAGTAGTAAGAATGAATTTTGAAGAATGGATTTTAATCTGTTTTTCCTTTGAATTTACTCTGATCTGGGAATTTTCTTTCCTCTTTTCTAGCAAAATGTATAAAAATGCAGATATAAAAAACAAAACCAGAAGTTTACACAATATGCTACACATCTTTTAGACATCGATAAAAATAAAAAAAGGTTAGAGAAACATGTTTGAATGCGTAAACCTAGGTAACTGAGTCAAAACTACTATTTCTATTTGAGTAAGTTGTGACACAAAACACAAAACAAATATATATAAATTAAAACTGGATTTAGCAGGTCAGAAAATCACCCAGAAAAGCCTGAAAAAATGCATTTCTAGGGGATAAATCAAAGCCTGGTGCTAAGAGATCAAAGGAAAATTAAATCTTTTATATAAACTAGATTAAAGATCTGTTTAAAAGAAAAAAAAATTTCAACAATGGTCATGATTTCACTCTTTTCTTCCATGCATTAAGAAACATCTGCAACAGCTTCAAACCGAGCTCCCATCTTATTACAGCAATGACTCATTTTAAAGACAGAGCTTTCTCTATCTGACCTCAAATCAAACCCCAGTCAGCATTAAATATCCTGTTCAAAGCACAAAATCTTTGACATTTCTCCTGAAAATTTCAACTGGCAAAAGGATCAAATCAGAACTGTTTAAACAAGTTGTAGCAAAACACAAGAAACAAACAAACAGAAAAGCTAAGAAGACATTTCCAGGTTTATTCTGCCTTATTACCGTGCAGAAAACCTAATCTGTAGGAAAACATACTCACTGGCTTCATGTTGTAGCAGTACATCAATGAGTTGTTGCCTGTCCCAGTGGCAGGATGAGCACAGTACATAACTCTGTTTGGATCAGAAGGACACTTCTCACTGCTCTCCACACACACAGCTCCTCTGTCCAACTCTCTCCTCATGTGTGGGGTGTATAGTTCACATGCTCTCCTTCCTCTATCCCACCCCTGCTGGTCATGCAGCAACCAGCAGACAACTTATGCAAATCAGGGCTGGACCATTTCAGGCAGCTGAGGGGGTGGCCAGAAGATGACTCTTTCACATCATTTTCTTTCTATATGTAGAAAATGATTATATAAAGAGAACATTGGGTATCATTTCACAATGTGGTGATGGAGGATTTTGTAAGCAAAAAAGCAATCATACATTCATATAAAACTAAAAACAATAAAGGAATTCTCAAATCTGTGTTTAAGTGAATAACCCCTCAAAAAGCAGAAAACAATTATGATGATTGCAGATTTATTTCTCAGTATTTCATCCTGTTTTCATTCGATCTGGTGTAAATGTAAAGTTGTTAGGGCTAGAAATCCCTCCTCTGGACCAACAAGCAGTGATGACGCCGCTGAGATAATCTCCTGTTATACAGGTAGAGGTTTCCAGTAAACACTGGATACTACAGCCTTGTCTGACCTACATTTACAAATAGATCCAGGTCTTAATTTGCAGGCACGTGTGGCATGGCGAGCTCCACCAGTGCCTGGTTCTGAGGTCATTTGGTCTGTCTGGCTGATCGTCTGCAACATCATGTATGAGGAGTTTCACTGCAAAAACAATCTAAAAATGAGTAAAAATGTCTTAAATTAAGTGTATTTACCCTTAATTTGAGCAGATAATTAAGATGATTTGCAAATAGAATTAGTATTTTTACTCTTAAAATAAGATAATTAGATAATATGCACTTGTAATAAGGTAATATCATTGATTTTTTTTCCTGTTTTAAATGTAAATGTTCTTGTTCCATTAATTCAAGAAGAAAAAAATGCACTTATTTTAAGATAAAAATCCCTTATTGAGATTAGATTTTTTTGCAGTGTGTTTACACAGCAAAAAATCTAAATCTAGATAAGTCATTTTTTCTTAAAATAAGTGCATTTGTTCTTGAATTGAGGAGTTTAAAGAGACATCTTGCCAATGGAACAAGAACATTTACACTTAAAATAAGAAAACACCATTGCATTGTCTTATTTCAAGTGCATATTATCTAAATATCTTATTTTAATAGTAAAATTAATCATTCCATTGGCAAAATATCTCATTTACCTACTGAAATTAAGGGTGAATACACTTAATTTAAGACATTTTTACTTATTTCTAGATCGTTTTTGCAGTGTATTTTGTATGAGGTTAAATCAGTTGCCTGCTACCCAGCATCCATTATTCAACTGAAGCACAAGGGGGACCAAAAACAGCTGAAAAAGAGACATTCACAAAATGAGAGCGAGTGAGTTTTATTAAAACATGCTTCATGGTTGACCCCTATCTGAGTAAAGGGGGGGGGGGGGGGGGGGGGAGTTGGCTCAATGCACAGAGCTACAGTATGGCACCCGGTCCTGGCACGGCTTTGTGTTTTACATAACCTCGCAAGAATCCAATCAAAGGATTCCTGCTGAGACAGCAACAGAGTCTTTTTCCAAACACACTACTGACCCTTCAGGAAATACAGAGCGCAATATATTAGTGCTGGGACAAACAAAAATAATGTTCATTTCTGTGTAGTTGATGTAAAGAATGTAAAATTTTATATTTTAATGAATTATGCGTCATGTTGTTTTGCAAACATTTTAGAAGCATTTTTAAGTGAGAGATGCAGCCAGTAAAGACAAGAATCAGCTTTGTGTGTAAAGGGATTTTTATTGGGTAAATATCAAATAGCCGAACATGTTTCTTAACTGTTCTCTGTATAATAAGATGGCAGCAATGAAATAGGATATATTCTGACTTAAAATTATACACAATTAACCACTTATACTGATACTGATAGTGCAGAGAGGATGGATGGATGGATGGATGGATGGATGGATGGATGGATGGATGATGGATGGATGATAGATGGATGGATGGATGGATGGATGATAGATGGATGGATGGATTATATATTTTTGGGGGGGTTTATATAGGGTTTTTTTATGATATGGTGGATATAAGGGAATTTTATTGGTTTTGTAAGGGGGATGGATGGGATGGATGGTAAGTTTTAATATGGAGGGTGGTAAAAATGGAGGATTTGGGGATGATTATAAAGGATGGTGGAAATAGAGGGGGGGGGGGGGGGTGTTGGGTTGGATGGTGGATGGAGGTGGAGGTGGAAGGATATGGATATGGAGAAGAGGGGAAAATGGATGGATATGGGGGATATAGGGGTGGATAATGATGGTTTTGGGGGATGGTTTGGGGGGAATTTTTATATAAGGTTTGGATGGTGATGGTTTTTTGGAGGAGGGAGGAATGGAGATGTGGTGGAGGATATGGGATAAAAATTGGAAGGGATGGGTTTGGGAGATGATAGATAATGGATTTTTTAAAAAATGGATGGGATATGAAAGGGTTGGAGGGGATGGATTTTTGGATGGTGGATGGAGATGATGGTGGGTTTGGGAAAAGGATATGGATAAGATATGGATGGTGGAGGGATGGGGAGGAAATGGCTTTGGTTGAGTGATGGGGAGGGGATGGATGATGGTGGATTGGATGGAGGATGGATGGATGGATGGATGGATGGATGGATGGATGGTTGGATGGATGGAGGGATGGAATGGATGGATGGAATGGATGATGGATGGATGGAATGGAGGGGATGATAGAGGGGATGGATGGATGGAGGGAAAAGATGGTTTGGATGGATGATGGATGGAGGGATGGAAGGGAGGGATGGATGGATGATGGATGGATGATGGAGGAGGGTTTTGGGGTTGTAAATGGATGGATGGATGGATGATGGGATGTGGATGGATGGATGGAGATGGAGGGTGGGGATGTGGGATGGATGGATGGGAGGGATATGGATGATGGATGGATGGTGGATGGAGGGATGGAGGGGTTTGGAGGGATGGAGGGAAAGGGATGGATGGGGATGATGATGGTGGTGGGGATGATGATGGATGGATGGATGGATGGGGGTGTTGGTGGATGGAGGGTTTTGGTGGATGGATATGATGGGATTGATGGAGGGATGAGGTGGATGATGATGGATGGATGTGGTTGGAGGGAAATGGAGGGTGAGGAGGGAATGGAGGATGGATGGTGGAGGGATGGGATGGAGGGAGATGGATGTGGATGGTGGATGATGGTGGTTGGAGGGATGGATGGAGGGATGGGGGATGGATGGATGGATGGATGATAGGGGATGGATGGATGGGAGGGTGGAGGGAGAGGGAAATGATGGAGGGAGGGATGGATGGAGGGATGGATGGATGATAGATGGAATGGGGGGGATGGGGATAGATGGATGGATGGAGGGGGAATGGATGATGATGGGGGATGGATGGATGGGTGGATGATAGTGGTGGATGGTGGAGGGGAGGGGAGGTGGATGGAGGGATGGAGGGATGTTGGTGGAGGAAATGGAGGATGGAGGGATAAGGGGAGGGATGGATGGATGATGGGGAAATGGTGGGATGGATGGATGAGGGGGATGATGGATGGTGGATGGTAGGGATGGAATGGGGATGGTATGGTGGATGATGGGGGATGGGATGGATAGGATGGATGATGGTTGGATGGATGGAATGGGGGATGGAAGGGAATTGGATGGATGGATGGATGATGGGGAGGGGAGGGGAGGGTTAAGATGGAGGGATGGATGGGGGTGAGGGTTGGGTGTAGGATGGATGGTGGAGGGATGATGGATGGATGGATGGGATGATGGATGGAGGGGGAAGGGGGAGGGATGAGGAGGGGGATGATGGGATGGGGATGGGGAGGGTTGGGATGGAGGGATATGGGAAGGATGGAGGGGTTTAGGATGGTGGATGGGGAGGGTTGGAGGGAAATATGGAGGATGGATGGGTTAAACCAAAAATATATAAATAATGGTGGATAGGATGGAAGGAGGAAATGGATGGTGGTGGGGATGGGGAAATGGATGGATGATATGAGGGATGGATTTGGAAATTTAAAATGGATGATAGGAATGGGGTTTGGATGGATGGTTGGGATGGTGGGGGTGATAGATGGAGGGATGATGGATGGATTGGATGGATGAGGAGGGGAAATGATGGATGGAGGGATGGATGATAGATGGAGGGAGGGGGAGGATGATGGATGGGGGATGGATGGAAATGGATGGATGATGGATGGTGGAGGGGAGGATGATAGATGGTGGGGGATGGATGGGGGATGGTGGAGGGATGGATGGATGGAGGATGGATGATGGAGGATGGATGGATGATGGATGGATGGATGGAGGGGGGGATGGTGGATGGATGGATGGATGGATGGGGAGGAAGGAGGGGAATGGTGGAGGGATGGATGGAGGGATGATTGGGATGGATGGATGGTGGATGGGTGGGGGAGGTGGATGGATGGTGATAGTGGATGGATGGATGGATGGGATGGTGGATGGAGGGTGGATGGGGATGGATGGGGGATGGTGATAAAATGGATGGATGATGGGATGGAGGATGGTTGGGGATAGATGGATGGAATGGAGGGATGGTTGGATGGAGGGATGGATAGGGGATGGATGGAGGAGGGTGGATGGAGGATATAGGATGGATGGATGGAAAGGGTTGATGGTGGTTTGGATGGAGGGGATGGATGGAATGGAGGGGGGATGGAGGGATGGGATGATAGAGGATAAAAATGGATGGAGGATGAGGGATAGTGGATGGGGTGGATGGATGGGATGGAGGGATGGTTTTAGGATGGGGGATGGATAAAGATGGAATGGTGGAGGATGGTGGATGGAGGGATGGATGGATGGATGATGGATGGATAGGGGATGAATGGATGGAGGGGGATGGTGGATGATGGATTGGATGGATGGATGAATGGATGGAGGATGGAGGGAAATGGATGATAGTGGATGGAGGGAAAATGGATGGGTGGTGTTTTGAATGGGGGGATGGAGGGGATAGATGGAAGGATGGTTTGGATGGTGATAGATGGATGGATGGGGGGATGGATGGATGGGATGGAGGGGAGGATGGGGGATAGATG